GAGTGCTCGTACATGTATCGTAAGCCCATCATCACCTTGCACCGCTTCCTACCAACAGAAGCTCCGAGCTCAGCCTCTCAACGACATCGCCACTAAACCCCCTTCGCCGTACATGATTAGTTTCAGGTGGGCGGCGTGATCACATTCATCACCATAAATAGACGATATTCCCCTTCGTCGCTCTCAAGCTACGCGTCGTGCGGGCAGTCTAACTTAGTAATTGCTCAGGCGAGGGCGTGTTAACCCCCCTCATTCGCATAGCCGATGAGGCACTTTTCCTTCGCCTCACAATAGCAAGAACAAAAATACAAAATTACATTGAAAAAATATCACTGCGCTAAAGACACCGATCAAGGATATTTTATTTTTGTTTTTATTTTTTAAATTTTTCTTTTCCCTTGGCGCGGCCGGCAATAAATCGATGCGCGATCCTCATCCGAGTTTCCTCTAAGCTCACGCCCACTAGGGAACGACCCCCGGGCTGAAAGAGGTTTGGGAAGCTCTTCACCGCCAGTGTAATCGGCTCTAAGCTTCCTCAGTTCGCGGGCGATGCCGGGAACTCAGCAAAGACAAAGGAAAATAAAAATAAGAAATCGGGGAGAAAATTGGAAGAAAAATCGCCTCCGGCAAAAGCGGGAACCAGCGTCGAAGCGGCGATACCAAGATCAGAAGTAGTAGCGCCTTGCAAGGACAAAGAGAGCAGTCGGTCGATGCTCCTACGCGCCATGCCATGCGCCCGTACGGAGCACATGCTAACATCTTCTCCATACAGCGTACATATGCAATTCGTATGCGTGCGGATGTCTCTGCGGAGCGTCGAGGTAGAGAGAGAAGAAACGGCGATAGGTGACGGATGCCGGTCTGGAGACGCAACGGCCCCCCATGTCAACCCTATCACATCAGACAAAGCCGTAGGCGAAACGACCGGGCGTCCACAGACCAGCTTGTTGCGATCCAACCCCAGCTTCCCGTTACATGCTTGCAGCAAGAGCATGCAGCTGCCTGTGAGAGAGAGGGCAAGGGTTTGAGCCTCAGGAATGCCAAGTTTGCCCAGAGAGTGCTCACAGGCCGTGCTCAACTCGATGGCGCGTGTTTAAAAGTCAAGGACTGTCCCGTGCTGCGGAGAATCTTCTCCATACTGGACAAACAGGCTTCCCTTTGCCTTGTACGGTAAAGCCCATCGGCCGAAGATCACGGGTGAAACCTTGGAATGTCATTCCATATGACGGAAGATGGCCTCTCGTAGTATCTGCCCATGTGTGTGTGTGTGTGCGTGCCACCAGCAGTGCGATGCCTGCCGGCTTCTTTTCCTTCTCGGCTTTTGACTACACCGACTTCTTCCTTATGAGATCTTGGTATGACAAGGCCCCGTTTGCTCAACACTTTGCAGCAGCTATCCATGACACGCGTAGCATCTGTTTAGAAATCCCGTTTTCTCTAGTTGAAGAAAGAAGCTTCTGTAAATCTTCCGTGTCGTGATTTAATATCTGCAGAGTCCGTGATTGGAGGAGCTCGTCATTCGGTATCCATCAAGATCCATCATGTCAATTCACCGCCATCGATTTAGTTCACACACTTATCATCCTTGTGCAGGCATGTTTCAGAATGGTTTATCCACGCAAGCTTACTAGCAAGGCGATGATGGAAATGGTTCGAGTGCTGTGCCAGGGCTCCAAGAACTCGACGCTGCACCAGCTCTCCTCATCGTGCGGGTTTTTTGTTCTCTTCTTTGTGCCTCCAGGGTAGCGCAAGAGCCCGGTCCCCATAACAGCAAAAGCTCCGTCCGGGTCATGATGCCGTTCGCAAGGATATGGGGCTCTCCGGCGAACGGCCGTTCGGTGACTCATCTGCCTGGGTTCCGCTTCTCTCCCGTGATACGGACAGTGAGCATGAAATTCGTGCTTCTGCGTCGGCACGGTATTGACCGGCCATGTGAGAAAAGTACTTCCCGCTTACTCTCTGCCCCTGGCGGTTCATATTTTAGCTTGACTTGAACCTTTGATTCGGCAGCTCTCTCATACTTGTATGTACGTAAGTACTGCTATGCGAATCATCTTTGGTAAAGAGTTTGGTGTTTTGGGCAACGGAGTTCGCATCGAGTTCTGCATGCTTGGATAGTCTGATCGCCCGCTTCAGGTGGAGCATTGACCAATACATCTGATCGGGCATGCAATCGAAATCCAATTACGAATACAAGAAGGCGTTTACCAGCTGCCAATCCATTGTTGTTCTTGAAACCATTCTTTTAACTTCGCCCATCCATGCAAAGAGGTCTGGCTTTCGTTCTTGTTCCTGGCTAACAAGGCACTAACATTCAACCACCACGGGCACCTGGAACGGCCGCCTGTGTACTCTGCGAGACAAGAATGTAACAATGTATGATGACGATCCAGGTAGCATGTCGTACTTTCGTGCTAAACACCGCTACTCTTCCGTACGGAACAGTACTTGCAAACGGAACACTAACGGTAGAGAAATGTACCCGTTTTGTACAGTACTCCATATTCGGTGGATTCTTGCGATGCTGACCGCACATTCGTAGCGTGCATGATAATCCCAGTTCAGCTGGGACTTTAGCGCACTATTCCGAGAGTCTATTCTTCGACGGCATACACGCTATCCCAGCGTTTGGAAAACTAGTTTCAGAGAGACCGACTCTTTCTTTCGATATTTCCGCTTGGTTTCCACCAGGTTGAAAAAAATATGGCTCATCAATTGCCTGTCGACGAGTCAGCAATGTGTAGGCTAGACTTGGCCACTTTGTCTTGAGGAGAGTGCGGTACTGTACTCCGTAGATGGGCTGCAATCATCATAGTCGGGGCCCATCCAGCTACACACATACGGGCTACTACTAGCACGGGAACTACTGGCCAGTTCTCTTATGCAAGGGCGACGAGTGTACAAGTCATTAATAAATCGACGGAGACAATTGAACAAGTGAACGGGCGGCGGACTGTCAGCCGTTAGTTGGGCGCTGCCGTCGATGCCACCGTTGTGGGAAACGGCTCGGGCGTGGGTACGACTTTGTGCTTGTCGCAGGCTCTGAATAGCCAGAGAGGAGCGAATGAGAGAAAAATTCTCCAGCCGAGCCAACCGCAGCAGGGGATGATGCATAGGTGCATGCGAGTACGTGCTGGCCAACCCTCCCCACGAGTCAAGCTATTATCATGAGATAACGAGGCTGGTGGGCGAGAAGAAAGCCCTCTAGGCGTCCGTCGTATATTTTGGAAGCTGAGGATGACCTGTATGGTTGGGTACGAAAGCCAAGCCTGATTTCTCGTCACCTTTTCCTGTTTGTATTTGGGGCCTCTCCTCAGGCAAACAGAGGGACTTGTGGTGTCGAAACACCACTCGTCGGTACGTATCCACAGGGGGCGCAGCAGTTAGGCTCTCAATGAGGGAGGTACTCTGTATATCGGACTCTGTAGATCCCCTTGGTGCGGTCTCCGGGCCAAGCAGATACGTAGTTGGACATAATTGCAGAGTTTGGGGTTAATGAGGCTGCATGATTAAGCCATGGGTTGAGTATCAAGCCGGCTTCGATGTGTCGTCAGAGCCGACCCAGGTGGCAATCGATCATGCCACGACCCTTAACTGAGACATGAAGAGATGCAGAATCTCGTCTGGCACCACCAGGAGACTTTTCTCTGGACAGCCGCAGACAGCCGCTGAGCAAGATTGGGCCGCATGGCAGGCTGGGCCAAACCTCAGGTTCGCCTTCAGTCCTGATTAAGGCTAGGCCTAGAAAGACGCATCGCCGTGGTCGAAAGATGACCAACTCGAACGGGGCCAAGGCGCTGGCTGCTGTGGGAGGTCGCACAGAGGCAGGACATTCTCAGCGTCAAAACCGGTGAAGACAGCGCAATTCATTGGTCTGAGGACGCAGGCACTTTGGGTCTTGCTAATTGGCCGTTTTGGACGGCTTTTCACAGATCACAGCAGCTTCTCCGAGGCAATATCCAAACGGATATGGCCGTCTCGTCCCCGAGAGCAAGGCAGCGGCCTGTGAGGGAGGTCATTCGTCGAGGAGGGCGGCGATGCATCAGGTCGACGGGCCTAAGGGGTGAGAAAGTAGTGTCGATGCCCAAAATGAAACAGGATGGACGCGCAACGCGTCAGGAGCAGCCAAACAGAGAGCGCCGTGATGGGCAGCAACAACAAACACACCGACAAAGCAGCAGCGGAGATGGTGCAAGTTGGCGGAGGCCGGCCAGAAATGCGGCCAGTCACAGTGGAGCTTGCTGGAGCTGGTTGGATTGATTGCAACAGAGACAGACCAAGGCCCGTGTTGGAGGCGTGCACCAGCCACGGCGGTCCACTGCAGAGGCAGCAGGCTATTACATAGCATGGCGCATGATGATGAGCAAGACAGACGAGTGTGCCGGAGATGGAGACCGGAGACTGGAGACTGGAGAATGGAGACTGGAGACTAGAGGCTGCAGAAGATGGGGCACAATCGATAAGTGATTATCTAATGTGGTGTCAGTCGTGTTGTCCTCGTCCGGTTGGTGAGCTGCATCACCATGCATTGGTGGCTTCACTTGCCTGATACGTCTTGCAGGATGCGAGGCAACGCCAAAACGGCAAAGCGGATGACATTATCGTGTGTTCTAAATTGGTTGCCCATGATGCTTCCAAGTTCTCCCTACTTGTGCTTGAGCTGCTACTGCTCGTGCTAAGGTTTAGTCATGCGTGTGGCAACAGCTCGGTACTTGCGGCCGCCGCACCGCAGCGTGCACAGCCAAGTACCTCACGTAATCAGAGGTCAGGTGCTGCGTGGCGCTGGCAGTCCTGGCAGCCCATGAGTGGTCCATTGTACGAAGCGCCCCGCTCATGCAATTGTACCTCATCAGCGAAATTGGGCAGGGAGATACATTGTCAGCCCACCTCTGCCGCTCTTCTCAGGTGGGCTTTGTTTTGTCGCAGCTGCGGGAGATCCAACCACATTCAGGCATGAGTGGCCCAGGCCAAACCAAACATCTGCTCGCCTGATGGGCACCATGACACCCAAGCAGCCCGGTATCTGCCTATCGATTGACACATCCTGTGACGGCTCCCTGGCGGATGCCGATACGATACGATACCATGGACCGATAGAGAAGAGAGGGGGTGGTTTGGCAGAACCGCGGGGGACTGGGGGGGTTTGACTGACCAGACACAGCGCGAGAGCACATCACGACCAAGGCCGACCAAGGCGGGCAAATAGGATCGGGGCCGTGATGTGACAGACCACTTGGAAGGCCATCTTTTCCCCATCGACGCTCCCTCGCCAGTCATTCGCAGGCCACCACTTCGTACGAGCACGCCAAAGAAGCAAGCGCTCTCATTAGCAAGGCTCTCCCAATGCACACTACGACTGGCCCGTCCCGAGCCTCTCAGTGGTCACAAGTTACTAGTAGCGGGTATGGCGTCCACTGGCTGCCGGCTTGTGCGGGAGCAGCAGCGCCGTCCATCGCTCCCTCATTCCTTGGAGGGGGTCGTCTGAGTTGGGCAGCAGCACAAGCTTCGTGCCCAACCTATTCTCGTCCTGTCATTGAGCTCTGCTCTCCCCATCTTGGATTCTGCCTCCCTCCCGGCGTCGCGGATGGCATCCCGTCATGACCCGCTTAGAGGTACCGGCCTTGACAGATTCAGCCATGCGCCATGTCGGGCTTAACCAAAGCTCATTCGTTTTCGGTACCCGCCCTGCTTCAGGCGAGTCGAGTCGGAGGTAGTTTTCCACTGTCTCTCCGGGCTCTCTCTCTCTCTCTGTGTGCTAGCCGGGCGGCTGATGGGTTGACGATGGCGTCGTGGGCTGAGTGCTACTGAACTGAGTGACTGGCCATGATAGTCGTGTCAATCGGCCCTCTGGCCGGGATGATCATGTCCAGGAAGACAGCGGCAAAGACGGTCCTCCAGAACAGGCGCTACCTGAGGCAAGTAGAAGCTATTTTGAGTCACAAGAGACAGCTTCCCCCAGGTCGATCAGGTGTGGATGGCCGCTGTTGACGATGACCATGCCGAGGCCGACTTGCTTTCTGGTGCTAGCAGATGTCGCAGTCAAACAGAGTACAGGATAAGATGTTCTGCTACTAGTCCCATCCCGAGTGCCACATGAGATAGGGAGGGGATGGAGTTTGGGAGCCGGGGCCAGGGATTAACCCGGCTTGGTGAGTACATACTTGGTACGAGAGCGAGGGCGACACAAGGGTGACAAAGCCTTGGGAGGAGCCAAAAATGCTGTGAAGGACAATGACTTGGACTGCATCACATCGGCATACAGTACATGCTACCTACTCTCGTGTACGTGCGTACAGTAAGTAGGCATACAGGTCTGTATGCCCACCATAACCCTAGCCAGAGATCCATTGGGCCATGCTCAAAGGGTATAGGGGGCTGCTCCGAGTGTCCGCACGCACGCACTTATTGATAATGGCCGTCCTTACTAATCGTGCTAATCGTACGGGCGCAGAGTCGTCCCAGGATGGAGTACTGCTGGTAGGGAGGTTGAAAAAAAAAAAAAAATTCAAGAGAAAAAAAAAATTCAACAAAAATAAAACAAAAATCAACAGAGACAGAAGCAAATCTCACGACAGGCACCCCCTGTCACTGGGCCCCCGAGCAAGGCCCATACTCTGTACTAGACAAAACCCGTTTGAGCCTGACAACACTGATGACGAGCACCACACTACGACGGACAGAGTAGTACCTCCATCACCAAAACAACACAAGCGCACGCACACACATCTACCACCTAGTCGTACATATTCGTACATACGTGCTAGGTATGTACATGTACATTACATACGCACCACCTACAGAGCACATACATGGGAGCCCGAAAGCGTGGAATCCTCGGAGGATGTGTGCCTATTACGAAGAGAGCCTAAGCACTCTTTCAGCCCCATGCGCCGGTGGTTGGCTCGAAATCGATCGACAAGATTCGGCCTCAGGCGATAACGGCGGTATCCTCTGTTATCGACACGGGGTGTTTGTTATCCTCTTATCCAGCTGCGAGGTCACGTAAGTAGTATGTAGGTAGGCAAGTATCAGCTTGGCTAGTACCTGTACTGCGACTGTACTGCGTCTGCTGCCATGAAGCCTCTCTCGCCCACGACCTCACCCCACAGCGAGCGCGAAGTAGCCTTGAGTACATATAGAAATCCCTCCTCCCTCCAGCAGCTGCCTCTGCTCTGTATCCAAACATTGAACGCCATTCGACGCCATCTTTTCTTTTCTGCCTGCTTGTTTGCTTGTGCCAACCAGCAGCAGACAAGAGAGCAGCGGTAGCAGCAGCTGTGCTACGAGTGCCATCAGTGAGTCAGCTCTCTCCTCTCTTCCTTGTTTTTTTTTTCACTCCGGCCCCCCTCTTCCCGGCTTGTGTTCGACGAGCGTTTGCCCAGTGCTGTGTCATCATCAGCCTCGACGTTACTGCTTCCATGTATCTTTATACTGGAATCATAACATGGCCGATATGAGATGAGATCAATCTCCCCTTGAGCCTGTCCTACCTCATCCTGCTTCGCTTTCCCTTGTGCCTGTCGCGCGTCGTCGGTTTATTTTTATCTTAGTCGCCCGCCTGTGCACCTCCTCTCTCGCTCTCTCGCTCTCTCTCTCGCATCAATGTTTTTTTTTCCCACTACCGCTACCACTCCCACTACCACTCCCACTACCCTCCCACTACCACTTACTGTCCCGTCCGTCTCCCGCACTTAAACCACCCCACCCCTCCAGCGCTAAAAGAAACCGGCCTGTCTGTTTTCTTAGCCCTGCCTCCTCCCTCCACCCACCAAACCCAAACCCAACTGGCAGCCTTTTAGCAGCCTCCCATCCATCTTATATCACTCGACCTTCCGCCCACACTTTGCATCTGCCCATCACCCTTTCAACGCTGCTTGACGACTTCATGACTTGCATCTGCTCTGCGTTTCACGACCCTTCCCCCTCCAGCATAACACCTTGACGCTGTCACGAATTACTGCCTACGCACGTTGCTTGTCATTTATTTTTCTTATCAACCCCGCTTCCTTTCATCACTGCTCGGCACCAACAAATAAAAAGCCACCCTTCGCTAACATCACGTCCTCGGAAGACTATCAGTATCAGCACACTACGACTACTGTATTCTTTCCCCTCTTCCCTTCTTATCAAGTTGTTTTTTTTCTCTTTCTCTTTTTCTATTTCTTCTACGGGTCATTGTTTTCTCTTTCGGTTCTTTGACGTCGACCTTCGCCTCCTCTCAACCTCACTCCGTCGCCCTTGACGGCCCCCTCACACAGTCACAAATCTCCTCAGAATGGACAACTATTACTCTTCAGCATCCATGGCCATGGACGCGAGCCATGAGCAAAAGTTCTTCAAGGCAGAGGACACCAACGGTCTAGATGACAGCCTTCTTGACCACAGCGGCATTGACTCAGGCTTGGAACTTTCTCCTCCCATGGACAACAGGCGAGAGTCTTTCGGCATCGGAGGGCCTCTCTTCTCTCCCAAGACGGAGGATTGGCACTCGGTCGACATGCAGTCGCTGCCTTCCAACAACCCCTTCTTCGAGCCGCATAGCACAAACCCCTACATGCGCTTCGAACAGCCCTCTGCCAACCCTTTCATCTCCTCGGGCAACCCTTGGGCGATGAACGGAGGCTCCGGAGCGGCCACGCCTTTCCAGCGCTTCGGTGGTATGGCGACGGATTTTGATGCCAACGCTTCCATCTTCCAGCAGCCCATCCACGCTCCCACTCCTTTCCCCACCTCGGGCAACATGTTTGCTTCTCTTGCCGACGGCCAGGGCATGCAAGAGCCTGCCTCCAAGAAGATGCGACCTAGCAGCCCCTCCATCCGATCGCACAATGATCTGCGACGCGGCGATGGCATCCGGAAGAAGAATGCTCGTTTCGAGATCCCCGCTGAGCGGAACTTGAGCAACATCGACCAGTTGATTTCCCAGTCGACGGATGAGCAGGAGATTAAGGAACTCAAGCAACAAAAGCGACTGCTGCGAAACCGCCAGGCTGCGTAAGTGCACTCACTCAAACCATCGCAGCACCAAACATGGAAAGCTAACTGATTTTTACCCAGTCTCGACTCTCGGCAGCGCAAGAAGCAGCACACTGAGCGCTTGGAAGATGAGAAGAAGCAATTCACCGTTGTCATCACTGACATGGAAGAGGAGCTGGCCAGCCTCAAGGCCAAGGTGGAGCAGCTCATGCTCGAGAAGCAACAGTGCGTCGATTACATCGAGACCCTCACCCTCGAGAAGGACGAGATGATCCGCACCCACACTATCGAGACTGGTGAGCTGAGGAAAAAGGTGGGTGTCCTGACCGACCATGTCCAGCGCCTGGAGAGCAGCATTCCACCCAACGCTGCCGCCAACGGCTTCTCCGGCGCTTACGACGACATGGACGATGCCATGGATTTGGCCGGTGCTTGGGAGAATGGCTTCCTCAACGACTTTGCCGATGAGGTCAAGCCGCCCATGACTGTTGCCAAGAAGGACACCAACCCATTCACCTCCGACTCCGAGAAGAGCTCCTCCCAGGGCGGCTTGCTGTTCATGCTCTTCCTTGTTGGCGCTTTTGTCCTGTCTAGCCGCTCGATGCCCTCCATCCCCCGCGTGTCGGAGGATGTCCGAGTTGCGTCGGCGACTCTTCTCGACAACGTCCTCAAGGACGCCGGTGTCAACCCATCGGCTAGCATGCACGCTATTGCTCCCCAGCCTTCCGGTGTCTCTTGGGGACAGCCCGTGAGCGCTAGCGTCATGGCCGGCATGGCTGCCGATGGTGTTGTTGCGCCCTCCATGCTTATTGAGCTCGGCGACAGCCTCATCCAGCCCTCACAGCAGCAAACCAACGAGCAGATCTTCTCCCTCTCTGCCGCCCAGTACAATGGAGTCAGCGACCACGACTTCCTCCGCGATGCCGCCGGTAGAATGCCCACCAAGGCTCGCAAGAACCTGGCTCAGTCTCTTGCTGAGATGCGGGACGCTGCCAAGCAGTCGGGCGCCGCCGAGGTGTACACTCGCACTCTCCTCTGGGACCAGATCCCCAACGATGTCGTCCGAAACTTTGCCAGAATGGTTGTAGAGTGCAACAGTGCTCAGAATTCGCAGCAATGCAACGAAGCGAGATCATGAAAGAATTAAAAGACCCGGCGCGAAAGACAAAAAAAAAACACGAAATCTCACGATGACGAATCAAAAAATGGCTACAGTAATGCAACGATCAAACTTCTCCACCCTCTATTCTGTCTTGGTTCAATTTCATTTCTCCGACAAATTTCTGCTACTTCTTCTTACTCTTCTCTTCGTACGGCCTTTTCCAACGACTGGATAGGCTGGCCTTTATTTGGAGTTGCTTCGGGGCAACTCCCCCACATGCACATTATTTGAGATTTTTTGCTCACGCATTCACCCCCATCTTCTTGAATTTGAACAAACCGCTTTCTCATGAAAACCATCTACTTTGGAGTCTCTTACGATTTCTTTGCGGATCTAGCGAGCGAGCAAGCGTTGATTTTTTTGGCGATTGATTTTGATTTTGATTTGATTTGATTTCCTTGTGCTTTTATTTCCTTATGTTATATTTGGATGCCTTTTTTTTCACACCTCTTACTTTTTTCCCGTTTTCTTTTTGCTGGATCCTTTCGACAGCTGGTGGGTCGAAAGGCATAGGACACAAGCAGAAGCAGCAGCACAACAGGCATGCTACAGGCCCCAGTCCAGTACATGCTTGTACTTTTGAAAGGCATAGCTTTTCGGATATTGGGGATCTATGTGCAGGATGATACCTGACACTGAAGGAACATATCTACGAGGCATGTCGATACAGAATGATGACAGATTGGAAACAAATTGACGATGATAAGAATGAGCACCTGGAACGGGCTCTTCTACCCGACACTCTCTTGAGAACCCGCCACAGCGACAAAAAAAGATCCCTGGGTGGCTTTCCTTTGTACTTGGGCGGCATTTTGGACATAGCTTTTTTATTTGGAACGAGCCACACAGATGGTCTCTTGGGTTTTGACGACATATTTCTTTTCAGATAGCCTTTTCAATGTGAACATGGACTGAGATCCAGCTTACATTCATCAAACCCTCTGTCTCTTTGACCGTGACCGTGACTGTATCCAAACATGTGCCTACGTACTAACACCTAGCTGTAGCTGTGGTGCCGCCCAGGTACAGGGGCATGTGGGAGGGCTAAAAATCAATGACGCCCTTATCCGAAGCACAATGCACGCCTCAATAGTCTACTTGCTATCTAGGGATATCGGCCTGCCTACCTCCAGCATCCAGCCCGGCATGGACGGCCCTATGCCTTAGAAGACGGCACATCTTACTGCGTGCTATTACCGCTCCAGGATAGTGTATCCGGGACGATGATGAATAAACAAAGGGGTGGAGCCGTGAGACAGACCTGGAAGCGATGTGATGCAAAGCTGGCTGTGGATGGGCAAGGCTCATCGTGGATTGAGGGGGGAGGCATTGGGTTGACATCACACCGCCAGCGAGGCAGACGGTTTGGCTTGTCTTAGTCCAGGACTTGGCGTTGCAGCGCTGCGACCTAAGCCATGTTGGGAGAGAGTCTGTACGGGATGTTGATGGAGGGAGACAAAAGGTGGTGGTCATGGGCTTGGATGAGGTATCGTGTGGCTGTCTAGTGGCCGCAGTGCTACCTCTGCTTCGTATCTCTAGTACCTATACCTCATGTATACACGGAGCGTCATACCTACCTACCTGGTCGAGGATATTCGTACTCTAGCGGCCATGTGTGTGCCTCGCACCTCGCGCCGTTGTCACTGACACAGCCAATGCTTCACATGGAAGGGAGATGAATGATGCCATCACGAGGTTTAGTTTGTACTGGCTACGACCTGCCCGCCTCACCACCGACGGCTCTCGATTTGGAAAGAGGTAGACTAGGAAGGACATGGGGAGTTCAGCGCTGCTTCCTCAGATAATTTATGATTAAAAATTAAAAATAAAAAAAAATAAAAAATAAAAAAAAATACAAATCATTACTCAAATCGCACAGAGTAAAACCTGCTTACGGAATAATGTAAATCGAGCAAAATAAGACGACGGGACGCAGACTGCCAAAATCCAGCCCCCTCATTTTCGCCCTCCCTGCTTTCCAGTCAATCCCACCTCTCCCATTCGCCATAATTGCTAGCAACTAGCCCGCGAGGCGCATCCACGAATCGGCGAGCCATTCTTCATCTGCAAGAACTGATCATCTGCTCTGCTGCTGGCCAATGCCCTCCCAGGGCCGGCCACAATCTCGGGTTTTGGCGAAATGGATGAAACGCCCACGCCGCAGCCAATTCGCACGCGCGCACACTATTCAGATGCACCCGCTCTAGCTCAGGCGAATGGCAGCTCTCACATACGCTTCATACGCTTCTGGAAGACAGGCCATGGCTCTTGTTAGCCCTGGGTCTCTGTTTTGGCTCCTCTGTTGACACGACGCCAACGGACGGCCGCTGATACACACCCCTCGGCCCGATCCTGGTGGCCTTGAGACTAAAAAAACATCGCCTCAGAAATCAATAGGCATTGAGCGACTGTTGCTGCTGCAACCCAGGCGCCAAAATATCCAAAGTACATCCACCGTGTGCGTACCTTGTCTGTATGCTGCGAGAGGCGCCTCGGGTGGCAAACGGACAGTCACATCTCCTATACATGACAAGAGCACATCCGCCGACCTGCTTGGGTGCATATACGCATGCCCGCATACACACTTACATGCTCGTACCGCACATACAAACAACCATACATGCATCTTGCATGCTCGTACAGAAACTCTACCCGCCAAGAGCCAATGCTTGCAAAGCGGCCCTTGTCCCTTACAGCTCCAACGGTCGTGACACCTCCATTGAGGATCCCCCTTACCCGGGACTAGCAGAGTGTCTGCCAGCAACGTCAACTGCGAGCACGTCGACCTGATTGTGATAAATGACTCACGAATTGATACCTAAAGCCCGATGGCCATGGGTAAGCAAATGGCCAACGACGGGAAGGAGAGAGAGAGAAAAAAGCACAACAAAGCAGGGCTCTGCAGCACTTGTTGCGCCAGCCCACTCGTACTAGGTCTCGATATCTGGCCGCCTCCACAGCAAGAGAGGAGTTCTCTTCTGCCCGTCTTGTCTTCCATCCAATCTCATGGCGACAGCTGAACAACACATACATACGAGTACGTGCCCGCCTACATACACATACATCATGTACGTGCGCACGCACATGCATCCGGACCACCTACTCGTACATACATGCGCAATCAGGCATCAAAATCGATCCCCCAGCTAGGGCAAAGCTGGTAAAACAGCCGCCCGCACAGAGGCATCGCCAGACCCGCGCTCCCGTTTGCTCCAAATCTCCGGATTACAGCTGCAGCTTTCTCCGTGCTCCTTTCCTTTCCTTTTCCATGCTAGTCAGCCTCTGGGCATGAGCAGAGCCACCGCCTAGTTTGGGTGTTGCTCCTCCAGTGGCCGTACACACGCTACACACACCACAGACGCACACATATGGGCGAACAGATTGTTGTGGCCTCACAGCCATACACTTTCCAGACTCTCGCAGTTCACAAACACAACCATACATGCTGCTACATAGAGACAAAACATACATGCCGCAATCGCCTGCTACATGAGCCGTTCACAACGTCTGAACTATGCCGCGTCCGTGCCGCCGGATGGTACAACAGAAGCACCCCGCAAATGTGAACCGCAGGACGCGGGATGGGTCAAAATGCAGCTTTTTTACTTGCTGTTTAAAGCCACACGAGGGACACGCAATGCGGCAGTGAGAAGAAAAGACTCCAACCCCTTGAATATCCAATAACGGGCGCTGAATAAGAGAGAAAACACAGAGAGAGGGCCTAGAGCCGGGAGGCACTATTGAGCCCTCATTGAGTCAAGGAGATCTGCTGCCTACCTGTAAAACCCCCCTTATTTTTTCTTGCCGTTACCTGGGTCATACTTTTCCTTCCATATCCTGCAAAACCGTTAGCCATTGACGCCTCTGAAAGCCCTCGTCTTCTCATTGGGGCTGGACTGTGTAGCACATCACAATCCTCCGGAGCTCCTGGCCACTATCATGAGACCGCAGACAGTTGCAGCCATGCATAGCCTCCTCCGGGAGGAACAGTGTGATCAAGCCGCACGAATGGGCCGCAAGCGAGGCCCGGCCACTCGGGAGTGATGCGCCATAGCATACACAAGGACGCCCACAGCTGACACGACGAGCAAGTATGGATGCGTTTTGGTGACTTACCATGTATTTCCTAGTGTCTTGTTGCCGCCCTTCTCAGCCAGTCGATAATATCGGGCTGCAGCATACTGTACTCCCCAAAAAGGGGTCAAACATCAGCCTCATGTGACGGGATTGGAGTCTGTGGGGAGGGAAACACGGCCGCTGCCCGTGCCATTTTCCATTGGACATGCGCAACTCGCGCCCTCGCGTGCCCGCTCTTTTCTCATCGGTACCCAACTCTGGGGCCTGGTGAGACGTTGGGCATCAACCTCGCCTTGGTCAGACAGACCAGCCGACGACTGGCAAGCCACAGCTTGTGGTGCCTTGGTTGAGGCTTGGCTCTCTTCTGTGCCATGAGTCGGATTGCAGAGACAAGTTATGTCATCGATGTTTTGACTAATCGTCGTCGACGTACCTTGTCCTTTTTACAGCCGTAGCCCTCTAGGTAGCACCAGGCAACCTCGTTCATGGCATCTTGACCACTCATCAGCATCCGGAGCTTTTTAGATACATGGCTACATCTGCAACTCACCAGTGTCGCCCAAATTTGCCGCTGTCTCATAGTACTATTCGTTTTGTGCAGTGGTCAGTATCTGATCAGCCAAGCCCAGCAGTCAACCAGTCAACCTTTGATATCGAAAAAGGCAATGCATACCTGCTTTGCAGCGATTGGATCCTTGCCGATGCCCCAGCCGTTGCGGAAACAGTTGGCCAATTCGTAGATGGCCAGGACTAGCTCTCCCTTTGCAGCTCCTCCCTTCTTGAGACCGGCCTGGATGGCCAATTCCTCGACCGACGCAGCGTTAGATGCCGCGGCCGTTAGATAGCGGACCGCTCGCCCAGGGTCTGGTGTGCAGCCCCAGCCGTGCCTATTGGAAGAAAGCATGGCTGTATTAGTCCGAATTCTCTCTTTTAATCGCCTGCTAATCATATGATGGCCATGTCACGTAAATCAAATGATGTGATGTGATATGTGAGGGCGGTCAAGGGGAAAATCAAGAGAGTGAGGGGGTGTTGAGCCTGGAGCTCTCTCTCCGTCTCTCAGGATTCACCGGCAGCAGCCCATTGCCACCGCAGAATGGGAATGAAATGGCGAATTGGGATCCGGCCGTGGTAACACTCACCTAAGTGCCAGTCCATAGAGAACCTGGCTAAGTGGATTGTTGGCGCCGTTCTCGTCTGCAAGGCGCCCGAATATCTTGGTCGCTTCTGCAAAGTTCCCCTCCTCATGCAGCCGAATCGCCTCTTGGATGTCGGCATCGATCTCCTTGGACGAAACCCGCCCCGAGTTGGCCGAAGGACTTCGGCTGCGAGCGTCTAGACTCATATGGGCCATGCTGTCTGAGGCATCTCTTGACGACGGCCGACTCCTGGCGAGGTCGTTCTGCCCGGCTAGCATGGTTGCCCGCTTCTCCCACTGCAGCTCTGCGGCATCTTTATCCTGCACGTCGTTTGGGACCACAATCTCCGGCAGGTTCTGCGGCACATGGTCAGAGGTCTCGGGCGGACGACTTAGATGCAGCCTGTGCGACAGGCGTCTTGCCGCGCTCTCCTTCTTGGACGTGGACGAGGATGCTGAGCCGCTCCGCGACTGATCTGAGTGGAAGAAGTCAAAGCTGCGTCTCGACTTTCGGTGCTCTCCGCTCGTTGACGTGGGCGACAGCAAGCCATCGTTATGGCCGAGGGCTCCCTCGTCCGACGGCATAATCACCTGCTGCGAAACAGTATCGGAGCGCACAAAGGTGATGTCCGGGCCCTGATCCTGATCTATAGCATCCTTCTTCCGCAGCGCATCCCTGAGCCCCATGATTGCAATAGTAACTAGTGGTTTTTTGATAGCTGTAAGTGAAGAGCTGTCCTCTGGTGATGTCCCCTTAGTCCAACGCAAGGAGAAGCAGCAGCAAAAGGCCTTCTATATCCGCAATGATACGCCGTAGTGATGATGATCATGAAATGCCCAGCCCCCCGTTTGTCACCCAAAATAGAATATGCTGCTGCTCTACGTCCAAGGCGCAGGTTCGGGGTCAGTGAAGCAGTCAGCCAGTGGCTGAGGCCGAGCCAGGCTGATGCTGGTTAGTCAGTCCCTTTTGCACAGTAGCACTGACACGATGCTTTTGCACAGGCCCGTCTTGGGTTTTGCCCTCAGAGAGCAAAAGAAACCGGAGACAACAAAGCAGCGACAACCAGGTTTCCCCTCGTGCTCGAATTTCCCGCGCGGCAAAAAAAAAAGTTCCAAGAAAGAGCTCGGCGCCTGGCGCTTTGATGATGGGTTCAAAGAGTTTCAATTGGGGGGCGCCGTCCCTTTTGAAACTGGCCTAGGAACCACCAAAAAAGAATTATTACCCCCCAATCTGGATTATGGAGTCCCCTTGGGATTAGAAGCTCCAGCCGCCTTGGCGAACGAATTCCCGTATTTCAATAGCACCGAGCAAGGGGGCAAGCCAACTAAAAAAGGTTCAAGGTTAATTCTAATTAATTGATCCATACAATGTGGTGATTTTTTATCGATACCTATACTTGGACTGACAGGGCCCTCCCAGCTCTGTTTCCCCCCTCTGTTCGGTCATTTTAGGGGAGGCGCTTGGGGCTCTATCTGGCCGCTGTGGGCGCCGATCAGTGAATCTCTCTAGAGGCGCCTTCGCTAAGGCACGGTAATCCCAACGGTGCCGATTAGGGGAGAAATAAGCAGCAGCCAGCGGGCGGCCCCAGTTAGGAGTTAATGTTCGAGAGGCCAAGCAGGTGACCGGGGAAGCTGCGGAGTTTACAGGTAATGGATTGCATTCATTCAAGCCAAATTGGACGGGCCTTACAAGGACGTTTTCACTCATTCTCTGTTGTTATAATGATTCTTCTTTATTTATTTCTGTCCTTTTTTTTACCAACACGTTACTGTTTTCCTAACAAAGAGATTTCTCTCTCTCTCTCTTCCTCTATTTCTGTCTCGTTCTTCCGCATTGCAATTATCTTTTTTTTCTTCTCCTCTTTGCACCCCAGGCAAATGATTGATGTCAGAATGCTGCGTAGCAGGGTATCTTGGTATAAAACCCATCCCTTGGTAATAAAGTAAAAACAAGAAAATGCCATGGTTGCCTTGTCGATGCTATAGAAGAAAAAAGGGAACAAGCGTATCGCATACTAAATAAATCAAGAAAAAGGCACACCATCTCAAAACTCCAAAAAGGGCTTCTGAGATTGCGCGCTGGATGGTATTCGGCTCGACTGGTCTACGAGCGGTGGTTGGCTTGACTCGGCTAAAGGGGGAGATAGTCCTTTGGGGTCTCAAAGTCAGAGTCATCATCGTCGCCCGCGAGAAACTCAGCCACTTCGTCCGAGTCAACGTCGTCTGAATCGACCGATTCATCTTCGCTGGAGACGTCCTCTGCCTCGTCGCGCTGTTTGGCCTGGTTGCGGAGGACGCTTGCCCTCTCACGATGGAGCAGCTTACATCCCCTGGTTTTACAGATCCCGGTATTGCTGAAGTCTGGGCATTCAAAGACGTGGCGATCGGTGCAGTCTGCACCCTTGTCACAGTAACCGCAGAATCCAAATGCCTCGCATACGGGGGCACCTGGGGAAGCTTTGGAGTGAGTAAAGGGACAGTCAGGCCGGGAACATTGCCCCTTGGCATGATGCAAGCAGCTTGGGACACGTTCTGGGGTAAACTCATGGGAGAGGTCGCATGCCTCGCCATTGGGACACTTGCCGTCTTTCAAGAAATCTTTGCAGAGAGCCACCTTGTCAGGGTCGTGAATGTATCGGCAGGTCGGGCCTTTCGGACAGGAACCTAAAAGAAAGTCAGGTTAGTTGTTAGCGTCCCTCCCATCGATGCCACCATCTCGTAGAGCTGTAGGGTGCTTCGTTGCCGCAGGTTTTAAAAAGAAAACAATTACCGGTCGTGGAAAAGATTTTGCACCGTTGATCAAGTTTTTTAACCGCACCAGATCGACTGCAGACGTTAGCGCCATGATCATCCATGGAAGTTGGACATACCGTTGGTCTCTGACTATCCTCTGTGCCACAAGGTTTCCAGTCTTGGTACGATGGAACTTGACACCGGCAATGACAGTCAATTTTGGCGTCATGGCAGCGGAGGTGGGATCGTCTGGTGCTGTATCGTTAGCAAAGTGCCAAAAGGCGACGAGCCGTGGCATATGACTCACCAGGGGCTTTGACAAGCTTCTTGCCTCCGTCTAGAACGCGGAAACGAATACCGTTGACCAATATTTCGTTCAATCCTGTGGAGTTAGCGCTCACGCTCGTACCCGCAAGTCCAGCACCACCGGCTTGATGACGAAGATATTCGCCAAACCGTTTCTTTTCTCGAAGGCGCTGCTCCTTCAGGTTCCGCTGTCGCGTTTCTTCAATGGCCTTGGCTCGATTTTGGCTGTCCTTCTCGTATATACTGGCGTTTATGAGTTGGCGGTGGCGATCGTTTTTGGATACCCAGCCCGAGGTTGTAGGGCCAGGGCTGGGCGCGGCCGAGCTAGAAGCGGATCCAGAGGCAGACCCTGAAGCGTTGAGATGGAGAGTTCTGTGGCGGTGAGTGGCAGTTGACCGGCTGCTGAACCCTCTGGTGGGATAAGGTGCGCTTGCTTGACGATAGACATTTCCTGTGGCAAACGTCAGTTTTGTCATGGCCCAAGCGCGTTGAAAATATACGAACCTCGATGGCGACTCGGGTGATGCGATGACGGGACAGACTGGTAGCCGGCTTGCTGGTTCTTGTGTCGGTTGATTTGGCCTAGAATAGGTAGTGAGCACTATGAAGTCATCGCGGGACAGCTGATGGTCTCACCAGCGAGTTGGCCGATACGCGCCAGAAGCTCCTTGTCCTCTTCCGACATGTTCGAGATGCTTGATTTCCGTCGCGAACTGTGTGTCTGATTCAGTGCAAAAGCTTTTAAAAAAAAAAATGCGCTTGAATTTCGTATGTTTTGGCGGTTGTTTGTACAGTAGCTCGAACCGAAGCAGCTCAAATTATGTTGGGTCCAGGAAATGCAAGGCTACCGAGCTGCTTGTGAGCAGATTAGCCTTGAAAAGTGGCGAGCAAGATTAGTCATCATCGCGCTCACGTCTTTGCGGTGCGAGGCTGAGCAACAAGCCAGCCATTCATCACTTTGCGAACTGCCCAAGCAAAAAGCAGCCGTTTATCCTTTATATCATTTGTGCTTTGCTGTCGCCCAAGAAAAATTCTACCCCCTCTATATCATAACCATGGCTTCTTGGGAGCTGCTGGACGAAAAGGGCGAGTCTGAGCTTCACAAGAGCCGACTTCTCAACGTGGAGGAAAAGCCATTCAAACGCATCACCAAGCGACTGTCCTCCATCTCCGCGATTGTCTCCAGCGCTATTCAATCCGACTCTGCGAGCCAAAATGGAGGCCAAACCTCAAGCAGCGCTCAGCTGCAGGAAGACCTAACGTTCGACTTCGCCGCCTTTGACAGCAGCATTGCTCGCTTCCAATTCCTTCACGACGCAAACGTGCGAGAGCGAGAGCGCTACGAGGCAGACAAGCAGCGCATCCTCGCAGAATGCCAAGCCGCCCGAGAAAACAATTCGCGGCTGCGAGAGCAGCTGGAGGATGCAAAGGCAACCCTGGCACGACGGAAGAAGTTTGACGAGCTGGCGGAGAAGATACTTTCTAATCGGCTGCTTCGGCCACGCGAAGACCAGACTGCTGCTCTGGAGAAGCTGGAAGAGGAGTGCAAGGAGCTGGAGCGTGAAAGCGAAACCTATAGCGGAACATGGAAGGAACGGAGAGATCAATTCAACAGAATCATGGAGGAGGGCATGCTGCTAAGACGGCAGATCAGAGACGAGAAAGAAGAAGTAGACAGGAGAGAAGGAATGAACGAAGGCGGAGAGGACGAAGTGGAGGAACAGCGTGGAGGCCAAACGCCTGGCATTGAGCCAAGCAATACCGGGACGCCGCGTCCAGATGGCGATGGTCCATTGAATGAGACACCTCAGCCAACAATATCTGTGGACGGACCGACGCCGTCAGTAAGCTCTCCCAGACCAGATCGACTGCAGCTTCTGTCTACAGATGCCGGGACAACTTCCAGAATAGGGAGCAGAGCCTCGACGAGGGAATTGTCACAACCTCCGCTACGAGATGACGATTCGGGCACCGAGACGGGAGAAGACGTTGAGATGGACGATTCACGGAATGGAGGGGACGAAGAAGAAGGCGAGGAAGACGAAGACGACGACAAATCGGGCGCGAGAAATGATGACAAGATGGAGGTTGACAATTAGATTGGACTGTCTGCATAGCATTGCTCTTTTAAACGATGGATAGAATCGTTTGTACAATTAGGATACCCGAATTGAAATCCCCCCAAAAAGGATGGAATACCATTGTTGGGTATCCGGTGATGTGGACCACCGCTGTATATTATGGTGTATTATATCGTAAACTCTTTTCGTCTCGTTCTTCTCCTTTATCATCCACCTTCTCTAAATATCGCTTGGCTTGGCCTTTTCCAACGCCGCCTTTGCATTCGCGAGTTCCTCGGCCGAGGCATTCCCAGTCTTCTCTTCGGACGCGACCAGATCCTCCAGCTTCTCGACAGCCTGGTTGATCCGGTCTCTCAGAGGCTTGAATACGGCTCTCGTCTGCTCGACAACTAGTTGCTAAAGAAAGAAAGAAAGAAAGAGGTCAGCACCTGGAATGCATCATGCAGTGGCCTTTATAGATGTCCACATACCTGCTGCTTCAGGATATACTTTGCATTGCCGTCTTCGTCATCCTGTCCGCTCTTGATCTTCTCCTCCTGGGCCTTTGCATCAGCCTCTTGTGCCAGGAGCTCCTTGTGATACGACGCTTCCTCTTTCAGGAGTCGGTTGACGGCGCCCGTCGCGATAACCAGGGGAGACGGAGAAGGCATTTTGGGATTGCTATGTGGAGAGAGTCGGACAACGGAGGCTGTTTGAGTCGCGAGGAGATGGTCTAAAGAAAAGGAGTAGAAAATATAGTAGTCCGAGACTTTATAGTTCAACGATAGAAGGCTCCTTGTCTGGGATAATTCTGCGGTGCCTGTTGCAAGACTGCGGTAAAGCAGGTGCCTAGCAGGTAGACGGATTGAATCCCTGCGTGGGGTTCCTGGATCCATGGCGGGGCAGCTCAGCTGCTTTACAGCACCATCACCAAAAACTTCACTACTGATTAGAATGCTTGTACTCCGTAAACAGCGTGTTGAATTGCCACAACTGAACATCACTACATTTTCAGTACTACTTTTATGCCTCCATATCAAACAGCATTGAATCATAAGCAACAGCATTCAACGCATTGTCGTTCCTTTCAAAATCCGTCTTCACGACAGGCTCACTTCGCATTGATGTTTTCGTTGAATAATAACCAATCCTCCCAAACACCCTTTATAAACAACTAATCAACACACACACACAGAGCAAAGAAAACAAAAGTTGTCCTGTTTCGACATCCAAGGCTCGAATTGTCATTTTTCCCTCCTTCCTTTATCCAGACAGAGAACCTCCAAGGTTACATGGTATCTCCCAAACGCCTTCAACTCCGCCATGGGCGATTCGAACAAAAACAAGAAAGACCCGTTGCCCAAGATGCACAGCAATGTATTTTTTTTTTTTTTTTTTTACATGCACAAAATTTTTGTCAGTTTTTTTTTCCGGTGGTTGTTAAGCAGACGGTTATGCTTCGACAGCAACCGCAGCAACACTCACAGGAGCAACGGGCTCAGGTTGGTCTTGGTTCGAAATCTCGCCGCCAGCTTCCCGCTCGGCCCAGGCACCCCAAAGGCCACGCTTGCCTCGTACTTTGATAGGGTCACCAAGACCTGAGCTCTGCTCAACCTTGATGGCATCCTTAGTTGCGAGGACCAGGCACTCGAAGAACATCTTGGTAGCTTCGGCCTTGGTAGTCTGCTTTTCAGGTAGTAAAGTCTGGAAGACAACCGCCGATTTCTTCCTCTTGTCGGCATCCTGAGAGGCCTCGGAGCCAAACAGGTCTCGCAGAATGTGAACAGCATGCTTGGTACCAACCGAGACAGGGCCGCTGTCGGCAGGGTGAACGAGAGGCATGGTTGTATCTTCGAATGCGGGCATTGGGCTGCTTCTCTCTCCTCCATCCGCATGATCATCGTCAAAGTGAGCTGCGCTTTCGTCGGCGGGAATATCAAGAATGGTGCCATCAGCGCCCACGCTCTGGTTGCCAAAGGCGTTTCCGTCGAGAGTGAAATCGGTATCATCTCCCAGCTCGAGACGAGGAGACTTGATGCCACCCAACTCACTGTCCACATCGGCAACACCAGAGTCGCGCTTGCGCTTCAGCTCGTTCGCGCCACGCACCATGTCCAATGACAGCATACCACGAAGTTCAGGTGCCCATCCCAAGCTTCGGCCTTCCATCATGATGGAAGACACAAAGCCGCCGCTCTTCTGCATTTCTGCCAGAGCCAGAAGCAAAGGGTCGCGGGGGAGGAATGTAGCTGGCTTGGTGATGTTTTCTCTGTGAGCCTGTTGCTGTTTGATGTGAGTGCTAGACAGCGCAATCTCGTCATCTGGCATCATGACGCGCTGTTTTCTAGGGCGTTGCGCAGGTCGCTTGACGGGAGAATCTTCCACGTCATCCTGGGGTTCGTAAAGATCTGTGTGGCCGTGGCGAGAATATTCCTCCTCAATCTCCTTGGCAAACTGGTCATCAATATCTGACAGAGGAGACTCCGAAATTCTCTCTCGATTAATGTCAAGCGCAGCCAGGCCAGGAACAGCGGACTGATCGTCAGGGTTGAACTGGAAATCATCGTCGCCCATCTGGATATCGCCCTCATCGTCTGCAATCCTGACGCCGCCGTCCAAGTCCATGTTAGTGTCTTCGGGACCAGCGCCCTCCTTGGATCGGGGCATGATGTCCAGCTCGCTGAACACATCATCTTCTATTGATCGGGCAGCGGGAGCGTCTCGACCCATTTCAATACTGTGGCTTGGGCCACCATCCATGTCAAGTCCAAAGTCGAGCTCGAGCTCAAGGTCATCCATGGGCGCAAGCGCGTCCTCATCCAGAGTCATGCCGCCCTGGAGATACTGGCTGTTGTCGAAATCTTCCTGCAAATTGATGTCCCGAGTGTTGCTGACGCGTCCCTTCCTACCGACTTGCGTAGACGACACATCTTCGACTTGCGAAAGCAGCCATGAAGCATCAGGCGGGGGAGGCAATTCGAGGTTGTCGTAGGGCGTGATGCGATCGGGCAGAAGCAAGGCCTCGCGATTGGTAACTTGTAGGTTGGCAGCCAGATCGTTGTTTCCACTAGATCGGAAGGCCTAGCAGGTAATTGTTAGCATGGCATGTAACCTTGAGAGAAAATAAAAGCTACCAACCATTTTGATCTTCATCATGGCTTCGTTACAATCATCCAGCAAGTATCGCGTTTTGCGCTGGTATATCCTGACGACACCAAGCAGAAGCTGTCCGCTGAGACGCAGGGCCATGGGCGCCTGGTTCGGCGTGATGATGGCCTCGACACTGTCCGTGACATTGGACTGCAAAATGTGATTCTTGGAGAGCTTGCGCTCGAGATTGGCCGACAGCCAGACACGGGCAAGCGGCCCGGTCTTCTGGAGGAGCGTCTCCGAGTAGAACATGGTGGCGCGCGAAGCTGTCGCACTGGTGGTGGTGCTGGGGCAAGTCGAGGTAGGTTGTGAATATGAATATGCAAAAGCTCAGCCAGTGAAAACGGTGCAGGGACACGAGTTTGGAGCAGAGTGGAGGTGAGTAAACACGGAACAAGGGGCGCGTGTTTTGGTGGATAAACAAGTCGCCTAAACCGTGTTCGGGCCTGGCTCACGCGCGATGGCAGCCGCGCAAACTCATCAAGTCAAAAAATGCAGTCGCCCAGGGCAGGTCTGCTGAATCGCACGAGACGGAGCGGCGAGGGTGAGGCGACGGGGGTGGCGATGGGAAGTGCAAAAATGGCGAGGGAAGCAATGGGTTGTGTGAAACTCTCAGGTTGAGCGAGGGGAGATGCTTCGGCCATGCTGCCGTAAATTGCGTGGCTGGGAGGAGTGGCTGGTACTAAGTACCTTCATTAGCTCCCCTGCCGTCCATTTTCGGTGGTGCCGGAGGTGGAACATTATCTTTTCCGGCGCCAAAGTGGCTTTTTCCGCTCGTCGGAAGTCGGTGGCCACATGGCTTGCCTAACTTGGCCCTGAATTACTGCACTTTTATGGCTTGTGGTCGTACGTTTGCCGTTTGTGGCTGCAAATTGTCTTTGATGAACTCCGTACCGTAGAAAGGATATCGAGCATCGTTGATATCATCTGCAAATTTCTGAGCCACTTTATCAATCTTATATACGAAGCAACATTGCAGCGTATTATTCCGTCCTGTCTTATGAGCTCAAGGCGACCAAAGATGCTGACCAAGGTATTCATTCACTCAAATACATGCTGTATGACGGAGTATTGCATCAATGCTTTCTACAACTCGCCTCCTCAAATGTCATATAATTACCTGCAATTTATTGTTGATATACTTACATAGGTAGTAACCTGAGCGGGCTCGTTCTGTATTTCCTTCTCTGTTGATGCTCAGAACTTCAAAAGCCTTCTGTAGTAGCTCCCTGTCAGTCATTCTCGTACCACTACCTCTGTTATGACATCCATTTCTGGCACATGTCGCTTTGTATTCCGACACCCGCAGCTGACCATCTGCAGGCTTCAGACATTGGGCAATCTATTTTTAAACACGAGGCCATGTGCATAATGTTGCTCAATATCGTAATGCCGGACTCTACCTTTCAATGTTACAAGCATCTTGTCCCCCCAGTGCCGCTTTTCTATTTCCATAAAGAGCAGAGTTGTCATTCTTCTCCTAAATTCAGCTCCTCGAATAGGCTTAATCTCAAATCCAGCTTCTCCATAGCTGAGGCTCACGACTCAGGAGACTTGGCTAGCGGAGAATTACTGTTGGGGGGATTCATTGTCTCAAGGAATTGATACAGCGCGTTGCCATTAGGCAATTAACACAATCAATTGAAGAGAAACTACCAGGAATTGCCCCGTGGCAAGACCAAGGCTTGGCTGGCATGTACACCTTCGAGTAATCGGTGATAAAAAGAACGAAAGGCGCAAAGTCGGAGAGTTCAAGGTCCAAGACCCGTTAAGAGATAGGCCGCGTCGCCCACTCACTTTAGCCGCGGTGCCGCTAAGCCTAAACACAGCGTCACTTGGCGCCCCCAGTACCTGCAGCCCCCTGTAGCGCTCCCTGTTCCCCAGTCCAGTGGCGAGGCTAGTGCATCCATTCCACTGGAGCCTTGGAAGACCACCTTTCCATGTAATTTCCATGATCCCATTGCTGATGCTTCACCGGTCTGAACGTTGGCCTCTTCATCAGGGGATGAGGATCGTAACCGTCAGTGTCCGCCGCAAGACGAAGACCCGGAGCACCTACGAAGCGCCCCCTTGCGATTTCGAGGACGCATGCGCGACCGCCGACTCTCTGCGCATTCCTTTGTCTCTGCCTCCCTCATGATACCCGGCCTTTGATACCAGCTTGGCAGTCGACTCTCCGGGCCCCTTTTTTCATTTTCGACGCCATCTCGAGTCCCCAATATGCAGCTGCCGTGGGCAGGGCAGGGCTCTGGCAATGAGTCTCTGCTGCCAGTGGCCGGAGTGCCCATCATCACCGGCGATGCGGCCGATTCGCCGCGGCAGGGCAGATCAGATTCAAAGTCTGGACATGCCCGGACATCATCGGTGCATGCGCGGGTAAGCCTGGAGATTGCCATTGGCACAAGTGCAAGTTTCTAACCTGATGAAAGGGAGTGGCTAAGGAGTTTTCCTTCATGACCCCCAGCGAAGCTGCCGCGCAGTTACGAACGTCGCTTACTTACGGCCTCACGCCCAACGAAGCATTGAAACGACTCGGCGAATACGGACCCAATGAAATACCACACGAGGAACCGGAACCGCTTTGGCTCCGGTTCGTCAAGCAATTCCAAGAACCGCTAATTGTACTTTTACTAGTATCCGCGGGAACATCACTGCTCTTGGGCAACATGGACGATGCTATCAGCATTACTGTGGCGGTAACCATTGTCGTTTCCGTGGGCTTTGTCCAAGAGTATCGATCCGAGAAATCCATCGAGGCTCTCAATCACCTGGTGCCGAATCACGCACACCTTGTACGAGGCTCGCCGAATAAGTCGTCTACTTTACCGAAACCTCCCACCTGGCCCCCCAGCGTCAACGGCCTTCAAGACCCGGCCGATAGTTCTGGTTTGATCACACCAATCGAAGATATTCTGGATGCGACTTCGTTCAAGGTTGGGGCCTCTCAGCTTGTACCAGGAGACCTCGTCTTATTTACTACTGGCGATCGTATTCCCGCCGATATTCGAGTTACTAAGGCGGCCGATCTGACCATTGATGTCTCCAACCTAACTGGCGAAACAAAACCTGAGCGGATAACGACCGAATCGCACTCTCAGGGATTGAACATTCAAAGCTTCAATCAATTCCACAAGCAGACATCTCTCGCCCCAGCAGCGCCCATAGGCACTCCTGAGTCTGAGAGCGGCGCTAAGAACATTGCATACATGGGTACTCTGGTAAAATCTGGACACGGGCAAGGAATTGTTTTCGCTACTGGCGGGAACACTTATTTCGGATCGATTGCCTCGAGCGTTTCCGGGACGGAAAACCCTAGGTCGCCTTTGCAGTTGTCGATGGACGACCTTGGCTCACAGCTGAGCAAGGCATCATTTGTTGTGATTGGGTTGATATCGCTTGTTGGCTGGTTGCAAGGGAAGAAGTTGCTGGAGATATTCACCATTTCTATCTCGTTGGCCGTTGCAGCCATCCCAGAAGGATTGCCCATTATTGTAACCGTCACTCTGGCTCTTGGTGTACATCGGATGGCCAAGCGTCATGCCATCGTGCGCTGGATGCCCAAGGTTGAAACTCTTGGCTCCGTCAATGTAGTGTGCACTGACAAGACCGGTAAGGCTTCCTTTCAGACGATTCGTGACCGTACTGGATGCTAACGTCGTTGGAAATAGGCACTTTGACCACTAACCATATGACCACTGTCCAAATGTGGTGCTTTGGAGAGGGCGGTTCGTTCAACGTATCTTCAGACGCTGAGGTTGAAGAATTCAAACCGACGCAAGCGGCTTTACATATTCTACGGATCGGAAACCTTGCAAACAATGCACGACTATCAAAGAATTACACGGAAAGCGGCGCCGCCGCAAGTGCGGTCTTGTCATCGACACTGGGCCGCGAAGAGGGATCTACTTATACTCGCTGGGTTGGCCAACCGACAGATGTAGCTATGCTCGATCTGCTTGACAAATTCAAAGAACACGATATACGAGACTCCATGGGCCCTCGCATTACAGAAGTGCCCTTCAGCTCTGAGAGAAAGTGGATGGGAGTTACCGTTGGAAGCGAAAAGGAGTATGCATACATGAAGGGATCGATTGAGAAGGTTCTCGCCGCTTGCGACACATATATGGAGAAGGACGGACGGGAAATTGTACTGGATAATGCACGACGTCAAGAGGCAATGGCAGCTGCCGAGGCCATGGCATCCAAAGGACTTCGAGTGCTTGCCTTTGCTAGTGGCCAAGTGCCCAGATCCTCAAGAACGCGCTCATCGGCTGCTGACACACGAAGCAACACACCCGGCGACGGTGCTTCTAGTCCGGTCATTCCCCAGGGCTCCGAAGATTCCTACAAGGGCCTTACATTTGCCGGCTTGGTCGGTATGAGGGACCCCCCGAGGCCTGGCGTTGAACGCTCCATCCGACGGCTGATGCGAGGTGGCGTCAGAGTCATCATGATTACGGGTGATGCAGAAACTACGGCACTTGCGATTGGTAGACAGCTAGGAATGAATATCGCTATTCCTAGCGCTCATTTACCGGGTCAGAACGAGGTCAAGGCTGTTTTAAGAGGAGACGAGATTGACAGAATGTCGGACGGGGACCTCGCCGAAGCGATGCAGCACACCACCATTTTCGCGAGAACTAACCCGGACCACAAGATGAAGATTATCCGCGCTCTCCAGTCCCGAGGAGACATTGTAGCAATGACAGGCGACGGCGTAAACGATGCGCCTGCCTTGAAGAAGGCCGATATTGGTATTGCAATGGGACGCCATGGAACCGATGTTGCCAAAGAAGCAGCAGACATGATTTTAACCGACGACGATTTCTCCACCATTTTACGTGCCATTGAAGAAGGCAAGGGAATATTCAACAACATTCAGAACTTCCTTACATTCCAACTGAGCACGAGTGCGGCGAGCTTGGCCCTGGTATTTGTCTGTACATGCTTCGGGTTCAAGAGCCCCTTGAATGCTATGCAGATTCTTTGGATTAGTAAGATTTCCCGATCGATTTCTCTCTATCAAGGAGGCGTTTGACTAACATGAGAGCAGATATTATCATGGATGGCCCTCCTGCGCAGTCGCTCGGTGTCGAAACAGTTGACCCTGATGTGATGAACAGGCCGCCAAGAAAGCGCAATGATGCAGTTCTCACGACCAAACTCATACAGAGAGTTTTGACTTCGGCTGCCATCATCATGGTTGGCACAATGCTCACGTACCGGCAACAGATGGCCGACGGCATCGTCACCCGCCGGGACACTACCATGACCTTTACTTGTTTCGTCTTCTTTGACATGTTTAACGCTCTTAGCTGCCGCTCTGAATCAAAATCGGTGCTGCGTGGCGAGGTGGGCTTATTCTCGAATAACTTATTTAACTGGGCAGTTTCTCTGTCTATCATCGGTCAACTACTTGTCATCTACCTTCCATGGCTGCAAGAAGTTTTCCAGACAGAAGCCATTGGGCTGGGTGATTTGTTACGACTCGTCATGCTTTGCAGCACGGTGTTTTGGGCAGATGAATTACGAAAGTATCTGAAGTATGGGCGGCGGCGTTTGGGCGGCGGATACAGCCAAGCGGTATAAAAAGAGTGCATGGTATGGGAAAAGAGAAGAAAAAAATAGGGACGGATTGGGGTTTCAATAGGGGCTGTGATATATGGCAAGAGGCGACTTATAATACATAAACATGTATGAGTCTGGGGAATAGAGTAGAACCCCTGCATACCTATACATATTTAGCATTGATAATATTCTTGCATAGCATTATCGTATTGGATTCTCGCTGTTTGGTGGAAGAGAAAATAATTGACAAGTATCGACTTATACGATACCGTGGATGATTTGAAAGACGGTGTCTGGTGTTTGTCTGGTTGTTCTACGTATTAAGGGAACGAGGTAGCAGCACGGAGAACCCCAAATTCGGACTCTTTGAGAGTAAATGACACAATTGAACAAGACAAGTTATAAATTTATTATATATCTTTAAATGTGAGTGTTTTGTATATCAATTTCACTTAGTTTCAAGCACTAAGCTCAGCAGCAACAAAAGCAATTGCAAGTCTCAAGTTGGCCCCTCCTCCACCACAAGCCCCCCATATTGTGCAGCAACCTTAGTAGCTTATCTGTCACCAGAACACCACCAACAAGCTGCAACCTCCCAATCCGCCAGCTGGTGACCTCGGGCGGTGCAACGACTCCAAAGGCCAGCAAATCCGCCTCGAAGACGCTTGCCAGGGGCAGCTATGCGCCTCCTCGATACTCGTGCTCAGCGCCAATGTCAGCCTCTAACGGCGTCTCTCGCGGCAGCAGCCATGCTGTAGCAGCGCCAGCCGTCCAAAATGCCACCACCGAGGCCGAGATACGCGCAACCCTTGCCGCCCTCCACAAGCGCGAAGCAGCCATAACAGCGAGGCTCGATGCGCTGCTCGAATCACAGGCCGACCTGTCGCGGGATCTGGGCAGGCTGGACCTCCTGCGAGCCGGGCTGGGCGCTCAGGTGATTGCGGCTCGATCCATCAGCAACGACATGCTCTCGACGGCAGCAGACACGGCCGGGCGGCTCAGCAATAGGGTCAAGGAGCTGGATCTGGAGAAGAGCCGCGTGGAGGATACGCTGGGCGTCGTGGAGCAGGTGGCCGAGCTCAAGGCGTGCGTCAATGGCGTGGTTGGATCCATGGGGGCGCCCCAGGACTGGGAGGCGGCGGCAGCGTACATTGCCCGCGCAAGCAAGATCCCGGAGGCCATCACTAGGGGAGCCTTTGCCGCCAACATTGTGCCCAGTGTCGAGGTGCCCGATGCGCCCTGGGTCACGCTGGAGACGGCCAAGGAGAGCCTGTGCGGCCTCTTCCTGCGCGAGTTTGACAAGGCGGCGTCTGAAGGCGACGGCACTAAAGTGACGAGGTTCTTCAAGCTGTTTCCTCTCATCGGGAGGGCCGAGGTCGGACTGGATGTCTACGGAAAATACGTGTGCCAGGGTGTCGCGGGCACGGCTCGAGCCACGCTCAAGGACGGCATGGCAGGTCAGAATCGCAAGGAGGGCATCATCTACGCCAATTCCCTGACGAGGCTCTTCCAGCACATCGCACAGATTGTCGAGGGCCACGGAGGGCTCGTCGAGAGGCACTACGGCGCCGGCAAGATGGTCCGCGTTATCGAGCGCATCCAGATGGAGGCAGATGTCCAGGGCGGCATCATCCTCGACACCTGGGGCGACGAGCGCGGAGTTGACAAGAAGCTGACTGACGTCAAGAGCTATCCTTTCTCATTCCTAGTTCAGAGCTTCTTACCGCAGCCTCCCAGAGGAGGGGTCCCCAGAATGAACTCACCTGCGGCAGGCCTGGGCAACAACCCTCGCAACAGTGAGGATGAGGGAGTGAATATGAAGGAGGTTGACGGCCTGCTGCATGAGATTTCCGTCATGCTTGCGCAGTGGTCATTTTACACTCGATTTATTTCGGCCAAGTCCATGGTATGTACAACCCGCTGTCTGAGATATTCGTTCTCTCTCCTCTTCTTTTTCTTCTTCTCTCTTTCTAACCGTGGTGTTTGTTTCTCCACAGGACCCGGCAGATCAAGATGCGCCCCTGAGGCTAGCAGAACTGCTAGTCAAATCGAAACTATACGGCAAAGTATCTTCCAAACTAATATCACCCTACAACGTCATGTCAACCTTTTTCTTCCGTCGATCCGTTGAGAAAGCTTTCCAGCTGGACGAGTACCCCAGTGGCTTGTCTCTGAGTCTGAATAGATCAGTTGAGGGCAACACTCCCTATATAATACTTGCGGTTGACGATGTCATGTACATCGTCAACGCCGTACTTCAGAGGTGCCTATCCACCTCGCAGAAAGACGTTGTTGTTTCCGTCGTCCCGTCTGTTAGTCGAGTCCTCACTGGCGACTTTGTGGGCATGATACAGCGCAAGATGCGTGACGAGTCTTACCCCAAGGCGGCTATACAAGGCGGCTTCCCACCGGAGGAGAAGATTATACAATTCATCGTTCTCATCAACAGCTTGGACATGGCCAATGAATATCTGGTTCGAATCATCCACGGCCGCATTGGCTCCCCGGATGGGCCAGCACAGCACAAAGAAGAAATCGAGGCGCAGCTGAAACAATCATTTCCGTTTGAACGCGATGTGGTGGCTGTTGTAGGCGCTTTACGCTCACTAGAGACGGCCTTCCTTGGGAAGACAAATGAATTGCTTAATGAAGCAATCCAGGTCTTGTTTAACCAAGTTGTTAAGCTACGGCTAAGACCGGTCCTCAGCGACACATTCCGCGACGCCGATTACACGCTGACCGAGCAAGATATTGTGGAAATCGCTCAGGAGAATGATGAGGGAGAAGAAGATGTCCTAGATCAAGTATCACGTCGCTTCGAACATGGGTGGGATCAGCTCATGAAGGCTATTGGCCGACTCATGACACCGGGCACGTTCAGCAGCCTCATGGACATGACGGCGCGCTACCTGTCGCGGATTCTGGAGAAGAGGATTCTTGGCTACGGTGGAAAGACGAGCGCATATGGTGCGATTCGCATGGAGAGAGATTTCAACGCCATAGTGGATGTGGTCTCTCGAGGCAACTATAGTGTCAAGGAGTTGTTCAGTAGGGTGACACAACTGCTCATGGTCGCGAACATGGAGGACGATGAATGGGATGAAATTTGTGCTCAGGATGGAGAAGATGGCATTGACTGGGTTCTGACAGATGATGAAAAACGAAGAGCACGGAGTTTGGTAAGAGGATAAAGAAAATAACTTGGAAGGCATTTGTAGCGTATGGGCCGTATGGTTAAGATTAGTTGGGCTTGTTATGTATGTTGAGTTGAGTTTGGCGGCAGCTCTCGGTGTTGTTGACATAAGGCATATACCTAGATATTAGAAGTGTGCGCTCAACAGGGCAAAGACCATAGAAGGCATGTTAGAAAGCAACACATAAAATTACTGTCATCGCCCAAGCAATAATTTAAAAGTTATGTTTTTGTCTCTCTACCTGTCAACGATTCTGTGAAGTGTAAAATATCTACAGTGCAGAAGTTGTAAGTGGCTCAGCAGCCCTCGGAGTGGCGTCGGCATCGCTACTAATGCACGTCTGATTCAAAGTATAAGCCGCCAGATGAAATTTTCCGCCCACCCTACATTTCATGCGGCGAAACCGGCACAATATATAATTCATGAGTCCTCGCAGCGTTCCAACGACTAAGATATCAGGCAGCAACCCGCTTAGCAACTTCTTCATTCTGAACACAATCTCACAGCTGGAGATTTAAAGTACATATAGTCCGTACAAAACATTACATTCCCCGCTACCTTCGTCATAATTTCCCTACGTCAACTCCATCACCGGGGCTTGCCTCGAGCACTTACAACCTCGACAGTGTCACTGTCACGAAAGTTAGCAAACGCCCGCATGATAGCGACTATGGAGACTAGAATAGTAAGGGTTGCCCCTAGCAAGGGCACTCAGCTCGGTCGTTTCGAAGCTTCAACCGGCGCTTCAAAGGTCGAGGAATGGCGCATCTTGCCTGAAGCAAAAGACGCCGTCGCCGCCCTCGAGGACGCCGCCCAGTATCTCAAGACCAGCGACACGCCCGTTGCTTTCCCAACAGAGACGGTCTACGGCCTCGGCGCCGATGCCACTCGCAGCGGCTCCGTCAAGGGCATCTACGCTGCAAAGGGCCGGCCATCGGACAACCCGCTCATTGTGCACGTTGCGGATCTTCACATGCTGCGGGAGCTGCTAGGCAAGAAGAGCGATGACCAGGATGCCATTCCGAGCAGGTATCAGACGCTGATAGACCGCTTCTGGCCCGGTCCCTTGACGATACTGCTGCCTAACCCGCAGCCTTCGAAGCTAGCTCCGGAGGTCACCGCGGGACTCACGACGTTTGGCGCCAGGATGCCGTCGTCGCCGTTGGCTTTGAGTCTTATCAAACTGGCTGGAGTGCCTTTGGCTGCGCCCTCGGCAAACGCATCTACCAAGCCGTCGCCCACGGCAGCGCAGCACGTCAAAGATGATCTAGACGGGCGAATTGAAATCATTCTCGATGGAGGCCCTTGCCAGGTTGGCGTTGAGAGCACCGTCGTGGACGGCCTCTGCGAGCCCCCTGTGGTGCTGCGTCCAGGAGGCATCGGCATGGAAGAGCTGCGGAGTTGTCCGGGCTGGGAGAACGTGGTCAAGGCCTACAAAGACCACAGCGAAGAAGGGAAAGCGGCCCCCAGGGCACCGGGGATGAAGTACAAGCACTATAGTCCCAAGGCAAGGGTGGTGCTCTATGAGTCTACGTACAAGGATGGTTCCGCTGGTGTCTTGCCGTCCGACATTGAAGTTACAGGCGCTACAGAAAATGGTGAGGCTCGGAAGACCAACGGCCATTTATCAAAGAGAATAGGCGTCATCCGGACACAGCGGTGGAAGTCAGGGGCGGGTCTTGAGTGCGGCGCTTTACAACCTGCCCCCGTCAACCCAGATGCTCATGATGACGAGTATCTCAATCCCGCGTATCAAGTATACAAAGGAGATCTCAAGAACAGTCAGGGAGAGGTCATTGGCGAGCTTTTCGACATAGACCTGGGACAGGACACCAAGAGGATAGCTCAGGGGTTGTTCTCTGCTTTGCGGGAGCTAGATCGACGAAACATAGACACGATATTTGTAGATGGCATAGAAGGCGAGCTGGATATCGCCGCTGCCGTCATGAATCGCCTGCGTAAGGCGGCTTCGGAGATACGATCATGAGGGAGGCAATGCCGGGATAGAGCAAAAAAGAGGAAGATGCATAGATTCGTTATACCCCTGCCCTGTATATAAACCGATCTCGCGTTTCAAGGAATAAAGAAAACCAAGGAATAATCAACTATAAAAGTAATCTTTTAGTGCAACAGACCGCTGTGAACGACATTAACTCCAACCAATTCCCAGGTCTTGTATTTACAGCCCCTGGCGAAGCCAATCCGTCAGCTTCGACTTGCCGAGTTGTGCCAGGTTGTTAACGCCCTGTTCGCTGAAGTCGATACGGCCCAAGGGAACGTCCTGGGTGGGCGCACGGCTGACCCGCTGGACAATGATGGTAGGGTCCGTCTCCAGGATGATACCGTCGTCGACAATCTCATCAATGGCCAGCGAGACGAGGTCGTAGTTTTCGACAATGGTCCTCTTGTCAACGGATTGCCTGGTTTGGGCATTAGTAAGACAATTCTAGCCACAAGCACGGAGAGTACTGACTTAAACAGAAGGTGCAGAGAATCACGAAGAGCCAGCACGGTATTATAGAGCAAAATCTCGTTCTCGTCGGCAGCACCAACAACGTAGAGCATGACGTCGGATTCCATCTTGTACAGGACGATCCGGTTGTCGTAGAGGATGATGTCGCCCGTCTGCTTGGCTGTCTTGTCAATGAGGCCCTTCTCGAATGCCTTCTGCGCCTTCAGGTCGGTATACGGGTGGCTCGGTATGCTTGCGCCGCCTATCAAGCAAGCTTGCTGTTAGCAATTGCGCATACAACTGAACACGGGGCCGGGGCGCAAGCCGTTGTCCAGCTCAATCTACAGGTGCGTACCAGTGGGAGCGGCGTGAGGCGGGGAAAAGTATTTGGCGAATATCCGGGAGCCATCCTCAGTGCCGAGGATGAGGATTGCCTGAACGGCGAAAAGGGTCATTCCAGGAGACATTTTGGCGGTTGGGATGCTGTGACACTGCGAGAATGATAGCGATACCAGGTTAAGCTCCGACTTCAACGGCTTCACCTAAAGGTGTCCCCCCAAACGAGCCCCTCCAAAAACGGCAGGCCTCGGCCGAACCTTTCGCCGCTCCGGCGCTTAACGCGTGCTGTCCTTTGGATTCGCGTCTGCAAAAGCACTTTACGCGTCTGGGCAGGGAAATTGGCAGAAAACGCGACTCCACCGCCCTGCCTCGCATTGCCCCTCGTTTTTGCCGTAGCTTTTGCCCAAACCCCAGCTCAGGCAAAATTCCAGCTCGTTTTGGACCATCGTCAGCTTCGAATCCCTGCCCCATTGCACCGCTCCAAGATGTCGACGCCAAACCGAAGGCAGAGGGACTCGCAGTCCGCGACGCCTCGTCGCTCGACGCGGCATTCGGAAGCTGGAACCCCCGCGCAATTGGTGTCCAGCCCGCTCTTCTACCAGTCCTCGCCAGCTCCCACTCAAGGCATGGATGAGGTCATGGGAGATGTTTCTTCGCCTCTGCGGCAGATGTCCAACAGCCAGAGCACGCAGCCTACCAATGGACCTGCACCGAGCTCGCCCCTGAGGCAAATGACGGATACGCAGTCGACCAGCGGTGATGGTCAGCGAACGCCTCGAGCCAGTGGTGGCCTTGCCGGAGGTATGCTTTACTATATACAGATGTACAGATTTAATCTTCATGCTTACCGTTGAATCCACACAGAGTCTTCCCCTATTCGATACGAACCTAGCTCCAGTCCCGGTCGGACCCCGAGACTGCACTCAGACCTGCGCAGCGAAAGCAGTGGCCTCTTTGTTGGCTCCAGCCGCGGGACGCCATACAGACGTGGAGACATTAACTCAGATACCGTGAGAACACCTCGTGCTCCTCGCCATGTTATCCTGGACGAAGCAGGGCGAGTCATGCGAGAGGGTCAAGCTCCCGGCTCTGATGCTGCCTCTTTTGCGAACCGAGATCCAAATACCTCTGAAGCCGATCATCTGGGTGGTCCCGGCCAGAGTCTCATCTGGGGTACTACTGTGTCAATTGATGATACCTTTTCCACTTTCAAGGACTTTTTGCGACACTTCACACTCAAGTACCGCATGTACAGGGATGGCCTTACGGATGCCGAGGTGAATGCTGCCCCCGATGCCGAATCCAAGCCATACTGGGAGGCTCTGCAGAACATGCTATTGCTCGGCACGACTAGACTCTATCTCGACATTTCAGATTTGAATCTCTACCCACCAACAAGGAAGCTATGGCATCAGATTCAAGCCTACCCTCAGGAGGTAGTCCCGGTCATGGACCAGTCTGTCCATGATTTGATGCTTGACCTTGCCCAGGCGGAGACGATGAGAAATAGACCATCACAAAGCAGTGCTGGGCAGCAAGCTTCTCAGCGAAGCACCCAAGGCTCTGAGCCTGTGTTTCCCAGCTCTGACAGGCCTGATGAAGGCATCACTCCTACCCCCCGTCCTCGAGATGAAGAGCCCACATTGGAGGATCAAGTCGCAGCTTCACTTTACGTCGTGCGTCCCTTTGGTCTTGATAATCTGACTAACTTGAGAGACCTGAACCCCTCCGGTAAGTGCCATAGTTTATTGTTAACCTGGTCAAAGTAGCTAACAGGACTTAGACATGGATCGCCTTGTATCTATCAAGGGTCTCGTTATCCGTACCACGCCCGTGATTCCCGACATGAAAGATGCCTTCTTCCGCTGCAACGTCTGCAATCACTCTGTCAACGTTGGTTTGGACAGGGGAAAGATTCGAGAACCCACCGAATGCCCTCGCCCCATGTGCGCTTCCAAGAATTCAATGCAGATCGTTCACAATAGGTGCTCGTTTGAAGACAAACAAGTCATTAAGCTCCAGGAGACCCCGGACAGCATCCCCGCTGGCCAGACGCCCCATTCCGTCTCTGTATGCGTCTATAACGAGCTTGTCGACTTCTGCAAGGCTGGTGATCGTGTCCAGTTGACTGGCATCTTCCGTGTCAGTCCCGTACGAGTGAACCCGCGACAAAGGGCCATCAAGAGCATCTACAAGACTTACGTGGATGTCCTACATGTTCAGAAAGTCGACAAGAAGCGCCTTGGAGCTGACCCATCTACTCTTGGTGTGGAAGGTGAAGATGAAGTGGAAACAGGCAAAGACGAAATGGAAGAGACTCGTCGCATTACGGCAGAGGATGAGCTGAAGATTCGAGAGACGTCACGTCGCCCTGACATCTACGAGCTCCTTGCCAGATCACTGGCTCCTTCGATTTACGAAATGGACGATGTCAAGAAGGGTATTCTTCTGCAGCTGTTTGGCGGCACCAATAAGACCTTCCAAAAGGGTGGCAGCCCCAAGTACAGAGGCGACATCAATATTCTCCTCTGTGGTGACCCATCTACGTCCAAATCGCAAATGCTGTCATATATCCACAAGATTGCACCGCGTGGTGTTTATACCAGTGGCAAGGGCTCTTCGGCCGTCGGTTTGACCGCATACGTTACTCGTGACCCAGAGACAAGACAACTGGTTCTCGAATCAGGTGCTTTAGTACTCTCCGACGGAGGTGTATGCTGCATCGACGAGTTTGACAAGATGAATGAGTCAACTCGATCTGTCCTTCACGAAGTAATGGAGCAGCAGACTGTGTCAATAGCCAAAGCCGGCATTATCACCACTCTCAACGCACGAACCAGTATCCTTGCTTCTGCCAACCCAATTGGCAGTCGCTATAACCCCGACCTGTCCGTCCCGCAAAATATTGACCTTCCTCCCACTTTGCTGTCCCGTTTTGATCTCATCTATCTCATCCTCGATCGAGTCGACGATAAGACGGATCGTCGGCTCGCAAAGCATCTTCTATCCATGTACCTGGAAGATAAACCTCAGTCGGCACCCACTAGCTACGACATCCTCCCCGTCGAGTTCCTGACTCTGTATATCTCATACGCCCGTGCCAACATTCAGCCCGTGATTTCAGAAGAGGCCGCCAAAGAGCTTGTCGACAGCTACGTCGCCATGCGTGCTCTCGGACAAGACGTCCGCGCTGCGGAGAAGCGCATTACGGCCACCACTCGACAGCTCGAAAGCATGATCCGTCTCGCTGAAGCTCACGCCAAGATGCGTCTTTCCGAGACCGTGACAAAGGACGACGTTCAAGAAGCCTACCGTCTCATTCAATCCGCCCTCAAGACTGCCGCCACAGACTCCGAAGGCAGAATCGACATGAGCCTGCTCACAGAAGGCACCAGCACCGCGGAACGGAAGCGCCGCAGTGAGCTCAAGGACGCAGCACTACGACTGCTGGATGAGATGACTGCTGGCGGAAACACGGTTCGATGGAACGATGTTTCCAGGAGGCTGGCCGAATCTTCGAGCGTGCCCATCGAGACGGCCGAGTTTAATGAAGTAATGAGAACGTTGGAGGCCGAGAATGCCATCATGGTGTCTGGTGAAGGCGCGAGAAAGAGCGTTCGGAGAGTTACGGCCGTTGTTTGAAGGGGTTTCTCAGGGATTTAAGGGAAGAAAAATTGGTTTTTACTGGCTTTGTTATGAATTCGGGACAACGAAATGTTTTGATGACTATGTTGAAAAGGAGATAGAATGGTAGATAATATAATGCAAGACAGCTTGAATCATGCTCAATTCAAACTCGCATGAACCCCGTAGCGTGACATTTTCGTTTAGAAACAGGATTGAAAAAAAAAGGAAAGCATAAGCGAGTGCATTTCAAACAGTTTGTTATCCTAAAACAATTAAAAAAAAAAAAAACTCAACTCCTCGCCCAGTCCTCTGCCGCCTGCTCATTCACTAATACTTATCCATCTACAGAGGAAGCCTGGACGCGCATATTATACAATCTTGTAGATCCAGCTCCAACCAATACAACAATTCCCGTCTTTACCAATATTTCCTCTCTCGGCCTTCATATACAAAGTTGAAGCCGGCAGCCACAAACAGAGCAACGCAGAGCACACTAGGTCCCCAGCGGTCGTAGTAACGGGCAGCCTTGCGGTTGCGAATGGATCGGCTTCGGTAGAGATAAATACCGACGGAGTAGAGAAGACTGAAGATGGCCAAAAAGGTGAAAATGCCAGCAATCCAAAACGCAGTCGGGGTAGGGTGGTCTCCAAAATTGAGAAGAGTGGTAGCAATGGTTCCAATGTAAATCGAGTACTCAATCTAGATGCAAAAGTCAGTAAACAGTTCATGATATAAGAGTGCGATTTGGCTTTCAACTTACCCATCCAAGGAACGTCCTTTCGGCGGCAAAATAGACCTTGGGCTCTACGCGAACCGGAACATAAATCTTCTTGCCCGGAGGCGCACTAAACCTCTTGGTTTGGATCCTGCTGTTGCGGAACAGCGTTTGTAGTCTGTCAGATCGAGGAATTTCGCTTCCATGGGGGTGCGGAATGATGTATTTCAAGACGCTCCAAGCACCCGAAGCGGCGGCACTGGCCTTTGATGAGAAGAGGATGCGGTAGTAATGCCAACCACCGACTCTTCTAGCCTCTTCCAGCTCGTAGTTCTCGTCGTACTCGTCGTCAGAGTCATAGATGGGGAAGTCGTCATTCGCAGTTGGCAAATCAACCGTCTGGCCTTCCATGTCGGTAGCAGGGGCACGAAGCCTAGCACCGTGTCTGCTAGATTCGCCATTACCGGCACCGCGACGGACAGCATCCAACTCCTCATCATCAGAATCGAGTTCTTCTTCTTCGTCATCTGATGTTGTCGTTGTTCCCGAAATATCAGGTCGGCGGATGCCAAAATCGTGGGTGACAGGCTTGCGGATATCAACATCCATCTGGGGCATCCAGAAAGGGAGAAGGTTGATACGGCTGGGGAACAAGCAAGCAGTGCCGTGAATGAACTTGGAGAACTTGGGCACAGCCTCGACGAGATGAGACGAGATGAGCTGTCTGATCCACTCCGGCGGCTCCTGTCCAACCTGTGTCTGGAGCTTCACCTCAAGAATAGCGTAGGGGAAGCGCACGACATCTTCAGGAGGGAGCTGTGAAAAGGGGTAGTCAACTCCAATGTCCATACGTCTCCAGTTATCACCAGAACGAGCACGGCCGTCTAAGTTATCCTCGCGAACCATGGTCAGCTCAGTATCCAGTGAAATTCGCACGCGAGCGTCGGCAGGCAACTGGAAAGCGGTTCGGTTATAGAAAGAGCGGCAGACGGGCTTGTAACCGTGTTTCAGGACAGAGTACTGGATTTCTGCAGCTAGTCTCTCGTCCTCGGCAATGGCCTTTTCCGATTTCTTGCCTTCTTTGCGAGCCTTTTCGAAGATGGCGGCCGGCAGCAGCTCGCCCTTCATGTAAGAATTGACATTCTTCTCCTTAATCGCAAATCGAGCCTTGACGGACTTCTCTCCAGTCCAATCCTCTCGGTGAGTTTTGCGCTCAACGAAAATGGTCTCAGTCTTCATGCCACCATACCATCGAAGTCGGATAGCCTCTGCGCCTTCGGACTTCTTCAGGCGGCCTTCATAAAGGTCCCACTTCTCAGGGTTATCGTAATAGATGGATGTGATAGCTTGGTCCTGTTGCTCAAATTCCTTGCTAGCATTGAAAACCAAAACAGGCAAGTGCTTGAGGATAATGAGCTTGAGCTCCGTCACATTGTCGGGATGCACCCAATATTTAGTCGTCTGTCGGATAAAGCTGGCTTGGGAACCACCGGCCGCGCTGTCACCCTTGACCGGGTTTCCTCTCGTTCGAACAAGATCGTACAGCTTGGACAGCTTGATGACGGAGGCGTCGTAGTTTTCCTTGTAGAAAGGCTTGGCCTTGAGTCGGGTATCGAAAGCGGGACGAAGGTGCCATCCGGTCAATTTCTATAACACAGCACCAATTAGCAAGGCTACAGCAGATAGCTGTAGATCAAAGCATTGACTTGCATCGTGCTTTTTGATAATCTTGTAAAAGCCGGTATAATTGAGCTGGACAAACTTGGCCAGGTCGTGGACGTCGGCGATGATGTCACTCAGGTCCTCCTCCAGCAGCAGGAACTCCTCCTCACTGGGGCCTTCTTCACCGAGGCCGCGCTCGTTCAATCGGTTGACAACTTCCTTGACCTCGCGCTCGCTGATGGCAATTCGGCGAGAAATCTCCATGGCCTTGACCTGCTGCTTGGTGTGGACCTTTTCAAGCTCCGTCTCCAGCTTGCCGACGAAGCGCGTCTCGTCCTCCTCGGTCCACTCCTTGGCACCAGAGCCATTGGCGGCCAGAGGGCCCGTGGCATCTCTCAGCTCGCCCTTGAGGCCATTGTAGTCGATGTAGTACCACTGGTACTCTCGGATGATGCTTGACCGCAACTGCTCGCCGAACTTCATGACGACGACGCCTGGCCCAACCTGGGAGGATTTACCACGGTGTCGGAGGGCTGTCCAATTCTTGTTGATGGTCTTGAAATCTTTCGCAATCAGCATGGGGGCACCGGCTAGTGAGCTCTAACAACGAGGGTCGCAGGCGACAGAAACGCAATGGCTGGACGGCAGAAAAAGACGATGCGAAAGCGAGAAAACCAAACAACGCGATGCAGGCTTTGTCGGTCCCGTTTCCGAGGCGAAACTCACCTTGCAAATGGGCCAAAGATGCTGCAACGAATTAGAAGATGCCGGCTGAGTGGATGCAACGGATCTAAATCTTGCTCGAGGAAAAAAGCAAGACGCAGCCAGCTACAGTGGAATTTTTTTTCTCTCTCGCTTGGATGCTGGAAGAGGAAATGGTCCCCCTTTGAATGTCATGCCGTCCGAACCTTGCTATAATCGACAACTCCACCGCCTGGCCAATCGCAGGTGCGCCTGGCGAATCACGGTGACCAACTGGGCAACGTGAGGCCGGCTACAGCGGCCCACAGCGGCCTACAGCGCTGGACAGGCGTGCCTACGGAGTTCGGATTGCGCCCAGATCCACTATAGCTTCCATGGCTACAGCAGGCTGCCCCACTATACGAGCTGCTAGCCGGCAAAATCGCAGCCGTTGCTGAGCCTGAGAGTTAGCGGCAGGCCGCTAGAGCAATCGATTAAGCATCATCTAGCATTATCCGGCTAGATGACCGCATGCGCCGGCTGGGTGGGGCAGGGCGAAGAATCCATCCCAATTTTTTCTTTACCTTTGCTCGTGTGGTGATTGCAAGTAATGCCGTTGGTATTTGGTCAGTAAAAGTTTAAAGGCTTTTACGAGAACTAGGTAAGCTGATTGGGTTCTGGGGTACAAGGACAAGGTACGAGTCTACATGTATACGGTTCCGGCTAATACGTCAAAACCGCAAGCTATTAGGCCCTGGCTGAGACAATTCCAATATAGATTTACGATACCCCTCCATATCGAAATCTATTCCCACCATGCCGTCACCCATTGACGACTCCCTCCAGGCCAGGGTCTCCCCCGAGTGCCCCCAGGAGACTCGCGATGTCCTCTATCACGCCTGGGGCCACGACCTGAGCGGCCTGAAGAAGCTTCTCGACGACCGCAGCAAGGCCAGCCTCCAAGACCCCAAAACCGGCGAGACCCCGCTTCATGCTGCGATCCGCGCCTGTGGCCAGGCCGACGAACCGAACGGCGGGGAAGATGAGGGCGAGGACGGGTGTGTGGAGGAGGCTCGTGAGGTTGTGAACCAGCTCTTCTTCTCCGGCGCCATCTGGAACGATGTCGATGCCAACAATGAGACCCCCGCTTGTGTCGCCTACCGTCTGGGCCGAAAGACCCTGTATAACCTCTGCGTCGATGCTGGCGTTCGCGCGGAGATTCTCCTTGCCTTGATGGACGGCTATGAGGAGCTCTCCTCCGGCGGAGACGACGATGATAACGACGAGGACGAGACTATGCAAGAGCAAGAGCAAGATGCCGCTGCTAACGAAGCAAAGGCTCAAGACGGTGACGGCGAAGTCGTCGAAGCGGCAGAACCCCTCAAATTCGTCCCTCCCGACGCCAATGAGAAGCCCGTCACGAGCGAAGAGTACCTGCAGTCGGACCTCACCTACGACGACAACAAGCTCCTCGACTCGGACCTCAATGGCGTCATGATGGCCTGGGAAACGGACATTATGCGCCGCTCCGTCGCCGCGCTCATCCCCGACGCACAACCCGGCAAGCGTGTTCTCAACATTGGCTTTGGTATGGGCATCATCGACGGCATGTTTGCAGAGCTCAAGCCGTCAAAGCACCACATTATTGAGGCACACCCAGCCGTCTTGAAGCACATCTCCAGTCCAGAGTCCAAGTTCGGGGCTGCGTGGGAGAAGAGCGGACCTGAGGAGGGTGCTTACAAGGTCTTTGGCGGCAAGTGGCAGGAAGTCGTTCTCCAGCTCCTTGAACAGGGCGAGCTCTATGATGCCATCTACTTTGATACCTTTGGAGAGGACTATTCACAGCTTCGTATGTTCTTCATGGAATACGTCCCCGCGTTGTTAGATCAGGAAGGACGCTTCAGTTTCTTTAACGGACTTGGCGCAGACCGGAGAGTGTGTTACGATGTATACACCAAAGTGGTAGAGATGCACTGTGCCGATGCGGGCTTAGACGTGGAATGGGAGGAGAGCGACGTTGACATGGCGAAGCTCAACGAAGACGGCGAAGGAGAGTGGGAGGGAGTTCGACGACGATACTGGACACTAGACAGTAGGTCTCCCAGCCCTAGCAGTATATGCACGTACGGAATGACTAACAATAGACAGAGTATCGACTGCCAGTGTGCACTTTCATGGGTTAACGCGAACAAGATAGACTTCAATCAAATACCCCAGGCGCAATGCTTGCTGAGAATCATGACAAAGAGAAATACTTCTAATTTAGTCTTCTTTTCTGTTGATGATCCTTTAGGTACCTCGGGCTCAGACAAACATGACACGATTATATGAAATTCTCAGGGTGAAGGATACCAGCCAAGTTGCCAGCTTTGGCACGCTTGAGGGTTAGAGCGGCAATCAGGGCGGCTCCAACACCGCTACCATCCTCGGCTGCCAAAACCTCGATGGGATCCTCATCCTTGGGGTTGGCCTTCTGAGGCCAGTCGAGAATCTCCCGCAGGGCTTGTGCGCCACGGGCCTTGAAGTGAGGGTACTTGTTGAAGACGGATCCGTCAGCACCGACGTGGCAAGATTCGAAATTCTTCTTCTTGCAAATAGCCGCAACACCGCAGGCAGAGAGTCTGGCAGCTCGTGTTCCGATGAGCTCTGCTAATCTGCGAACCAGCTCAAGCTCAGGTACCGTAGGCGTGATGTTGAGCTTTGATTGGAAAGTATCAAAAGTCTCCTGAAGGTTCTCAAAGGGGTCCCTAGGTAGTTGATTAGTCTCCAAGTTCGTAAATATGCAATACTCGCCAAGACAGAGACTTACTCTTCAATGCCAGACAGGAAAGATGAATCCAGAGTGTAAGGCTTGCGGAGCAAAGAGATGTCCTGGTTCTCAAAGACATGGACTTCCTTGTTATCATGGAGGTCCACCAGCACCAATCGGAAGATCTCGCCCAGGTAGAGACCAGCAATCATCTTCTCGAATGCCTGCTGGCCAGGACGGGGAGAGTCGTTGTCGATGGTGATGTCGTACTTGGTGCGAGGCAAGACCTTGTGCTCATTGTCAAAAGCACCCCACTCGCAGTTAATAGCCATGGGGCAGTCCGGGGGAAGGTTCATGTGCGCCAGCTTGGGGATGGAGCCGCAATTCTCCATGTAGGCAGCATTGCATCCAGTTCCAAAGATGCAGCCAATCTTCATCTTGGTGTCGGTGTAGGCGGAAGCAATCAACGTTCCCGTCGTGTCATTGATCAAAGCCGACAGTTTAATAGGTACACCCTGTCATATTAGGCGTGAGCAAGTCTCCCTTGATCATTCGCAAGCTGAGGCGTCACTTACACGCTTAGCGATAGCAGCCTCAAACATTGGCACGACATTGCTTCCCTCAACACCGGCAATATCGAATCCCTTGGTCCATCGCTGGAGAATACCCTCGTCGATGTGATATTGGGTGGCCGGATAGGAGAAAGTGAAGCCCAGGGGCAGCGGTTCCAACTTGCTGCAGTCGCCGTGGTGAGTCTCGACGAATTGGTGGAGGCAGTCTGCAATGTACTCCCACAGCTCCTCGCTGGATCCAGTCTTGAGCTCCTCTGGCATACGGTACTTGGACTGAATAATGTCGAACTCTGATTTGCGGTCTGTCAGAGTGATCTCGCAGACACGCAGATTGGTACCACCCATATCAAGAGCCAAGAAAGAGCCAGTCTCGTACCCATCGGGGTAGGACATGACCCAGGTAGGGTTCATTGGCTAAAACCTTGTTAGAACGGCATGTGCTCAATCTGAAAGGGCATTTTTACGCACGATGCTGCCACCCTCGACGCTGAGACCTTGAGAAGCCGAAAGTTAGCATGCATGACGACGAGGATCAGCATGATCAGCACGCAGTGGCACCATACCTTTAGCAAGTTCATTGACGAAGTGGTCTGTAATTTCCTTGAGCTTGCCGGTGTCGACGGTGAAGATTTCTTCCAGCTTCCTCACTTCATTGAGAAGATCCTTAGGGATATCCGCCTTGGAACCTAGCACAATGGTGGTCAGCATTTTTGCAACAGGTCTGACAGAGGTCTGGCTCTCCAAATGCCAATGGGGAAGAAATAGAGGAGTAGGTGACAAAAGAGGGCCTCCAAGTCTCTATAAATGATCTTTTTCGAAGAGGATTTGTGTCTCAACGTGGTACTTGGGGCAAAATTGACCGTCTGTGTAACTTTGGGATGACGTTGCAGCGGGACGATTCAATCCTTTCCATTGCTTATCCAGCAACGGGGCAAGGCGTGCAGTGCAAGACACTTTGGCCATTGAAGGCTAATCACCCCTCACAGGAGTCTTTCCCATGGCGTACACACTGATCCAAGTACATCAGTTGTATCGGCAACATGATACCCGCAAAACTCCCCTGTCCCAGGCAAACATGGCCTGATATCGGATGTGCGGGCATCACAGAAGTTTGCAAAGAAACAGCCGCATGCCAGCCCATCTTGATGGCTAAACAAGAAGAATAGGGAGAGGTGAAAGGGAGAAGCAAAGGCCTAGCAGCCCCAAGACCTGGGATTTGTGCATTCAACGTACCCTTTCTGGAGGGAGGCGGGCGAGGTCCAAGTCCAACCATTTTTACAGCTTGATCGCGGGGTTTGGCGGGGTAGTTGGGAGTGTAAAAAGAGGTCCCCAGAGAGATGCGTATGGCAGTGAAGCACACGCAGTGAGTGAAAGGATAAGAGATGGATTGGGTGCAGGGCAGCAATCCAATGGTCAATGTGGAAAGAGATTGATGGTCGAGGAAAATCGCAAGAACACCGAGTTCAAGGCCAGAAGCACAGGGAAGCAGGTTGGAGCTATAAAGGTCCCAAGGTTGGGTAGCTGGGTCCTCTAGCCCCTAATCCCTGCTCTGGTTGGCTGCCGAAGACGGCTGGAACTACCTGCTGCTACGCATTCCGGGCCTGGCTCTCAGTGCAGCTTTAGTGGCTTTCACTGGACTGTTTGCCCCATCCAACCGCTACGGGCTGTTAGGCAACCCATTTAACGAACAGACCGGATCAGCCATGAGCGTTTTAACTGGAACCACGTAGCTGCAACAGCATTTCTTTCAACAGGAAATAGACGGTTGGTGGTGTTTCTGCGGCATCGTCAATACTCTTGTGCATTTAGTAATCAATTGCAATTGCATCTCGTGTTTCTTTCCAATTTCTTATTAATCGTGTATGAGAAATCCCACGTGTAGCATGTACTCGTAGTAGGCTGTTTCCGTCGCCCAGATAGCCTTTCAAGCACTGCCGGCAGATTCTAGTGCAATCCTGCTTGTCCACGCAGACTACCGCCCATCGTCATGGCTCCACTTCGTTTGTTCCTCGTGGACGCCCAAAAACTGCTGGGAAAGCTTCCGCAGGGCGTTTCGCTACCCTTGGCAAGCTCTGCTAGAGAGGTACGTACCTAAGACGGAGGGTGGAGCGCCGCAAGTACGGAGTACTCCGTTCTCGGTGGGCAATTCGCCCGCGCTGCCTGTAAGTGGTACACTATTCCGTGGCCCGGAAATTAATATCGCCGCGACGCACCAGCGCGGCCTCTGGTTGGCCAGCTCCAAGCTCCCCTGTAGCTGTCCGCTATCGTTATCGAATGGGCGACGTATGCTTCTTGGGGCTGCACTAACAGAGCGAAGCTGCCACAGTCTCGCGATCGAGAGACAGACTCTGCTGAACCTCCGTCCCATTGCGCAGGGCACGCCCAATCAATGCCCTCGTCAAGATGAAGTCGTTATCAGTAATAGCGACGCTGCTGGGCCTTCTGGCCGCTGGTCCTTGCAGCGCCTTTTCCACCGTCGCACTGCCTGCCAACTTCAAGCCCCCGCCAGTCTTTAAGAACACCAACTTGGTGCATGTCATTTCGGTTGAGAAGACGTACGCGAAAGAGCAGATCAACGTCCTGCTAGAGAACATTTCCGACAAGCCTCAGGGCGAATACTTTTTGCCCTTTACCGCAGATCAAATTGCCCGAGTTGGTGGCATTGAAGCCAAGAATCGCAAAGATGACACGATCGGGCCCTTTGGAGTTGACTTGGTTGAGTATGATGCTCTCAGGTACGTGCCTTTATTTGCTGATATCCCATTGAGAGATGATTTCTGTTGCTAACCAAAGCACCTACAGCGACGTCCAGTACTACCGCATCACATTGCCAACGCCTCTCAAGGCTGGTGGCCAGTACCCTCTCGCCATCTCTTGGGTATACCTAAACTCATACCGCCCGCTCCCGGCCTCCATTGGCCAAGACGAGCAGCAGTTCCTGGTGTACGACTTCTCTCTCTTCGCGCCATCGGCTTACCCAACCTTGAAGCAAAAGACCGAGGTCAAGTTCTCAACCGTCACCATCCCAGACTACACCACAACCTTTGGTCCCGAGGGCCAGCCGTATCCTGAGAAGCTTGGCAGCAAGATGCTATACGGACCATTTGACGAGCAGCCTGCCGGCGCCTTCTTCCCCGCTCAGGTCAGATTCGAGTTTACCAAGCCCGTGATCCACGTGTCGACTCTGGAGAGAGATATCGAGGTCAGCCACTGGGGTGGCAACGTTGCCTTTGAGGAGAGATACACTTTGTACCACCTGGGTGCCAACCTCTCCACCCAGTTCAACCGTGTCAAATGGGCGCAATCTCAATTCTATAACCCTGCCTCCACTGCGTTGAAGGAGCTCAAGTTCCCTCTTCAGATTGGCAGTGTAGACCCTTACTTCACGGATGCCATTGGAAACGTGTCAACCTCTCGATTCAGGAGCAGCAAGCGAGAGGCCATGCTCGAATTGAAGCCACGTTATCCTGTGTTTGGCGGCTGGAAGTATCCATTTACCATTGGCTGGAACACCAACGCAGCTAACATCCTGCGCAACACTGCCGATGGAGGCCATGTGCTCAAGGTCCCTTTTATGGAGGGACCCAGACAGGCTGAGGGTGTAGAGTACGGCGAGGTCAACGTCCGAGTCCTCTTGCCCGAGGGATCTGAGTAAGTGCTTCCACAACAACACATGGAATAATAGCTAACAGGAGAGTTAGAAACGTCAAGTTCTACACCAGCCTTCCCGAGTCGTCAATTGTTGAAACATCCATTGATGTTCACAAGACCTATCTCGACACGGTTGGCCGGACAGCCGTTATCATCAAGGCCAAGAACCTCGGAGACGAATTCCGATTCCGAGATTTGATCATCTCATACGAAACCCCGTTGGCAGGCACTCTCCGCAAGCCCGTGGTTGTGTTTGCGAGCATGCTTGCCGTCTATGCCACGGCGTGGGCGCTTGGAAAGGTTCAGGTGGGATTCTCATCTAAATAAAATACATCGGGGTTGAATTTATAGCCCTTTTGGGTTGCCGCATTTGTCGGACAAAAAAAAGAAATGATGGGGATGTTTAGGAGGGAGTGTCATTAAGTCGGCGTTTAAGAGCATGCACGACCTGGCAAATGATAGATGTGATTTGTAGATGTGTGGCTCGCCAGATCTCAGCGCGCTGGCAGTAGCAGCATAGCGAGCCAGTGGTAGAAATTCAAGCAAGATTCCTTTTTTTTTTTTTTTCAATGTCACCACTTTAGCATCGTGCATCATGGTAGGCGATAATCTGTACGTATGGTGATGTTGACGAGGGACTCTTGACGGGCTCCTAATTGGCCAATGTAGAGCTGCAGGCACTGCGATGACGCCATTAGCGCCTCGCGATGATGGTGCGAGCATGGATTGATCCTTTAAGCTGAGCCAAGACAAAAGGCCCAATTCAGCAGATGCCTCGACCCGATATCGTGAAAATGCGTCAGCTCAGCCTCAAGGCTGCTGGTTTATTCCAGCTCAAGGCTGCTTAGATTCGGCCAAGGCGAGAAGCAGCGTGAAGAACAATGAGGCTGTGCCTGCCAGCAGCAATACTGTAGACGCACCTTTTCAGGTCCCTGGTGTCTTAGCATCCCTCCAGTCTCGAGAGCCAAATGCCTTGCGTCGGCTCGTACGTGCAGATGGTGGAGTGGCGCAGGGCGCTTTGGACAGGGATTAGAAACTTGGCCACGGGATCGAGACACTGGCAATGAGTGTGTCATGCTCGAGCTCGTGTTTATTTAAGGTATCAGACGTCTCCTCTTGTGCCAAAAGAAACTTTATCCGTCGTCCTTTGGTAAGCTGCAGCATCGCCTACAAGAACCGCTCGTTTTCCTCTCTGCATCTACACAGGCAGCAAGCCGGCGTCAAGTCAAATCTGTTGAACTACACACCAAAAGCGTCAACACAGAGATCCAATCGCCAAGTTTAGATCCGCTGTGCCACTGCCAGTCCACGATTACACAAAAGCAGCACAGCAAAACTTGCAAACAACATGTGTTTCTCCGTGGAGCCAAAGGCAAAATACTACTACCAGGAGGAAATCATTCCTTCGCGGCCACACCGTCATCATCACCACCATCACCACCACTCGCCGCGAGCGAGCTACACGACGGTTGAGCGCTACAGCCCGCGGGTCAGCACGAGCAGCTACAGGCGCAGCGGGCCGACGAGGGTCGTGTACGAGGAGACGACGCGGAGTCGCTATCCGTGATCAGCTGGGCTTTGACTGAGATTAAGAACTTTCTTGGTTTTCTTCTTGTTTTTGTGATTCTGCGGTACAGGCTATAGGAAATGAGACATGTTAGAGGCTAGAATAATGGCGGCTTATGATGGAAACCCGAGGCAAGCGACGGCTATGACGGCGTTGGATATGTATGGGCAGATTCGCCTGTAGGGACTTTTTTTAAATGAATGGAATACATGCCAAATGCTTGGCGGTTCATCTGTATCTGTTTTGCTTGATAAGTCGTCAATAACCGCACCAAACAAGCCATCATGAATAGCTCCTTATCAGAGCCGCCCCAGAATCTCACCAGCCAAATGGCAAAGCTGGCGAAGTCGGCCTTTGATCAGCCAAGAGGGCGGGGTTTGCCTGATCCCATCACCACTAAATTATCGGTACATGTCCAAGCGATGGACAAAGTAAGTGGGAGTCAACTTGCTAACGAGCATGCTTACTGGGAATGCAACAATCTTCATGTTCTCGGCCTATATCTATCTGTATTTACTTCATAATATATTCTTTCTTTCTTTCGAAAACCTTGCCAAGCCATAATTTCGCTGCATCCTTTCCACAATTGCTCTTATCTTGCATGCCACTCAATGTCCTTCCAAGTACTCCGTACATGTACTGCAATCTGCCAGCTGGCCCAGCGAATGACATCATAGTCTCAAAAGACATCCGCCACCACAACGAACCTCGTTAGACGCCATCTTTGCAAGCTCCAAGTGTCTGGATTTACCACAGTTTATTAACCTTCCATGTCATCCGGTGACATTTTGTTAGCCTCGGGGTGTCAACTCTGTCCCCCTCAAGATGCTTGTAACTACTGGTAAGAACAATTGGCTTCGCACACATGCAACTGAACCCTTGACCCTTCCACATGGCTGCCACCTCGTGGATCGTAACAAATAGCCTTGCGATACAGCAAGAGGGAAACATTTTCTTTGATTCAGTGTTCGCAATACTGTTACCTGCCATCATCTCTCCCTTTTCATCGTGCCATTTTTAAATCTCCAGAATCGCAATTCCTTTGTCTCGTCATCCACCCAGACGTGAGCTTTTCAACCATGAGAAAGACACTGGTCAAGCTGTTGAGCTCGCCCACGTATTATAACAGAGAAATCAAGGCCTAGGTGGAAGGACCATTGGATCTAGTACTCTTGCGAAATTATATCATAACGCCACCCTCAGTCCCAGGGATTTACCTGCTAAATGAAAGATAACGTCATGATGTAAGTGACAGCTCCTCGTACTCCCTCTTTCCCTCTCTACCTTATATTTCCATCTACAAACACTCTTTTCTTCAATTTTATTCTTGAAGCTTGTTTCTACTCCCACTCATATCATATCATCATGTCTCGAGCTTCTTTTGAAACGCCAGTTGCCCAGTCGCAGCAGGATGTACATGCGCCGATCCCCCCGGAAAGCCAAGGAGGATATAATGCCAACGAGACGTGGTCTAACCCTGCTCCGACTAGGAACCGCGTTCTTTCAGTCCGCTCCAAAACAAAATCTACTCCCACGAAGAGCCGGAGCCGTGGGTTCTCTCTCCTCTCCCTCCGCGAGTCCGTTCAGCCCGAGCTCTCTCGCAAGCTATTCCGCTTGATCAAACTTGAGATTAACCTTATCCACACACATGAGGCCGCGGCCCGCGATCGTATGGCTATCGCCACGCAGCTCTCCGAGTGGGGTGAACAGACCAGTGATGAGGCCGTCAACGACATATCCGACAAGATTGGCGTTATTCTAAGCGAGATAGGCCAGTTGGAGGATGGGTATGTGGCTTCATTGGATGTATCGCGCAGTCATCTCAAGATGATTCGCGACACCGAAAAGAGCGTTCAACCGAGCCGCGATGGAAAGAGCAAGCTCTACGACGAGTTCCAGAAGCTCAAGGCGAAGGAGCCACAGAGCGCAAGACTGGTCTTGCTAGAGCAGGAGCTTGTTAGGGCAGAGGCTGAAAACTTGGTCGCCGAGGCGCAGTTGACAAACATTGTAAGCGATGGAAATTCCTGCAGATTCGCATGCTCCTCATGCATATTGCTTTGCCTGCTAATTCTATTCTTACAGACTCGCCAAAAGCTCAAGGAAGCATACGATGTGGAGTTCAATGCAATCATAGAACGCGCCGAGAAGCAAATCATTTTAGCAAAGCATGGTCGTCGTCTCCTAGAGCTTCTGGACGATAAGCCGCTCTCGCCGGGAGATGTTCGCCTGCCCTATGAAAACGGAGCTCAAGCTCGCCAGGTGCTAAATGATGCTGAAGATGATCTCAAGGAATGGCAGCCAGAGCACAAGGCTGCAAGCGAGAACGGATCAGAGACATCAAAGGGCAAGAGTCCGGTTGAGACCAGCGGTTAGGCGATGCTGTGAGATGGAGCCGGGTGCTGGGACTTTGTATGACTTTGACTTGCGAAGGATTTTGTTATCTTTATTTCTTCTTCTCCCTCGGCAAGCATCCTGCTTCCTGCTTCCTGCTTCTGGCTGGGAGCTTGTTGAGGGTTTGGCGATCCTCTTCGGGTTTATCTACACGCTCTGTTACGTCTTGATAGCATATCTAGTTATATCCAATCGATGCGACTTGTTTTTTGTTTTACCACCCTATGCTTTTGCAAAAAGATTTGAATGGATGCTCGAAGATGGTGCTCGTGGTCAAAATGTGTAAATCCTGCATCTCTCCCGGGTAAGAATGCATCCAGAATCGCCCATCATAGAATAAGCCCGTTCCATAATACGTGAGGGAATGGCTGTTTAGAACATGTCGGCAGTAATATCATAGTAATTTGTTGAAGATATGAGTAATAATGAAGGCTTACGAGTCTTGTACATTCAGGTAGGCCCATGATATCAACAACAGGATGTGCTATTACCTCATGCATGCACTCAGAGGAATCATCTCGCAGGGCTATCACGAGACAACTTACCTATGTTAATCTATCACGGCTAGCATGTACTACTACACACAATTTAAGGGAACAGATACTTGCAATCGGGTGCTTCCCTAACAGACCCGCTTTAGTAGTGGCGCCTTCGTTGAGCGTCCCGTCTTACCGCTCCTTGATCACAACACGATACGTGTACTCGTACTGTACGCCGTCCCATATTTCCGGCAGCCGTTGGGCACGCCGGCACTGGAGAAGTGCCCCTACGGACCTCGGTCAATGGCCCCCAAAAGACCCGAAACTGCCCTGTTAGCTGGGCTGGGGCTCTAAAAAATTCCAAAAATCCCACGCTTTAACCCAATGGCCATCCGCTAGACCGGGGGATTCGCTCAAAAGCTCACTGCATTGCTTTCTGACTGCCCTCGAGACGAGACGCTGCATTTGATGTTACTCCGACGATCGCCGCATCTCAGGTGGCAGAGTCTGCGTTGTGCGGTCTTGTCGCCCAATCAGAGCTGCGCAACCTTGACGACGCGACGGTGTGCTGCCGCTGCTGCCGCTGCCGCTGCCTGCTCTGACGTTGGCAGCTTTAGTCAAGCACGCCGTATTACGACAGGCTCAGGCGCTGTTAGTACAGGTACTGCTGCCCCTATCAGCACCGCTGCCAGCACCGCTACCACCACTACCACCACCACTGCTGCTGAGCTGGCCAGGATGGGTCTCCGTGCCCCGCCCCCTCCATCTGGTCAAAACTCCTCCGCCTCCTCGCAAGCTTCGCAACCCTCCCAGCGAACTGCGCAAATTGCTCGCCATTTGGAGAAAAGCAGCGATTCTTCATCCTCGCCTCCATCCGCCACCATGTCCGGCTACACCGTCCGCAAGGTTGCTGCCCAGAACACTCTGGAGCACCGCGTCTACATCGAGAAGGATGGCGTCCCCGTGTCGCCCTTCCACGATATTCCTCTCTTTGCCAACCAGGAGCAGACCATCCTGAACATGGTTGTCGAGATCCCTCGATGGACCAATGGCAAGCTCGAGGTACGCCATTGACCTTGTCTGGCAATTAGCTGAACCTGGCTTTTGCGAGACACGGGCTTGAAGAGAGATCTCGAGCCTTTTCTGCCCCCTCTTTCTTGACCGTCTCCTTTTCCCTCCTTTTGGGCATTGCTGACTTTTTTACCTTGCTCTCATTAGATCTCCAAGGAGGAGCTCCTCAACCCCATCAAGCAGGACGTCAAGAAGGGCAAGCTTCGCTTCGTCCGCAACTGCTTCCCCCACAAGGGCTACCTCTGGAACTACGGTGCCTTCCCCCAGGTATGCGATGCCATATCCCTACCCAACCCCTCAGGCCACGCGCCATTATACATGAACAACGACTGACAATATTTTACCCCCCAGACCTGGGAAGACCCCAACACCGTCCACCCTGAGACCAAGGCCAAGGGTGACAACGACCCTCTCGATGTCTGCGAGATCGGTGAGCTTGTTGGCTACCCTGGCCAGATCAAGCAGGTCAAGGTCCTTGGTGTCATGGCCCTTCTCGACGAAGAGGAGACTGACTGGAAGGTCATTGTCATTGACGTCAACGACCCCCTGGCCCCCAAGCTCAACGACGTTGAGGACGTTGAGCGCCACCTGCCCGGCCTTCTCCGTGCCACCAACGAGTGGTTCCGTATCTACAAGATCCCTGACGGCAAGCCTGAGAACCAGTTTGCCTTCACCGGCGAGTGCAAGAACAAGAGGTATGTCGTGCCCGTTCCCTGTTGGGCTTTTGCAAATCTTGAACTGACAACATTTCAGCTATGCCATGGACGTCATCCGCGAGTGCGCTGAGGCTTGGGAGCGTCTCATTACTGGCAAGACCCAGCCTGGCAGCGTCTCCACGTAAGTTGAAGCCATTTGTGTATACTACGAGGGGTGTTGAGTTTGACTGACTTTATTTTCTCCCCTTAGCACCAACGTGACTGTCCAGCACTCCCCCAGCCGCGTGGCTCCCGAGTCCCTGCCTCCTCTGCCTCCCCACCAGGACCTCCCCCCTGAGAAGATCGACGCTTCCATCGACAAGTGGTTCTTCATCAGCGGTGCTTCTGCTTAGAATGCATAATTTTACGATGAAAGTTTGATGGCGTCAAGTGTATCAAATGTATAGTCTTTGATGGTATACCCTGCCAGAGTTTTAAAAAATCTAAGCTCTGCAGTAAAAGTACAAAAAAAAGTTTCATGACACTATATCGTACAACATTTCGTGATATCTGCAATTGGCCACATCCAGACTGTATTCCCCACCCCGCATAACGCCGTCAATGCATTGGTAATATAACAGACAAGACTCGTATATTTATTCGGAAAGATCAGCCGCCTTTTGCAATTGGCGTGAGTGACGGTCAACTTCCTCGACTAAGCCCTTGATGTTGATTTTGGAGCAGTTGAAGTCCATCACCTTGCCGTCCTCTGCGTAACAAATTAGCTCATTCCTTGGCCCTGGCCCTTTGGTGTATATAAGCATACTGAATTTGACTTTTAATGAGCTACTCTCTGTAGCATTTCTCGGGAGCAGACTCGTATGGACGGCCGTTCCATTCGCACGAACATCAGGCGGGAGAAAGGTCAAGAACAGGCGGGCAGGCTTGGCGCAGGTCGAGAAGGGATTGAACTTGGCCGTGACCTCGGTCATGAATTTGGTAATCATCTTGCCGATACGGGAAGCCGCTGCGGGTGTAAAACGACGTAGGCGAGGGGCGGGATTGAGCGATTGTCGCTTGATTCGACTTTGAGCGTAGTGGGATGCGAGACGATGTCGAAATTTGGTGGAGTGGGTGGAGACCCGGTATGTGCATATATCACTGTACAAGGTAGGCGCCTGCCACTGGCCGAGCTAATGATGACATGTACCACTTTCAATTGTTCTAAGCTGTCAAGATCTACTTTTTTTGGCTGGCCAGCAACACCAATTTTTATTCTTCTGCACATCGCCCGGCAAGATGTCACTAGAAGGGCTGCAGGAGCGGCTCGCTGCTTTGCAGGAGACTACGGCTCAACTGCGAGAATTAATCGATCGGCTGGCAAATGTGGAATTCGAGCCGGGGTCTGTACCTCTAACTATCGAGGAGGAGGGGAGTGTTAGTGGAGAGCTCAGCGCGGAGGCTGGCTTGATGCTGAGAACAGGGTTGGAAGATCAACAGTTGCTGTGTGAAGAGGCAAAGTACCTGCGGAGAGGCGGGCATGAAAAGGAGAGGCTTGAGGATGGCATTGAGAGGGTGGGAAGTGAACTGGCCAGGTAAGAGGACATGGCCTAGCATGAACCTTTTTTCTTCTTGAACGGTGTTTCGGGGAACCGGCTGGCGTGTGCTAATGAATATGCTCCTGTGTAGCTACCGCTCAACGCTCCGAAAGGCACGGCTATCAGCAAAGAAGAACTTGGAGCGAGCTCGGAGGTTAGAAAGAGAGCTTATGGTGCAATCCTTCGCAGAACCCATCTCCGAGACAAATACATCTGCAGGCGGCAGCACCGAAGAATCACAAGCAGTTGCTCGACCCACACGACACACCTACAGCCAAAATCGACAACTACAATCGAGTCTATCGGAGGAAGACCGGCAGACAGTCGGGGCAAGCAGCAATGTCACCAATGCCCTGCGGCGGACGCACGCTCTCATTGCGGCGGAGTTGACCAAGAGCGAGTTCGCGCGGCAGACGCTGACGGAGTCGTCGGCCGCGCTGAAGAAGCTGGATGACTCGTATACCTCGCTGGATGGCATGCTGGCGAGCTCCCGAGACCTTTTGGGCACGCTGCTCAAGTCTCAGAAGAGCGACACGTGGTATTTGCAGACGACATTGTACATGCTCATGGTGACTGCAGCGTGGCTCGTGTTTAGGAGGCTTTTGTACGGACCGCTGTGGTGGCTTGTATGGTTGCCATTGCGGATTTTGTTTGGGGTTGGTACCAAGGCAGGGAGTGCGGTGATGCATAGTCGGGGGCCTGGACAGTCTGGCAAAGCTGGAGTTGTAATCGATAATGAGATTAGAGTGGATGGACTACCGGATGAGAGCTTGCCAACAGCAGTGGTTGGACGAGAATCGAAAGCGGCGGAGGCCGAAGGTGAGTCTATGGTTGAGAAAGTAGGCAAGATTGTGGATGCTGTACATGAAGCGGACGAGCTGGGTTCGATACCGGAAGAGCATGAGGAAGATCATGGCGACGATGTACAAGGAAGAGAAGCTGCAGAGGTCGTCGTAGAAGACTCACGTCCTAGGGATGAGCTATGAGGAAGACGCATAAAACATGAAATAAATGAATAATAAGTTGAATATTCATAAGCTTCCCGACGTTGTTAAATATGTCCAATATGAGATGCTTCTTTTGCTATTAAAACTCCAATCTAACCCCGAAAACACATCGCATTTTGCCCCTTATTCGTTTCCTCCATGACCCTACCCGGCCTCATGACCTCTGCGGTGCAATCTGGGCAATGTTGCTGATCCAAGGAAGACCAAGCTGGTGCATCTCAACCGCTAGTTGGAAGAGATAGTCGAGACTTTGGTTTCAAACCCCATCAGCACAACTAACTCACCACAGGACCATAAAAAGGGGGACTAAACTCACCTCTCGCACTGCGTCTTAGCCTTGTGGACATTATCACCCCACACATAGACGCCATGACGCCTCACCAAGACGGCATACGTGTCCGGGTACTCTTCCATGGCAGCCTCAAGATACTCGGTCAAGTCCTCCTCATGCGGCGTGTTCTCAATGACGGGAATCCGCAGCGTATCATGGTACCCCAGGTTGCCCACCTTGCCCATGCCCTTGCCGAAGCCCTTGATCTGCTCAATGTTGTTGATCTCGAAGACGCTGCTGCCCTTTACCTCGAGGAGGAGGGTGACGAGGACGGCCCAGTGGGAGTGGGTGTGGATGCAGCAGCCGGCGCCGCGGCGGGTGAAGGCGGCGAGGAAGAGGGGCGTGCACTGGGAGGGCTTGTAGAGAGGGGGGGAGCGGAGGTAGGTTCGCTCTTTGAGGGAGGGCTCCTGGTCTTTGAGGGAGAGGACGTAGATGTCGGCGGGCTTCATCAGTTCCTTTTGGACGCCCGAGGGGGCAATGTAGACGAGGTTGCTGCGGCTGGGTTAGCGATGAAGCTATAATTTGAACAACTTGTTGATTTAGTATAGGGGGAATTGTGTATGATATGCAGTATGCATATATGTTTGAGTGAGAATGAGAGTGAGAGTGAGTCCACCAGGCTTGGGGATGCCTCATTCTCACCTCACTCGAGATGACATGAGAGCTCATTTCAAGCTCTTGAACGAGGGAGAATTAGTGTCAACGCAAGGGAAAAAAAGGCTATATTTACTCGTCTCTAATGGAGCATCCTCCTCCAGTACCAGTAACCCATCCCAAGGTCCAAAACTTGGCGCACAACGAAGGGATGAGGTTGGCGGGATGCTCAGGGTCCGAAGACGTGATGAGCTGGTCGGGGTTCTCAGCTGCAGCGGCCATTTGTGCGGCGAGAAAGCTGTGTAAGTGTTTTAGCAAGTGAAGAGGATATCTAATCAAATAAAATGTGAGCTCTTTCTCTACGCAGTTTTGCAGCTATGAAGCAGAAGGCGATGCGATGCGAGCTTTTGCCCCTCTAGTGCCTTTTTGCTGCCCCTCCATTGGAAATGACGAGCTTACTGCGATAGGTAGCTGGCCGAAAACGTGGGAGGCGCAAGGGCCACCCTATCGAACGATCTCGGCTGTTGGCTTTAAGATTTGATCGGATCTACGGAGTGCGGAATACGGAGCAATTAATAAAAAAAAAGTAGAGAAATGACGGATACTGGAGACGACAGGTTCAAGGGCTTGTCTCCTACGTATGCGAATATAAGAGCTCGAAAGCATTATCGCGTCTCAATGGAGATGGAGCTACATGCAGGTACCTGATTTGCGCAGCCGGGACGTTAGCACTGCGCGGTTCCTGAAAGTATATCTCAGCCGATTTCTTGCGACGCGGTTGGCTGGATGCTCGCCCTAGTTTACCTTAGTACTTGGTTACCTAAGCAGCGGAGAAGTTCAATTGCTCAATGTCTTAGCAATTTCTCAATATTGGCTTCGAACTATTTCATTGGCCCAAACCACTGCCTTCTCTCCCGCGCGTCGCCCTCGCGTTCGGACCGCACCTCGAGGTGGGAGGGAGATGAGAACTCTTCCGTCGGCAAGGACTCGCTGCTTCTTTGACAACTCTGCGGCAGGTATTATCACATTATTACAAATGTCTCAAACAGATGTAGGGTTGAATTGACCCTGAAATTACCGCTCAGGAACCTGCATTGTTAGTGCGAGGCAAGGTAAGCAAAGTGCTGTAGCTCTAAGGGGTCATGGCTCTCTGCTCTCTGCTCTCTACTACGAGTACTACTTGAACGCTGAAAGCCAACTTTGAGTATCCGTGGTATAGTTAGGTAGTTATCCGGTTCCTGACAAAGACTGGATGAGTTATACATAGAATAAGCGGATGGGCCCCAGAATACATCCACCCGTAATACTCGTACGAGTATGGGGACCAGAGTTCCAACGGCTGGATATAGGCGCAAAGCATCGTCGGGCCAAGTTTTGTGGAAATTGTCTGTCCTGTGCCGCTGGCAGAAATCGGATATCGCTGCCCCCGTCCGACTTCAGCTGCACAAGGAGCTGATGTTCCCTCTTTGCCAGGGTCAGAGTCAGCTTCACCAACCGCATCCTGGTTAGATCCCTTCGGAATCTTGCCCCGTCTGGCACGGCCATGCACCGATCGCCAATGGTGCCTCGTATTGTGAGGAGCCTTTTGCTAAGCCAAGCCCAAGGGTACAGTGTGAAGGCTCAAGGCAATACTGGGCTGGGTTTGTATCTGAACCAAACGGAGCATCGTAACCCCTGGCGGCTCGGAGGTCGCAGGCTAGAGGGCGAGAGGGCTAGCCTTCCGGGCTAAGGCAGTAGGACGTTGTATTCTGTGGTGAGCTGTGCTTGATTTTTAAGGATTGAGTTTTGCCTGGGCTCTGCGCCAATGCAAGATGCAAAGCGAGCCGTGGGCCTCGCGCTTCGTATCACGGACAATTATGGTCAGTTGACAGATGTGGGAAAAACGAATGTGTGGCAACGGCCAATGTTGATGTTGACATTTGGTGTTGATGCTTGTTGCCTCATAAACAGCCAACCATCACCATGTGACGAATTCCAGGCGACGATCAAATCAAACAACGGACGTGAGCCTGTTGTCTTAGTCACTAGTATTGGCTGTTAGCACGCCAGGCCAGGATGGCCCGCTCTAGTGCCGCTTCATGCCCCTGCAGACGCTAGCCGAATGGAACAAAGACACACGACCGTGATGGTAGACGAGCCGGCCATGAAGATGGGGTGTGAGGAGAGAGAGCGTCATTTCGCCCTGGTGACATTTTGGGGCACGGATCAATTGCCTGTAGGTGACGGTGGAAGCGAGAAAGGGCTAAAAAACAGGGCATTACAGGTGCTGCTGCATGAATCCAGGCCTGCACAGAGCGCGGGAGGGAGCTGGAAGAATGCCCTGTAACCAGCTGTGGTCCCACAGGCCGCACACAGCCTCTATTTGGCCGTGGCCGAGATGCCGAGCAAAATCAATGACCGCATCGCACAGCCTATCCGCGGCCTGGAGAACAAGGTTGGTTGGGAAGATGGCAAAATGCGTTCAACGTTGTCGAGAGGGGAGGAGACGAGAGGAGACGAAGAGGAGATGAAGAGGAGATGAAGAGGAGATGAAGAGGATCGCCACGCCAGATACGAGTTCTCGACGTAGCAATGTAGGTAGGGGCAAGAGCCTCGAGACAATGGCGGCAAAAGGCGAGAGCGCCACAGCATCGATAGTGGTCAGGGACTTTTCATTTTGTATGTATGTAGGTGCTTTTTCTTTTCTTTCCTTTTTTTTTTTTTTTGTTTTTCTATTGGGGTTAACGCTTTAAGGGGTACGGCAATTTTCTGGATTGCGGCTGCATTGTGGCGCCACGCAATTAAAACACAATGCGGCGCTTCTAGAGAGGGAAAAGGCAATATTTAACCGTAGACGTACGAGGCACAAGGTACAGGAAAGCTGTGGCGGTGGATGCTTGCGATACTATTTTGGAGCAGCAAAATGAAGCCTCATGCAACACACGCCCTTGGTCTCTAATGTTTACATGTACGGGTACCCAAGCAAAAAAGTGAGGTCACCACAGCACAAGCAATCAAATGCAATGCTATGCTCGGGTGGGGCCCTCAGACAGCACTGGTTTGCCTCCATCCCTTCGCTCATGGCCGCTGGCAAAGACTCCCACACTAGGAGATTTCCTGCGGTACATGGCCCGTACTGTGCGCGAAAAACACACCAGCGAGGCTTTGAGCGATTGGGTCTCCTTGAACTCTGCCGACTGGTACGCGCCTGGGCTTGCCAACGGGTGCAAGTATTAAAGGGAGATTTCCTCCTCCCCGGCGCGGAGCTTCTCGCTCTCTCTCCATCTTCGATCTCTAAACCGTCTCTCGCTCGTCTCGTGCTGTCGACATTCGTTTTTGGTGCTTCTTGCGGACTACTTGAATAACTTACTATACCTCACTTAATACTTACAACAACAACAACTTAATCAGTCACGATGCGTTTCACCGTTGTCCTGTCCGGCCTCTTTGCCGCCCTCGCTGCCGCCGCCGAGTCTGGCTCAGCCACTTCTGCTGCTCCGGCTTCTTCTGTCTCTCTCGACCCTGCCCAGCAGTCCCAGTACGCCTGTATCCACGCCTGTGATGCTGGTGATGTCAACTGCCAGGCTCACTGCATTGCTGTATGTTTTTCTTCTGCTTCTCCCCGTGTCAATACCAAATAGTGAAAAAGAAAACCACGACTTACATGAATGCTCCTACAGGTCCCCTCTCCCGACCAGTCTCAGGTCAACGCCACCACTGCCTGTGTTGCCAAGTGCCCTCAGGGTGACGGCACCCCTGCCCAGACCAACACCTACAAGCTGTGCATCGATAAGTGCATCCAGGACCACTACTATGTCACCTCTGAGGGCACTCCCTCCCAGACTGCCGCTGCTGGCGACCACGCTGCCAACACTGGCACTGACACTGCTGCTGCTCCTACCGGCTCCTCTGGCTCTGGCTCCTCCGGCTCCGGCTCTGAGGCCTCTGGCTCTGCTACTGGAACCAAGTCTGGCAGCGCTACCAAGACCGGATCTGGCTCTGCCGCAACCACTACCAACGCTGCTCCCGCCATCATTGCCTCTGGTGCCTCCTTTGTTGGTGTCATTGCTGCCCTTCTGGCTCTGTAAACTCTGAGATATCCCCTTGATTTTCTGTTATCTTTTTTCAGTTCGGTTGGATTGGTTAATGGAAGGGGTTTAATTCGGGATTCGGGGATTTAATGAATTGGGGTTGTGTGTATTTACATCCATGGGTGGATAGGGTAATAAAAAGTGTCTGTTGGGACAAAAGACTTGTGTTGTGTCTGTCATGCAATCATGTTGGAACGTGAAATGACTCGATGAAATGAAAATTACCTGTAGGCTCATGTCATTGTTTTCTCATTGCAGAGGTCCGATCACTTTTCGAGCCGTTGTTCGTTCCAACAGCCGAGGCAGGTCGGCATCCTGGCTTGTGCGCCTGGAGCAATCGCCTGATGTGGGGAGATTTGATTTCATCGTGAACAATTGATGAAAGTGAGTGATGCATGGGCCATGGACCCTGCGCAGATCGTGAATTACAGTTGACATGCTAGTAGTATTACGAACCAGGACCTCTTGTAGTATTTCGTAATATGTCTTTTGTGCTCGTATTCATGTGTGCACTTGTGTCTTGCATTTGCCAACACGTGCATTCTGATACAGTAATCAAGATTCTGCTGCGTAATTAAATCACGTCTGGTCGATTCTTTGCAGCTCTCAAAAAGCCATGGCCCTGGTGTACGAGTAATGGCGGCAGACCTTAGCGCCTGTCACATTAATGGGGCATCTGTTTCTTTGCATTAGATATGAGATAGAAATCGGCGTGCTAACTTTTAGGCTCTCCATAGGCTCTATTTCTGGGATTGAAAAAAAGGCCAAGAACAACGTGTTGAGGCCATCGCCAAAGACGGAAAAGAACAGGAGAAGAATAGGTACCAGATCCAAACTCAAAATACTTGCTGCTAGCTCTCATGTCAGCATCGTCAATTGGTCCAGGGTTGCCTCAGCGCGGGCGGATGCTGAAGTTGGATATGTGGCATCTTCTGGGTTCCGTGTAACCACCTGGTCTCCTCCCCCGATTTTTTTTTTAAATCTCACCCGGCGAAAAAGAATGAAAATGATGCCATCAAGGATGTTAGTGTCAATTGGTTTCGCCTGGAGACGGGAGGATTAGCCATCGATAATTAGATAGACCGGACAAGTTGTATTTTTCGCCTTCCCGCTGCATTTCCACCAATTGCTCCCGTCGTTGCACATTCAATTGATGCCGTCGAGATGCCTCTTCCCATCGTCGCGAACCGCCATTTGCGGCACTCATATCATATCAGCAGGCCCACCGGTGGGTTGCAGCGGCGCCAAACCTGCTTCACCCGGGACTTTTCCATTGGCCTGGCTGGAGGCGGGAACAGCAGCCCGGGTACGTACTGGGCGAGTTAAGCCCAGCCTGGCAGCTCGACCCCCGCATCAAACAACTAACCGGCAGCTAAATTTCGTCGTGGCCCTTGACAGCTTCTACGTGTCCTCAAGAGCTCCCCAGCCTTCTTCAACGGTCGTCGGTGCACTTCCTCCCATTTTATTTTCTTCTTCCCTCTTCAATCAGAATCAGACATCTTTGGGATTCTCTTCTGCTCCAGCGCTGGGACTGCCCTGTTGGCACAACTTCCTTCTCTTCGTCTCTCCCCCACTCTCTTGAGAATTGTTGGTATAGGTACTTGCTGGTTGCGCTTCTCTCGCCATGAAGTTCAACACCGTTGCCGCCGCCGCGGCTTTGCTCGCTGGTGTCGCATATGCCGAGGATGTTGAAGAGTCCAAGGCGGTCCCGGAGCTTCCCACCTTTACTGTAAGCCAGCTCTCCCGCCCCAGTCTGAAGCTGTGAAGCTGTAGCTGTTGCTACTCCGGCGGCATGCGTAATGGCCAGCTGTGTGCTAACGGACATGGTTTGTTTAGCCCACCACCATCAAGGCGGACTTCCTGGAGCAGTTCACCGATGACTGGGAGTCCCGATGGAAGCCTTCGCACGCCAAGAAGGACACCAGCGGCTCCGACAAGGAGGAGGAAGAGGAATGGGCCTATGTTGGCGAGTGGGCTGTTGAGGAGCCCTACCAGTACAAGGGAATTGAAGGCGATAAGGGTCTTGTCATCAAGAACGCCGCTGCTCACCACGCCATCTCGGCCAAGTTCCCCAAGAAGATTGACAACAAGGGCAAGACCCTCGTTGTTCAGTATGAGGTGAAGCTTCAGAGTAAGTCGGCGCCTGCAAAGAAAACAAGAGCATTTGGACAAGTACTGACGTGTGTGCGCGCGTGCGCCTTGCAGAGGGACTGGACTGCGGTGGTGCCTACATGAAGCTCCTGCGCGACAACAAGGCTCTCCACCAGGACGAGTTCAGCAACACCACTCCCTATGTCATCATGTTTGGCCCCGACAAGTGCGGCCACAACAACAGGGTTCACTTCATTGTCAACCACAAGAACCCCAAGACTGGCGAGTACGAGGAGAAGCACCTCAACTCTGCTCCCGCCGTCAACATTGTCAAGACCACCGAGCTTTACACTCTCATTGTTCACCCCAACAACACCTTCTCCATCAGACAGAATGGTGTCGAGACCAAGGCTGGTAACCTCCTTGAGGACTTGACCCCGGCCATCAACCCCCCCAAGGAGATTGATGACCCCAAGGACTCCAAGCCCGAGGATTGGGTTGATGAGGCTCGCATTGCTGACCCCGAGGCCGTCAAGCCTGAGGACTGGGACGAGGATGCTCCTTTCGAGATTGTTGACGAGGAGGCCACTCAACCCGAGGACTGGCTTGTGGACGAGCCCTCCGTGGTTCCCGACCCCGAGGCTGAGAAGCCCGAGGACTGGGATGATGAGGAGGATGGTGACTGGGTTCCCCCCACCGTCCCCAACCCCAAGTGTGACGACGTCTCCGGCTGCGGCCCCTGGTCCAAGCCCATGATCAAGAACCCTGACTACAAGGGCAAGTGGTCTGCTCCCTTCATTGACAACCCCGCCTACAAGGGTGTCTGGGCTCCCCGCAAGATCAAGAACCCCGACTACTATGAGGACAAGACCCCCGCCAACTTTGAGCCCATTGGAGCTGTGAGTCGCAACCCCCATTTTATCTAGATGGCCCTCTTCCTCTCAAGCTTGTTTGCTAACTGTTTTGCTCTTCAATAGATTGGCTTCGAGATCTGGACCATGACCAACGACATTCTCTTTGACAACATCTACATTGGCCACTCCGTCGAGGATGCCGAGAAGCTGGCCAACGAGACTTTCTTCGTCAAGCACCCCGTCGAGAAGGCTCTCGCTGAGGCCGAGGAGCCCAAGATTGACGAGACCCCCAAGTCTCCTTCTGACCTCAAGTTCTTCGATGACCCTGTCCTGTTCGCCAAGGAGAAGCTTGATCTCTTCCTTACCATTGCCCAGAAGGACCCCGTTGAGGCCATCAAGTTTGTTCCTGAGGTCCCCGCTGCCGCTGCCGCTCTTCTCGTTACCTTGATTGCCATCATCAGCGGACTTGTCGGCCTTGGCTCTTCCCCTGCTACTCCCAAGAAGCCCGCTGCCACCTCCAAGGACAAGGCCAAGGACAAGTCCGAGGCTGTTGCCAGCGGTGCTGACAAGTCCAAGGGAGAGGCTACCAAGCGAACCACCCGCAGCCAGTCGTAAGGGATTGGATGCATTTCTTTTGTCAAAGCGCTTGGGATCAAACCATGGCCGGATGTGGGATGAACAGAAATATCCAATATACCAACATCTGGGGCCAAAGTCCAAAAAAGAATTGGGAAGCCAAGGGGACTGATTATGAATATTTAAGTAAAAATTGTCATTAAAAAAATGGGAATCAATTGTTATTACTGCTCCTTTGAGATTTGTCTGTTTTGTGTCAAGTACCTAAACATCCATGCTTTGTAACATTAACATGATGGAGTATTGTGCAAGTCAGCATATCCCGGTGTCGAGAATTAGTAATTGCACAAGAGAATCCAATCCCCGAGATAATGCAAGTAGAGGCAGTCAACACGTGGCCCTTGGTGTTTTGTTTGTATCTACTATGTACTGTCATTATCACCGACCGCGATGCATTGCCTCTTTCGGCAATAGTGAAGAGCTCAATGGAATGAAGCTACGATATTACTCGTGTCCGAGTCTGGTCACAGGGCGCGCCAGGCCGTATGAGGAAAGCTATCTAACATTTCCAGTGGTTCTGTATCTGAACCACTGTAGCACTACAGGCCGTACTCGGTAGACGGCGCCTTAGTCCATTGACATGTCAAGAGGGGAAAGGGGCGATAAGCCCTGCTGATTAGATGGAGATGGCGATGGCGGCGATAGCAGCTGTATATAGTGTTTTCTCGGCAAAGCTGCCCGGGATCGGAGCGTTTTGGTCGGCAATCAGCATGTAATGAGAACTTAATTTCAAAGCCCGGTAATACTACCTATGTACTAACTCGTATGTACTGTAATATCAAACGTAACAAACGGCGTTCGAGTCGTTTGCCGTGCGCTGCGCGGGCTTCGGCATGGAGCGGCATCGGCTTAACAATTGCAGCCAATCTAGCGGCTCTCCACACCAAACCCCGTCCTGTTCTGGGTTCCCCGTTTTTTGCCTCCTCCCCCACACACGGCTACGGCCGGTTCGCTTTGGCTTGGAGACGGAAGTTGATAAATAGGACGCTGGCCTTTTCTTCTCGTTTCTCTTTGCCTGACGGCTTGCAACGTGCTGAATCGGCGTCACTAGGAGAGGGCAGTTTTTGTTTTGCTGGCTTTGGGAGTACACAGTATTGTCTTCGTTTCGTTTATACCGCCTACCATGCGCCGCCTCCTCACGGTCAGCGCCTCTGCCAGCACCCGCGGATTGACTGCCGCTTCTCCTCGGTCAACCATTGCCCTGGCCAAGATGGCTTCCAAGGCTCAGGCCGTTACGGCCGCCCGGAGAATCCATGCCACGGCCCAGCAGCTGAAGCCAATGGACGCTCTGTCGTCTACGGCTACCAGCTTCCCCACGACGCACGAGCAGATCGAGAACGTGCAGAACACGCCGTACTTCATCGACAACAAGTTCGTGCAGTCGACGACGGACAAGTACATCGACTTGGCCGACCCGGCCACCAACAACCTGGTGACCCGCGTGCCCCAGATGACACAGGCTGAGATGAAGGCCGTCATTGAGAGCTCGCAGAAGGCGTTCCAGTCGTGGAAGAACACCACGGTGCTGTTCCGCCAGCAGATCATGTTCCGCTACGTGCAGCTGATCAAGGACAACTGGGACAGACTGGCCGCCAGCATCACGCTCGAGCAGGGCAAGACCTTTGCCGATGCCAAGGGTGATGTGCTCCGTGGCCTGCAGGTTGCCGAGGCTGCCATTGGCGCCCCCGAGCTGCTCAAGGGCGAGGTTCTCGAGGTGTCCAAGGACATGGAGACGAGGACGTACCGCGAGCCGTTGGGCGTCACTGCCGCCATCTGCCCCTTTAGTGAGTCTTGATCAATGGTTTCTGATGGCTAGACGGGCATCAACTAACAGGTCGTTCTCTTTGCTAGACTTCCCCGCCATGATCCCCCTGTGGTCCATCCCCATTGCCACCATCACCGGAAACACCATCGTCATCAAGCCCTCAGAACGTGATCCCGGTGCCGCCATGATCCTCGTCGAGCTGGCTGAGAAGGCCGGCTTCCCTCCCGGCGTTGTCAGCGTCATCCACGGCGCCCACGACACCGTCAACTTCATCCTTGACGAGCCCGCCATCAAGGCCGTGAGCTTTGTCGGTGGCAACAAGGCCGGCGAGTACATCTACTCTCGCGCCTCTGCCAACGGCAAGCGTGTCCAGGCCAACCTGGGTGCCAAGAACCACGCCGCCGTCCTCCCCGACTGCAACAAGAACCACTTCATCAACAGTGTCGTGGGAGCGGCCTTTGGCGCTGCTGGTCAGCGCTGCATGGCCCTGAGCACTCTAGTCATGGTTGGTGAGACCAAGGAGTGGCTCTCCGAGGTTGCTGAGCACGCACAGGCGCTCAAGGTTGACGGCGGTTTCGAGGAGGGTGCCGATCTTGGCCCCGTCATCTCCCCCCAGAGCAAGGAGCGCATCGAGGGCCTCATTGCCAGCGCTGAGAAGGAGGGCGCCACGATCCTGCTCGACGGCCGTGGCTTCAAGTCTGAGAAGTACCCCAACGGCAACTTCATCGGACCCACCATCATCTCCAACGTCACCCCCGACATGACTTGCTACAAGCAGGAGATTTTCGGCCCTGTCCTGGTGTGCCTCAACGTCGAGACCATCGACGACGCCATTGAGCTCATCAACAACAACGAGTACGGCAACGGTGTTGCCATCTTCACAAAGTCGGGCGCCACCGCCGAGACGTTCCGCAAGAACATCGAGGCCGGCCAGGTGGGTATCAACGTGCCGATCCCCGTGCCGCTGCCCATGTTCTCATTCACCGGCAACAAGAAGTCCATTGCCGGAGGCGGTGCCAACACCTTCTACGGCCGACCCGGTATCAACTTCTACACTCAGCTCAAGACTGTGACGGCACTGTGGCAGAGCGCCGACGCCGTTGCCAAGAAGGCTGCGGTGCACATGCCCACGCTGCAGTAGAGGATGAAATTGCGTTGATGCGATGGGGATTGTCTTGTGGAACATGACGGAATGAAATTAAAAAAAATTGTCGCCCTGAGGAATGATGAATACAGGGGGAAAGGCTGGTTGTCTCACAGAACATGCATGTACTGTACATAATGTAGTCACGAGCAGATGGGCTGGACAGCATGGGAATGCTTTTTAAGCAGAATGAAATAAATTTACGTTAAATGCAGTATTACGGACGTCATGAATCCTGCGATATTTGTTATCGATTTGCAGAGGTACGATATCAGGCAATCTATCTATTGACATGTCACATGTTCCCCCTCTCACCTCACCTCAACTTCTACCTATCACACAAGGCAACGTGCATATCAACCCCCCATGTTTCCCCCCCAACTGCAACCTCATCTCTGCATCCTCTCTTTTACATCGCCATCAGCTCGAGTACGTGTTTTTGCAAATCAGCTAGCAGCGTAATCAACGACATCAATAGCAGTCTCAAACAGTGTATACATAAATCACAATGGCACTCGCTCTAACAGACCTCCCATACACCATCTTCTCAGACATCATCTCCCGCCTCTCCGCCACAGAAGCCATCCTCTGCCAGCGCGTGTCCCGACTCTTCCGCGAGGCCCTCACCAGGAACGACCTCTGCATCAGCCTCATCCTGGCGCACTTCCCGCGCTCGCTCGAAGGCCGGCGGCTCAGAACGCATCTCCGGAAGGGAGAGCTCGGAGCCCTTGAGCGCGGCGACTGGGCCGCCGTGTTTGCGAGGCTGGCGCGGCGGTACTTTCACCTGGGGAACGCCGTGCCCTGGAAGGTCGTCAAGGTGCCGGTGCTCAAGGACGAGAAACGGCTTCGCGGCGTGACGCCGTGGAACCGGTTCCTGAGCCTCAACGGCAAGACGGCGCCGTTCCACTTTTGGGACCCGGTATGGACCGTGGCCCCGGCCGAAGGGCTGCTGGTCTATCCGGCGCCGCTCGGGGAAGATGCCGGGCTTTTGGCCCGGGATCTGGAGACGGGGATCGAGGTCGAGGTGCCTTTTGACATGCGAGGCAGGATTGTGAGGCGAGTCCGCATCAGCCACGGGATTCTCATGATTGAGTGGTGCGAGCAAGAGGCGATCAATGTCATCGACGGAGCCGAACCAGTGCATCGCCACTACGCAACCGCTTACACCTTCCGCAGGATCGGGTCCTGGGGCGGCGTCATTCCTCCGCGTGGCGGTAATGCCGGTTCGATGCCAACTTACTCCTGGGCCTTTGAGTTCCGATGTGAATGCAAGATTCATCATCTTGGCCTGCCCGTCAGTCACCAGGACCGCTTCTTCTCGACGCACAACGCGACTCACTACGTCGTTTACACATGGCAGCCTACACGTACTCCCTGGGAAGACGAGCCCCTTGAGCGGCTCACGATATGGGAGTTTGGCACTCCCTCTACATATAGACCATCACAAGATCCATCAGGAACCGCAAACCCAGACGATGCTTCCGGTCCATACATCATCCGCAGCATGACAAACGGCCAGCTCCGCGAATGGGCCATCCGCCAGAGCGATACGCCGGCCCTGCGCGTCATGGCCCTTGACAGCTGCACCTGGGATGCTGCTAGGGGCACTGCCTGTGGTCACGTCTTCTTCACCGAAGAAGAACATCGCTGGTCCGCCGGCCCTCACAGCAGCTCGAACCCTCCGCGCCTGCACCGCGTCAAAACAACGGGCATCCCGCTGATTGGCGAAGGCCCGCGGTGGGTAGACGACTGCGGCGGCGGAGGCGGCGTCAATCTACCTTTCTGCTGGGGATGCCGGTGGAGGAGACGAATAACGGGCATGGACGAGAACACTAACGATGACAGTTCTGGCGATGGCAGTGACTCTTCCCCAGAAAAGGCATGGAGCAACTCTCAGACCTGGCCTGGCCGCGCTCCCTGCTGGCGCCACGACGACTTCCCCTACGTGACCCTCTCCGAGGTCTTTGACGCCGCGGCCGGCGTCCGCGTCATCGCTCGCGACTGCTTCATGCTCGAGACCCTATCAGTGCACATCCGGCCCAAGATTCGCATCCAGGGCATCGGCGCAAGCGGCGCCAAATTCACCGCCAGGGGAAACACAATGTCGCGCACAACCAGACGCAGAAGACGACGCACACGAAGACCAAGCGCCGCAAGGACCGGCAGCGGCAGCAACAGCAATGCGTCTCACCAGAACCAGAGCCAGACAACCGACGGGAACGAAACCGCCGGCAACAGCAGCAGCAGCAAGGGAGGCGCCACGACGCAGGGCCCAGACGGGCAGGAGGTCCAGTTCGCGGACGAGATGTGGTCTGAGATGATGGCAAAGGGCTTCATCTGCGGAGACGAGCGGTGGCTCGTGGGCGAGGACGTCAAGGGGGACGTCACCATTCTCATCTTTTGAAACAATAAGAGCATTGACGACGATATTAAAACGAAACCACGCATACATTCCATCTACTACTATACGGAAGAGTAAAATAGAAACCCCTCATAGTTTGTAAACACGGCGCCAATGCAAGGAACAGGAACATCACGTTAGGTCACGTTCCCTCTCTCCAACCCACAAAAATAATAAATCACTCATTTGCTTCGCTATGCTGTGCCTCCTTCTCAGTCCATCTGTGGCGTCACAACTCGTATGTTTGGGCGCTCGCTGCCTTGATTTGCCTCCCATGCCCGTTTTGTTTCCATTTTTCCATTACCCTTCTACATGCTTCTCGGTGTATCTACAACTGTCCAGATATAAAAAGACAATGGTTTGCAAAAAATTCTATGCTCTGCCCTGTCGTAATCTGAAAAAACAACAAAAACGATCAAATCAGTTGTCAAGTGTCATCAATAATGCCCTTGTAGCAAAAAGAGAAGAGATGGTGCGTTTAAAAGCAGTGAGGTTCTCCTGAGCTCACATGGTGTTCCTCCTCTTTTGCCCACCATCCCTTTTCCGTCTCATAAATATTCATTCAGTTCAGACTCAGTTCTCAATTTCTCTCACATCTTTCTTTAATTCTTTGGCACCTCCATAAATCCGCCATAATACGAATCCAGCCACTGAGCCGCCTGCTCGCCAGCCTCATCAACGTTGGTGTCCCATCGGCCGATGGAGCCAACATAGCCGTCGGGACGGACATTGACGATGGCGACTTCGCTGGGGCCGAGGCTTCCCAGCCACTTGTCTGTGCAGAAAGCGCCCCTGGTGTCTAGCTCGGGGACATTGTCGATATAGACGGTCCAGCGGCTATCCTGCAGCAGGGCGGGAAGGTCTGATATCTCAATTTCAGACTTGGGCATGGTCGCTAGACACATCACTTTGGTTAGTTAAAGGGGTACGTGGGGGGGATGTGGAAAAAGGTAAGCGGGAGGCCGGAAGGCTTGTTACTCACTAATCAGAGCAAATGTGAACAAGTGGCTGACCACCGTGTATCTCTCAGGTCGCGTATACACATCTTCAGGGGCCGGCAATCTTGGCTGCTTGGCATAAGATGCGCTTGCGGCAGCAGAAAGCTGGCTCACCAGGGACTTTGGCGTCGCAATGGAGCGGCAGAAAGTCTCCAAGAAGGGCCTTGCCTGTATCACATCCCACATAAGGAGGTAGATACGGAATTGGCCCAGCATGGGGATGTCGAGCTGAATGTCCACTGGGTTGGAGTCAATGTATCGCGATACCTTGGCCGGGGGCAAGAGACATCCCGGACGAGCGCCGCCCAGGATGGCCGAGTTGTCCTCTGGCCGGGTAATGTTGAGGGCGCTCTCGCTGTAGTCGGCACCAATGCCGGAGATGAAGCGCACATTGGCCCTAAAGTTCTCGGCCATGGCGACAGCATCTCCACCGGCGATGCGGTTGGCATGCTCGTAATCGAAGTTGACGAGATCTAGGGCGATCTTGCGGCGCTCCACCTCGTAGCTTTCGAGAAGATTGGGTTTGGCCAATCCACGGCATGCCAGGTTCAACTTCCAGGCCAGGTTCCACGAGTCGTGCATGGATGTATTCATGCCTTGGGCCGACTTGGGGGAGTGAGTGTGACTAGCATCTCCCGCAAGGAACACCCTGGTCTTGACATCCGTGAAGCGACTCGCAACGCGCTGGCCCACTTGATATCGCCCAAACCACTCAATGTACTTCCAGTCTAGCTCAAAGGGCGCCATGATCTTGCGGGCCTGTTGCATGACGAATTTCTGGCCAAGCTCGCGGCGGTCAGCGCGGGCGCTGGCCTTGAGCTCAATGTAGAAGCGCGTCATGTTGCGCTCACGGGGAACAATGAGGATCGAGCCGTGTTCCTCAGAGTAGACAAGAGTCTTGGACCAAATATCAGGAAAGTTGGTGATGATCTCACCGTCCAAGACGCCCCAAATATCTGGGCGGGACATGCCTACGGCCTCAACGTTGGACATGTTCTTGCGGACCTTGGAGTGTGCTCCATCGCCTATGAATCTTTCTGTTAGCCGAGCATTGTAATTTAGATATAGAAATAATACACTTACATCCAACGAGATAATCGGCCAAAATCGTTCTCTTGTCCTGGTTGACATTGGTGTAGCACCGAACCTGGACTGGCCCTGACTTTGGAACATGATGAGACTCAAAGGCCGTGTTCCGGCGCACCTCCTTTCCGCGCTTCCTCAGGTCGTCGACAAAGAGGCCCTCAACCATGCCCTGGTGGACAAGAAGGATGTAAGGGTCCAGAACATCAATGACGGGAGGATAGTGCACTTCACGCCCTAGGCGATGCAGAGGCGCATCCGCCGTGCTGCGCCAAAAGGAGATGTCAAAGACTCTCACGCCGCGCTGCAGCAGCGGATCAGCCAATCGCATCTGCCGAAACGTCTCAATTGATTTCGGCTGTAAGCCATCGGCTCTGTTTTCATCACATTAGCGTCAAATAATGTAATTTGCAAGTAGAACTTGGATCGAGTTTGAACGAGGTGTAAGGAAGGCCTACAAACTACGAACTGCAGCAGTAGATGGGCAGAGAATAGGGCGAGGAAAACAAAAGGGGGAGCTGTTGAGGCCAGCTGAAGGGGATAGGTAGGCAAGGTTTTTTTTTTCTCATTGGGGACAGACATACCGGCCAACAGGCGTCTGGTCCGCCCTATCATCTACGACTTCAACTTCGATGCCGAAACGGGCGAGATTCGCTGCCAGCATGAGGCCCGCGGGACCAGCGCCAACAACACACACCTGGCAGGTGGTGGGCGGCTCTGGCAAGCTCCGGAGAAGGGTGAGGGGATCAATGGCATCCTCGTCGTCGACGGCCATTTCCTGGTTTGACGGGCCTGGCTGCGCTTCTTCCTCCATGTGGTTTGGACTGTTGTTCCTGGAGTTTGACGAGGGACTGACGACGCCCGGCGCCATGGTGACGGGCGAAGGTTGAGGTGATCTGTCAGCCAGCGTGAAGGATCACTGTACTGTAGTTTGTCAAGCCGAGCCTCTCTGTATCGACCTGGACACTGTGGGCAGCCGAAAAAGACGAGCTCGCTCCACTGTCCGGGAGCCTGGTTGTTTTTCAATGGCCGGCCTGGTGGTGGCTCGCCCAATTACCACTTTGCTTTTGTGCACTCCAGCACGCTGTGCCCGACCGACGAGAGCGATAGAGAGACAGGCCTGTCTGTCTCAGTCGACTCGTCTCAGGAGAGGTCGCGACCGTCTCCACCACACCTTTTTTTCTTCTGCTGCAACGCAACCGCAATGCAATGCGTTCTGGGATCCTCTTGGGCCTTTGTGCTGAGCTATGTCCGAATCCTCGTGCAGACAGAGACACGAGTGCCGCTCTCAGGTTTTGGCCCCCTGGCTGTTGCTGCGACGAATTGGATGGATACCGGGGCCCGGATCGGGGGTACTGGAGGGTCTGGGCTAGAAACGCAGAATGATGCGACAGTGCAGGAGAAAGGGTTGTGTTGAGATTGAAGCTGCAGAGGGCTGTCCTGTAGGGCAGCGCAGTGCAGAGGATGGAGAGTCGTTCCTGGTCCAAGTGTGTCACGCGGCGTCGAGACAGACGCTTACAGCACACAGCAGCCCTGAGCCCATTGCCCTCGCCTTTATCTATCTCCTGTTGCTTGGGGGGAATTGGCCAGCGTCCGCTACTAATACTGCTTTCGTCTCCCTAGGCCGGAGCATCAGTAGGTCCCAAGACAGCTGGGGAGGGAATTGGTAATAAATAAGGGCTTCCAGCACGGAGTACGAGGCCAGTACTCGTGCCGTCGCTGGGCTGGCGACGCAACGCGCGAGTACCTGTACAGTGCCTGTTGCGTGCCTAGCAGCAGCGGCGGCGGCTGCGAGGCCGGGCCCCAGCAGTCGGGGAGGCTGGAAGGAGCGACACAGCAGCTCATGGCCCCGGTAAAGCCCGACGCACGTATGGCAAAAGTGGCATGACAGACGGCAGTCGTGGACAGCTGTTGAGAGCAAGATCAGCCCATTTTGCCGTCAAGATAATTGTCATTGGCGTTGCACCATGTCCAGGCACTGGCTTACCGATGGCTTAGCCTCAGTTTGCGCGCCGCTGATTGGCTGCAGGACCTCCCTCGGAGAGGGCAAGTGGTGCCATTTTGCACCGTGGCCGCGCCTGCTCTAGAATGCGGCTCCACTCAGCTCCATCCATCCAACGGGAGACGAGGATTTAGAAAAAAAACGAGAGGGAAGACACTGCTTTGGTTCATGGCTCCTGCTCCTACTACGAGTATGCTCCGGCTCCTGCTCCTGTTCCTGTTGGTGCCTCTTGCTCCTTGCTCGGCATCTGCTGGAGAATTTAGAGAGTCATGGAAGGGACCCGTACAGTAGCATTGAACCCTGCTCGTCAATTCCAATTCCCCTCCGAACAAGCCTTTTTCTCTTTCTTTCTGCCGGGGTCCATTCTTGTCTCGGAGGGTTCTTTCCCAAAGGGGCCTCAAGGGTCTAGTTCTTGTGTTTCTCCTCAACCGTGGCGGCCGAGTCAGCGGCTCCGGTTTGAATACAGGTACGAGGTACTTGGCCTTTTGCACGCAGACCCTGGTCGTTCCAACAGCAGTACCTTTGCGGCGCCACGGCGCTGTGGCAGAGATATACTTTTGCAGTAGCGGCACACTGCATGTGGCTACAGGTACAAGTGCTAAGATGCGTTGGTGGCTCTATGAATACTTCTACTCCGTAAAGTCCGTATACACGCCAGCAAAGATCAACTGTCCATGTAGATGGAATGAGGCTCTATCGAGTAGCCATTGCCATTCGCCCCATGGCCCATATATGCACTCCATGCTCGCACCTGTAACATCCCGCATCGCTATCTCGCCTTATCGGGGCTTAGCCTACACGATAGTACTACTTTGATGATGATCCATCTGGCTTTCGAGCACGATGCTGACTCGTCGATTCTTCATCCATGATATACTGCCAAGTACTAACCTACATTGGCGGTACAAGTCTGTTGCAGCAAAGCATAAACAGCCTCGGTAGTAATAACTCAACTCCTCAATGTCATCGCCGTTCGGTAGCCACGGACCTCTCACTAACTCCGCAGATCTTGGTTTGTTTCGTCCAGACAAAACCATGCCTGTACGCCACCATACGATCAAGCACACAGGTACCGAGTACGCTCGTATTATAAAGCACGATTCGCCAATCAACCAAGCAGCAAAGGCCTCCCCTTTCCTTCGCTTCTGCCGACATCGCGTGATCACGGTGATATCCTCTTGCCAACTCATGCCATTTTCAACACCAAGAGGGTTGGTTGGGTGTCAAGGCGGGAAATGTATACACACACTCACTCACAAAGGTCCACGGTGGCTTGCATGTCACCCTGCCAGGACTGGAGCTCGTCGTCCGAGATCGCCAACATCTATCACTCCTAAAAATAATGACGGATAGTAATGCTTTTGCGTATTACAGAGTATCACTGCTAAGCCACTAGTCGTTCATCTCTGGCCATTGTGGGACGAGTTTCAGGTGCTATAAACCTAGCTCTCCAGCATCTCAAAGTAAGACCTGGCCGAAAGGGGTTTGAAGCACCCTCTTAGGCCATCAACAACACCATGTTTCGACCATGCTCGCACCAACCAGCTTCCTCATTCAGGCTGCGGAGACGGGCTCCACGCTGTCGTTGGCCTCAACAGGCGCAGCTGGATCCTCAATGACCTGCCGTCCACTATAGTTCAGCATGGATCTCTGGCCTCTGCTTCGAACTCGGAACGAATGCCAGTCCGGGTACACTCGCAAGGCGGGGAGCATCCCTCCAGCTTCTGGCATGATGACCTGACCGCTCCGCCCGCTGAGGATTTGCTTCACAACTGCCTCGGCAACGGAATCAGGTTCCTGTGACGGCAGCAGGAAGGGGGCCCCCTGGTTGAAGCCGGTGAAAAGCGCCGTCTTGGAAGCTCCAGGATGAACCACCACGGTGCGGACCTTGGGGGCGTTGTATCGAGTCTTGAGCTCAGCTGAAAGCCCTTCGTGGAACGACATGGCTGCAGCCTTGGACGCGGCGTAATCTACCAGGTTGGGAACTGTGACCCACGACGCAAAGGACGTGACTGTCACAATCATGCCGTGGTTCTGGGCTATCATGTGCGGCAGGAATGCCTTGGTCACCCAGAAAGGGGCCAAGGCGTTGACATCAAACGTGAACCTCACATCCTCCGGCGTGGCATCTAGAATGGTCTTTCCGCGGACGACGCCGGCGTTGTTGATTACAACGGTGGGATGCCCGATTTGACCGATTACCCTTTCGGCGGCAGCAGCCACGTTTGCTGGCGACCTGATGTCGCAGTAGAAGTGGTGGACTCTGGACGCTGCATGTTGTCAGCCCTGCAATGCAATGCAGCTGAAGAGTGACGGGGACTTACAGGCCGCAAACGTCATTCGCTGGACGTCCAGCACCACCACCCTGACTTTGAGCTCATCCAGCAGCTTCACTATGGAGGCACCGATACCTGCCGCGCCGCCCGTGATGAGCACAATCTCCTTGGACCAGTCATACTTGTCTCTGACCCAGTTGTTGCGGACTTTGTCTGAGAGCCAGCCGCTGAGTCCACGGGCCACAGCAATGTAGAAGAGCAGCCTAAGCCGCCGTGCCGCTTTGGGATGCAGAATCGAGAGATCCTGGCCCTTCTTGGTGTAGCGGGCAAGCAGAAGCAGAGGCAGCAGGAGGTTCGGATTCAGAAGTGTTCTGCGAATGAGCTTTAGAATCACGTCGGCGCACAGACCTTCGCGAGGTAGAAAGCCCTTGTGCATCGGCATGGTGATAGCAGAGATGTGATATGATATAAGACGGTGGAAGAGTGAAGCCCTTATCTGGAAGCTTGGCTAAAATCTAGATTGCCCTTCTTCGTGTAGCTGTTCTGGGAAATCTCGAAAACAGCTCGCGTGCCTGTGTTGGAAGATATAAGGCCTGTATCATTGATGACAACACGTCGCAAAAGCTCGACCATCCTACGCCAGTCCGCGATCCGACCGACAATGCGTACAGAGTAAATAAATGCGATGTAGCCACGACAAATTATTTGTGTCGTCTTCTTTGGTTTGAGAAGGACTCCGCGTTTTGGCATTTAAATGACCAGTCAAGCCTAATCTTATAACATTGCCAAACACGGCAGCACTAAAACTATCCTGGCCAGAGATGCGCAATCCTGAGCGTCTCACGCTGGAATTGCCGAGGCTTGTCTTCCATCACAATGCGGGGAGCATCCTTTTCGACTGTTCAAGATGTTGAGGGCGAATCGACACCTTTAGTACTCTCAAGCTCATAGCGGCTGTTACAGCACCAAGTTGATCCGTCGCTCCGTACGAGTACGAGTATAGAATCCCTCCCCCGCATTGGTCCTGACAAGATTGGATCGCGTGCACGGGTAAAAGTAAACGCAGATTGGGGGTGTGTTGATAATTAACCAAGGTGGAGAAGCTGGAGAAGGATGAGTTCTGTTGGCCAAATCTCATGGCTCTGCTTATTACCGATTCGAGATACCGTTGTGGCTAGTGGTAGTGCATTGGCGTACCCAGCAGCCAATTGCACTAACAGCGCCCTTTACAAGCAGAATTTCCTAATGCGTCTTGCCGACGGATTGCTCGCCGTCTGCAGCCCCAGTTTACCAAGATATCAACAGCATCACTTGGGAGAAAAAGATGAAGAGCTGGAGACGGCAGAGCAATATTTGCGGATATCATTGCTAATTAGTTCATTGCTAGCCGGCGTGACTCTCTCGGAGGCCGGCGGTTCACGAGAAGAAGCTCCGGCAACGGCCTCTTGTCAGAGACTTAATTAGAGCTGAAGCCGCTCAGCCTTTGTTTAAACCCTTGTTACTATCCTATCCAGTCTACAGAACAACCTTACCAGACCTCACAAGCAACGCACATTGCTAGGGCCGTTGGTGAACTCGTCTTTAAGACTAAACGAACCTACTTACACAAGCTTCGTTAAAGAGTGGGGGAGGAAACTAGCAATTGGGTGGGGGAGCTTTTGTCGCCTTGGAACTGAAGAACAACATATAGAACTTTGGTTCTTCACTCATCCGCCACCATGAAGACTTCACGGCTCTCCGTCCTCCTCAAGCAATCCGCATCAGCCCATCTGCGGCTGCAATCAGCCCACCATCTCCGCAGCCATGCTCTGCAGCGACGCAGTCTGAGTGCTGCAGCTGGCTCAAATGCCATCCGAGACCTCCTCAAGGTGTCCAGCGAGGTGTCCGATGCCATCGCAAACAACAAGCCGGTTGTTGCCCTGGAGTCGACCATTTACACCCACGGAGCCCTGGGAAAGGATCTCGCGCGGGAGCATGAGGATTTGGTGCGGAGCACTGGCGGCATCCCGGCCATTATTGCCATTGTAGACGGCGTGCCGAAAGTGGGTGTTTCCACGGATGAGATTATTCGGATGATTGAGGAAGAGGGCACCGTCAAGGCTTCACGAAGAGACATTTCATACTTGGTTGGCATGGTAAGTCTGCGCCTTTTACGCTTTTGATAGCCATTTTGGCCAATTCCATAGGCGAAGCCACCCATTTTACAAGACAGAGTGTTGGCTGACCACCTCACCAGGGCCTTGCGGGACGCAAAATCCACGGCGGTACAACCATCGCTGGCACTATGCTCCTGGCTCGACTAGCCGGAATCCGAGTCTTTGGAACCGGTGGTCTTGGTGGTGTTCACCGTGGCGGCGAAGATTCGATGGATATCTCTGCCGATCTTACGGAACTGGGAAGGACACGAGTTGCCGTCATTAGCAGCGGTTGCAAGGGTTTCTTGGATATCCCACGCACATTGGAATACCTCGAGACTCAGGGATGCTTGGTGTCCACCTTTGCCGATGGACGCACCGGCAAGATTGATTTCCCGGCCTTCTGGGCGAGGGACAGCGGCGTCAAGAGCCCGTCCGTTACGTACACTGAAAAGGAGGCCGCCGCCATGATTCTGGCTCAGGAGAAACTCGGCATCGAGTCGGGCATGCTCTTTGCTAACCCCATCCCCGAGGAGTTTGGCGTTCCCGCAAAGGAAATGCAGGCTCACATTGAGCAGGCTGTAGCAGAGGCCGACCAAAAGGGCTTTACGGGCAGCGCCAACACGCCCTACGTCTTGCAAAGGCTCAAGGAGCTCACCGGTGAAAAGGCAGTCATTGCCAACAAAGCACTGGTCCGGTCCAACATTGTTAGGGCGACCAACATTGCGGTGGAGTTGTCGCGCTTGCTGAGCCAGGGAACGAGCTCGTAAGTCCATTTTAGGGGGCATAGTTTGTATTTGTACTAGTATTTACGAGGATGGCTCTAATCGGTAGATAGAAGTTCATCAGATCATAATGTGGCGTTTACATCAAAAACCGAGAAGGATATACCTTTGGCTCCGCTGAGAGCAAATTCTAAAGCTGATATCCTTGTCGCTGGGTCGGTTGCTGTCGACCTTAGCTGTGATTACTCCAGTCCCAAGGGTGGTGATGGCCAGCCTCAAGCTCATACGTCTAACCCCGCCAGCATAACCCAGTCGATCGGCGGTGTCGGTCACAATGTTGCACTAGCCGCCCATCGAGCAAGTCGACAAGCCCAGGTCAAATTTAGCAGCATGGTTGGAGATGATATGTAAGCAGGCTCTCACGTCCAAAGATTACTCTAAATACGATCCCGTGGCTGACATTTACATAGTGCGGGTGCAACAGTTCTCTCAGCTTTGGAAGCCTCGGGACTCGATTCCACATATGTCAAGAAACTTGACCGGACAGAGCATCCTGGGAGTCGAACGGCTCAGTATGTCGCCATCAATGACAGAAGCAAGAATCTTGTCATGGCTATGGCAGACATGGGCATCTTTACGCAGCACTTGTTCCCCGAAGACTGGAAGTCAACCATCAAGGCGACGGATCCCAAGTGGCTTGTGGTGGATGGCAACTGGAGCCCCAAGGGCATCCGGACCTGGATTCATTCGGCCAATGAGCACGGAAGCAAGGTCGCTTTCGAACCAGTCTCGGTTGAAAAATCCAAGAGCCTCTTTGGCCCCCAGCGCGGAGTGCCAACGCTGGGCGTTTTCCCCCACCAAAGTGTCGACCTCTCCTCACCCAATATCTACGAACTCTCAGCCATGTACTCTGCAGCTAAGGATAACGGATATCTAGACAGCCCGGAATGGTTCGAGATTATCGATTCCTTCGGCATGCGCGGAGCCAGAGACCAGTTCGTCCGTCTCACATCGGTCGAATTGACGGATGCCGGCGTACCTGTGCAGTCTATCCAATTGCTTCCCTACATACCAACATTAATCACAAAACTCGGATCCAAAGGCGTGCTGCTGACGACCATCCTTGGAAAAGACGACCCGCGGCTCCGGGACCGAGAGTCTGACGAATACATTCTGACTCGATCATATGATGGAAACCCTGCAGTTGGTGGTATCTACATGCGACTATTCCCTCCGGTGGAGCATGTAGAAAATGTCGTTTCTGTGAATGGCGTTGGAGACACGTTCCTTGGTGTCATGGTGTCAGGTCTTGCCCAAGGAGGACGGGTAGACAAGCTGGTGGATGTTGCTCAGCGAGGTGCGGTTTACACCCTGAAGTGTGCAGAGTCTGTGAGCAAAGACGTTTCAAAACTGGAGAGTGAGCTGGAAAAGGTTACATTGCTGAATTAGGCGCATTTTTGTTTTTGCAATAGCATAATGATAATGATGATGTAAATAATTCTAGGTTGTCTGCTGGGAAACATGTAAATCTGTTGGCGAAAATGGGTGAGGCATCTCCATATGTTGTCAGCCTCGTCTAGAAAGAAGTTGTGATTGCCCCGCCGCCCCACTTGGACCAGCTTTTGTCCTGCAAGGCTGAGCTCCAGACCCAGAAAAAAATATTCAAAAAAAGATTCCCATTGAAATTTTGCAGCGCAAACCAATCAACCGCTGCTCAGCGCTTCCACATAGCCGAACAGCTCAGCAAACATGGCTCCGCCTCAGGATCCCGATTTCTCAGAGGATGAACTATCCGAAAGCCCCTTGTCATCGGACATTGACTCTGACGACGACGCATCAAGAAAGAAGCCAGTGATTGCGCTGCAAGAGAAGGACTCTGACGAAGAAGACTTGGAACGGTTGGTTTTTGGCAGCAAAGTCAGCTTTGGGGAGAGTCTCTTTAAGAACAATGGACTGTTTGGAACATCGGACGAGAAGGAGGGAAAACAATTGGAATTGGTCGATGCGGACACGGGCGGCCTGGAAGACGTCGATGATGTCGATCTGTTCATGATTGATACCGCCCCGAGCGGCGCAGTCCCTCACGCACCAGCTGCTACTGCGACGAAGAAGGCAGAGCAAGGCGATCCGGTCGCCTGGGAGGACAGCGACGACGAACGACTGGGAATTTCCCTTGCGAACCATACACGACTGCGAAAACTGCGACTGACCGAGGCCGAGGACATTGTGAGCGGCACCGAGTACAGCAGAAGACTCCGACAGCGCTATCTCCAACTCCATCCTGCCCCTGCGTGGGCCAAGGAGGCGGAGGGACGCCCTACAAAGAGACGGCGGCGCTCATCCGCCTCCTCTGGCTCTTCAGAGGAGAGCGGTAACGAGTCCGATGGCGAAGTGTCCGCCCAGCCGCTGGAAGAGTTCTTGCGAGATGTCAAGAGCCTGTCTGGAGCGGGCGGCCCCAAGAAGCGACGACTCAGGCCAGAGGTCATCGACATCCAGAGGACACGAGAAATCTCGGACAAGCACCTTGCGCCTGTGGAGTGCCTGTCTTTCCACCCCGAATACCCAGTCCTGCTGTCTGCCAGTACCGCATCGGTGCTGTATCTACATCACATTGCCCCCGACGCCCACCCGGTCCCGAATCCCCGGTTGACGTCTGTGCAGGTCAAGGGTGTAGACATCCGAAAAGCAGAGTTCTTGTACCCCGAAGGCGACAAAATCTTTATCGGCGGACGAAGGAAATACTTCCACCACTGGGACCTCAAATCTGGCGTTGTGCAAAAGACGTCGCAGATTCTGGGCCACCGCCTGGAGCATAAGACGATGGAGCGGTTCAAGCTGAGCCCCTGTGGCAGATACATGGCCATTATCGCGTCGACCCGCAAAGGCGGCGGTATCGTCAACATTCTCAGCGTCGGCTCGCTGCAGTGGATTGCTGCAGCTAGACTGTCCAGCAGAAACGGCATCGCGGACTTTGCATGGTGGAGCACTGGAAATGGCATGACCATCCTGGGGAAAGACGGCCAAGTCGGCGAGTACAGCGTGGAGAGTAAGAATTTCATTGGCCTATGGCGCGACGACGGCTGTATCGGCGGCATCGTTATTGCCCTCGGTGGCCACCAGGGCCCTGAGCTGATTGGCGATGACCGCTGGGTGGCCATTGGCTCCAACACGGGCATCACCAATATCTACGACAGGGCAGAGCTTGTCACCCTAGATGCTGACAAGAACGTCGTCGTCAAGGAGACGCCGACTCCCACTCGTGTGTTTGAGCAGCTTGTCACGCCTGTCACAGTTCTCACATTCTCCCCCGACGGTCAGCTTCTGGCGTTTGGCAGCAGGGCCCAAAAGGATGCTCTAAGGCTGGCTCACCTGCCGAGCTGCACAGTCTACAGGAATTGGCCGACGGCACAGACGCCGCTGGGGAGAATAACGACGGTGGCATTTGGCAAGGAGAGCAGCTTGTTGGCGGTGGGTAATGATACGGGCAAAATTAGACTATGGGAGATTAGGAATTAGATGTGTGTAATTGTGAATACAAAATTCTGAGCGGATTGCTTATTTTTTTTATTCGATTTGCTATCATGATTGAATTCCTTGGCCCTTTTGAGCTCGTACCATTTTCAAGGCCTTTTAGGGTATTTTCATTTTCCTCACGCCTGATTCGTGAAACGCCTTTATCTCTCCCCATGTCATAGTAAACGCCCATGTTTCAATATGCTCTTGAAATGAAATATCCTCAAACAAGCTCCGCATCGCCATCCTCGACAAGACCTTTGGCGCTCGACCACCTCAGGATGAGAACATCTCCGTTGGCTGCCGGGAGAATGGTATCGACGTCGGTTCCCTTGCCAAAGACGTCTTTATCTCGTAGAAGACGAACGAATACAGCGGTGTCCAGGTCCGGAGAATCAATCATGCTGACATTGCCGGCAGTGTCGTTGAGGTTCTGCAGGCGCTGGGGAAAGGACGAGAGGAAGGATGAGAGGTAGTGGTTATGGAGAAGGGCTTGATGTCTCGTTGCATATGCTAATTCGGTGGGAGAGAGGCGTTGTCTTAGTTCTTGAGTTGAGAGGTAGTGAAGGGTGTGTTTGTCAATCTTGAGGAGATGAAAGGATTAGATATGATAATCTTGTCGTGCATGAACAATCGCACCTGTTTTCGACTGAGTTATATGGGCTGAGATCGACTTACTTTGGCTATTCGTGTTCTTAGGTAGCTTCGTACGAGGAACTTGTATCGTTCGAGCTCAGTTTGGATGACGATGAGGGCAAAGTTGGTTTTGGGATCCATGTCCCCAGTCATGTCCTCAATCTTTTCAATCTGAGATTTGATCTTGGAGTTGACCCGCTCAAACAAGCCATCAGCAGGCCAGCTACATCATAGATTGGTACAATTAGCAAAGAACAGAAGTCATTTAAGAGTACATGCATTCAAAGTACAGAACACATGCATGATGCCGAATATCTAAATACTCACTTGAGCAGCTCCGGGGCTGATCTCTCAGCAACCCAAAGGCGCGTCAGGGCCTGCAAGTCTCGAGTCTCGAGCGGGATGCCGTGAGAGGCAGGATCGACCTCTCGGAGGATATCGTCGATATCCATAGCGGCAGGTGATTTTCCGGGGCTGTCTCTATCTCCCCGTCATGGGGGTTTGAATCTTCTCTCAGGACAAACCCCAGGTGAAGCCAGCGTTTCGGGCCTTGATTGAAACTTCAGGTTGGAGCACAGGGCTTCGTGGTGGGGGTTCTCCTCTAGTTCAATCTACATGTCCAGATTCGGTCCATATATGGTAAGTGGAGGTACCGAATACATAGGCTGGGGCAGACGCGAGCACGCTGTTGGTGAGCACTACAGGGCGCCTATAGCGGAGAGTTTAGCGAATTATAGCGGATCGGGGCCTTTAAGTTTACGGACTATCATACTGTAACACTCCCATGTATCCAAATTCCGATCTCACATGCTCCGTGCACGTCTAGTATTAATAGTGAGGATCAACGGAAAGAAACATTGAACAAGTCATCAAAACACGCTGTACTCGGCCGCTGGTGACGCAAGTCTGGGGAACTGCTAGTCGCCAACTAAGCAAGGCTCAGTGTGGCATACCAATACTAATCTAAAGCAGTAATGGTATGATGCACCTCCAAAGCTGGAATGGGGTTTGTGCAATACGTGGGCCGAGGCATGTCTCCATCGATGCTGGGGGAGTCTTACGGCGGTGCCTCAATCTGTATAAAGTAGTGACATCCCCAATCCTGGACTTGATGACCCCCATTGTCTTGGAACTTTCACTTTTAATGATTGAATAGACGAGCAGCTCATTTTCTTATCTTTCTTATTATATATATATACATTTACTAGATTCATAATCAGTTTCTCAAGCAGCAGCAATGGCAGACGAAGATGGCGATGGTCCCCAGCCTTATGCTGCCTACCTGCGAGCCGTTCTCCAAAAGGGCCTGTTGGCCAACGAGCTGCCCATCGTGACAACAAATCCAAACACGCTCGAAGAGCAAGCCAAGAAGAAGATGCCCAAGGCCGGCTTCGATTACATTGTAGGCGGAGCTGGCGAGGCGGCAACAATGGATGCCAATCGCCTTGCCTTCCGTCAGTGGAAGATTGTTCCCCGCGTCTTGAAGCCCACGACTCCTCGTGACCTGAGTGTCACCATCTTTGGCCAGAAGTTCGGTGAGTGAAAAATAACAATCACTATGCTTTCTCGTTGCTCAACAATTTTTGTAAATGAAACGACCATGGACTAACCAGCTGGCAAAGACGTCCCCCTTCTCATGGCGCCTGTTGGTGTCAATTCACTATTCCACCCAGACAAGGAGATTGGAGTTGCTCAGGCTTGTGCCGAATTACGTGTCCCGTTTACTCTGAGCACAGCTGCTGAATCTACATTCGAACAAGTCGCGGCTGCGGCTCCTGAATCGCCAAAGTGGTTTCAGCTATACTGGCCCAACGACGAAGAGATCACAGCCTCGCTCCTCAAGAGAGCCAAGGATAACGGTTTCACAGCACTGGTCGTGACTCTGGATACTTGGACTCTTGCATGGAGGCCTTATGATCTCGATACGGCCAATGTTCCTTTCCTGCTTGGCCAGGGAGACGCAATCGGCTTCTCTGATCCCGTCTTTAGGCGCAAGTTTGCCGAGATGAGCGATGGCGGAACTCCTGAGGAAAACACGCTGCAGGCTGCTGTCTACTGGATTGGTGAGACTTTCTCCGGAACATCTCGTTCTTGGGAGGACCTCAAGATTCTGAAGAAGTACTGGGATGGGCCCATCATCCTCAAGGGAATTCTCAGCGTCGAAGATGCCGAGCTGGCTGTTGAGCATGGCATGGACGGAATTATTGTTAGCAATCACGGCGGCCGACAAATCGACGGTGCCATTGCAACCTTGGACGTCCTCCCTGAAATTGTCGATGCTGTCGGCAGCAAGCTGACCGTCATGATGGATTCTGGCATTCGAACCGGCGCCGACATTGTCAAGGCTCTCGCTCTTGGAGCCAAGGCCGTTTTTGTTGGTCGACCAGTGGTTTATGGACTGGGTATCAATGGCAAAGAGGGTGCCGAGGCGGTATTGGCCGGATTATTGGCCGATCTTGATTTAACCATGGGATTTGCTGGTGTCAAGAGCATTGCAGAATTGAAGAGATCGATGCTGCGGAAGATTCAGCACTCTGGAGATGTCAGGTCGAATCTTTGAACAGCTCTATGTATACAACAGCGCAAGCATATATAGACGACGCATAAATTGTCTACATGTATCTACTGGGACAGATGATGGAATCGAATCTATACATATCTATACATATCTATACATATCTATACATATCTATACATATCTATACATATCTATATACCGATATCCTCATTTACTGTACTCTGGCTACTTTCTATACCGCGCACAATAGATAAGTCGTACTGAAACACGGTGCAGATTTACGTACATGTAACTTTCTAGGCAGATAGGACATCGGTAACATACAGTGTGAAATACAGTGCGAATCGATACTGGTACCATCCGCGAATGCGAATTACAAGGCTGCAGCTTACAGCCAATGCTCCAAGCTAATTCGTCCACTCCATCGCAGCTCTCCAACACGCTTTCAGCCTTCTCAAACCGCGACAGGCCATTGCCCCAGAGAGCATTGTCCCTTTGATTCTCGGGGAGATTCTGAATTACCTCGAACTACCGGCGACCATGGCAGATTCTGCAGCTGAAGATGACAACCGCTCGCAGAAGCGCAGCCATGCAGAGTATGCTGAAGATGGCTCAGGTAAGGACATATATTCTTTGCTCTGGATTTAAGGATCGTGCACGAGGCTAACAACGTGATTCTCCTCTTGATAGACTCCTCATCGGATGATGACATGGGACCGCAGCTTCCCACCGAGGCCCCGAAGAAGAAACGCCGCGTCTTGCCTTACGAAAAGCTATACATCTCTGCGCTGCCAAAGTCTGCTCGATACTCAAAGTCGCTGATGCACAAGGAGCAGGTGCTCTTTACTACATGGACCCCCCTGACCGAGTTCCTCATAACATCGTCTGCTGATGGCGTGGTTAAATTCTGGAAGAAGATTGGACAGGGCATCGAGTTTGTCAAGCAATTCAAGGCGCACAATGGCACCATCACGTCCGTCTCGGTGAGTCGTGACGGACGAAGCTTTGCGACAGCTGGCGACGACGAAACCATCAAGATTTTTGACGTCTTCACCTTTGACTTGCTTTCCATGATCAACTTGAAGTATGTGCCCAAGTGCGTCTGCTGGGTTCACAAAAAGGGGGCGTCATATCCTCTGTTGGCCGTGTCGGAGGAGACCAAGCCATTGATACACATTTACGATGGTCGAGGCGAACAGGAAGATGCGATCCACACGATAAAGGGTCTGCACAGGAGCCCAGTTCATCTAATGGCATTTAATGACGAATACGATTGCGTTGTTTCGGCAGATGAGAACGGCATGGTCGAATATTGGCAGCCTAGCGGAAACTACGAAAAGCCAAGCAATGTCTTCGAATACAAAAGTTCGACGAACCTGTTTGACTTCAAGAAGGCTAAATCTGTGCCGACCTGTCTTACGATATCCCCTAACGGGAAGAACCTAGCTGCATTTTCATTGCCAGATCGGAAAATACGCATCTTTGACTTTGCGACAGCCAAACTGCATAAAACCTACGACGAATCACTGCAAGTGGCTGAGGATATGCAACGAGCGGGCACAGCGGCACAGAAACTGGATAATGTGGAGTTTGGTAGACGATTGGCTCAGGAGCGAGAGATTGAGTCCCAGACTTTGAGAAATAGATCAAACATCATCTTTGACGAGTCGGGAAACTTCATCCTTTACGGTTCAATGGTGGGGATCAAAGTCCTCAACACTTATACGAATCAGGTCGTCAAGGTCTACGGCAAAGATGAAAACTTTCGCGCCGTGAATCTGGGCATGTACCAGGGGCAGCCTCAGAAGAAGGGTATCGTGTCAGTCGAGATGGGCGCTTCGAGCAACCCTCTTTTGCAGGAATCAGAAGCTCGCGATCCGATTCTGGTCGCCACAGGCGTGGGCAAAGTCCGATTCTACATGTTTACGAATGAGGAGGAGATCTCCAAATCCACGCGAGACGTACAAAACGAGAAGCCTACCGTGCTGGGTGGTAAGGATAAAGCGCAAGCTGCCAAGAAGGCCGAGACTGGCAATGCCGCGATTATACACACTACATACGGTGATGTTCATATCCGCCTCTTCCCTGACGCCGCGCCCAAGGCGGTAGAGAATTTTGTCACACACGCAAAGCGAGGCTACTACAACAACACGATATTCCATCGTGTGATTCGAAAGTTCATGATCCAAGGTGGTGACCCCCTCGGCGATGGCACTGGCGGCGAGAGTATCTGGGGGCGTGACTTTGAGGATGAGTTTAGCAGCTTGAAGCACGACAAGCCTTACACAGTGAGCATGGCGAACGCAGGCCCTAATACGAATGCTAGCCAGTTTTTCATTACCACGGAGAAGACGGTGAGTTTTAATCAAAAAGCGCCATTTCCTGAGAAAGAGATAAGAATGCTGACTGTTCGTTGTGTTATATAGCCCTGGTTGGATGGGAAGCACACCATTTTCGGACGTGCAACGCAGGGTTTGGATGTGATTCACAAGATTGAGAATACCAGGACGCACAAGGAGAAGCCGGAGGAGGATATCAAGATTCTCAACATTGATGTCATGTAAACTTGCCTAGCGTTGGAGCAAGCGGCGATTCTAATCCTTTTGTCTCTCTCTTTTTTTTCTGTTGCCATAGCATGGCGATATCACACAGTGGTTGTATAGTGGTGGGAAGAGATTCATCTACCACAAGAGGCTCGATAAAGCAGAGGGTCTAGACAATTTTGCATAGTCTGATGACATGGCATCTATAATTTATGAGTGTTTTGGATAATATTATGGTGGTGTGTAAGATGAGACTGCGCGCAGAATGCTGTAAGGCTACCACCCCTGTCTTGTCGTCCATCACAAGCCAATCACACGGTTCCAATTCTACACGGTTCCATTTCTACGCGGTTCCACACGTCGGTCACCGACGTCGGACCGTGGATCTGGAGTGAGTAGTGTAAGCGACAGCCGCTGCCGGGGATGGCAACCATTTCAATTGCATGTCGGCGAGTGGGATGGATGCCAGTTGCGGCGTGGGAGCCGTCTTAGTGCCAGCATTGCAAGGGCATGGATGCAGTGCTATTTTCGGCGCTTTAAGAACTGAAACTCAATTTCTGGAAGCTGTCAATATTCATTCATTTACATTCACGTCTATACCCCAACGAGACGAAGCAAAAAGAGGCAGAGAGTAGAAGCTTCTGAAAGTATTCTTGCAACGGTTCTTATTCAAGCCACCAAGTCCGTCAGCCTTTTCTTGACGTCACCCTACCCTCCAAAATACAACATTTTTTTTTCCTTCTCCAATTCGGAGTTTCCGATCCGAATATCTTCTCCATCCTCTTCTTCGTCTCTTCTCCTCTCTCTTCAGCTTTTAGCTAGGAGCCGTTCATCATGTCTACTGTATGTATGCTCTTTTTTCCAATTGACGCTGTCCGTCGGCAGCTTTTCATCGGCAACTTTTGAGCTTTATGTGTGGAGTGACTCACCAGAGGGCCCCTCTAGTTCTACATCGAGAACAAAAATGTCGGCAACCAGGCCGACTCAGAAGATTGGCGCAGTTAGTCTATCCTCTGAAACCATGTGAGGGAGAATGCTGTATTTACTAAAACTATTCGTCCTCAGTTCGTGGCTACAACCCTTTAACCGCTCCCGATCTGCTACAGCACGAGATTCCGCAGACGGTCGAGTCCAAAAAGACAGTCCTTGATGGCCGCAATGAGGCCGTAGCGATTGTCAATGGCAAAGACCCGAAGCACCGACTGCTCATTGTCGTGGGCCCTTGCTCGATCCATGATCCTGCGGCTGCCCTCGCTTACTGCGATCTGCTCCTCCAGGCCAAGGAGAAGCACAAGGATGAGCTGCTCATCGTGATGCGCTCGTACCTCGAGAAGCCTCGCACAACAGTCGGCTGGAAGGGTCTGATCAACGACCCGGATATCGACGGTAGCTTCAAGATTAACAAGGGATTGAGGTTGTCACGCCAGCTCTTCGTCGATCTGACGAGCAAGGGCATGCCTATTGCCAGCGAGATGCTGGATACAATCTCTCCCCAGTTCTTGGCTGATCTTCTCAGTGTTGGTGCCATTGGTGCGCGCACAACAGAGAGCCAGCTGCACCGTGAGCTGGCAAGTGGTCTGAGTTTCCCCGTTGGTTTCAAGAACGGCACCGATGGCTCGCTGGGTGTCGCTATTGACGCCATAGGCGCCGTCAAGCACCCTCACCACTTCCTCTCTGTCACTAAGCCCGGTGTCGTCGCCATTGTTGGCACCACCGGTAATGATGACTGCTTCGTCATCCTGCGTGGTGGTACCAAGGGTACTAACTACGATGCTGAGAGCATCGCCGAGGCCAAGGCTGCTCTGGACAAGAAGGGAGCCCCTCCCAGGTTGATGGTCGACTGCAGCCACGGCAACTCACTAAAGAACCACAAGAACCAGCCCAAGGTTGCCAACGTCGTCGCCGAGCAGGTTGCCAAGGGCGAGACTGCCATCATGGGTCTCATGATTGAGAGCAACATTGGCGAGGGTGAGTACCTCCGCGCGAATCCACTTCTCATTCTCGAAGCTTCTGCTAACTTGGATTTAATAGGTAACCAAAAGGTGCCAGAGGAGGGCAAGTCTGGTCTCCAGTATGGCGTCAGTATCACAGATGCCTGCATTCACTGGGCAGATACTGAAGTGGTGCTCGACACTTTGGCCGATGCCGTGAAGCAGAGACGGAAGGTTTTGGGAGTCAGCATCTAAGTATGGCAGACTTTTTTGCAATCTCCATACCTCTTGTCCCTTCATGGACATGCAACAGTTTATCAGGCCAGTTGATTGCTTGCCGCAGCGCGTGTGAGGGTTTGCTGGGTTTCTGCGGGTTAGATGCACTAAATTCTTTTTCCTTTTTTTATATATGTGGCTTGAGGGAGAGCCAGGCATGGGTTGCGTTGAATACGTCCCTTGGTGTATATACGCATAACAAAAGTTTCAGGGTGTCTCTTTTTAGAACACCAGAGTCAATTCAAATGCTAGCAGATGGAGGATTTGCCGAAAATATGTATATGAGAGAAATGGATCAAAATTGAATAAGGCGAGTGAAAAGTCCCTCGTGAATGCGAAAGTGGTGCAGAGAAATATTGAGAGACGCACCAGCATGCTGCCATTTTAGTATATGAAGCCATCACCATCGTGTTGCCGTTTGGGGCTCACACTGTGCGACGCAGCATGGCCCCCCTAACTTGATCCAGCCAAGAATCAGCAAGACTACTTCTGTACAGTGTACAGTGCAAACAGAGCACAGCTGGGCCAATTTTCCGACGACGCAGGAACAGAGCCGGAGACTTTCTCTTTATTCCAAACGCATCAATTGAGCCTCGCCATCGCAAAAGCATCGCGCGCTCTCCAATTTACTTTTCTCCGCCCTGGAGGCTACTAGCTTCGCCTTCTTCTCCTCCCTAATCTTTTTTTAAGCTTTTGATAAAGAGTTCCTGCTCTTTTCTACGCGACTTGCGTCTTACTCCCACCACAGCAACACGCGCCAAACCACCATGGCGCCCAACTACTCGCCCCCAGACTCGCCGTTATCGTCAGCAATGGATTCCTCAGAGCCGTACGAAGAAGATCTCCACGACGAAGAAACGACGCTGCGGCCGTCCAAGCGACAAAAGGTCGAGGCTGGCTCGACGACATCGTCCGCTGTGATCCCCGATGCCGAGCACGAGCCCGTGCCAGAACCCGATCCTCTCGAGGGCATGTCGGACGTTTCGTCGGACACGTCAGGCGACATCCCGAGCTCTCCCGTGAACGCCAGGCTGGAGGAGGAAGACTTCCAGGACCAGGTGACGGTTTGCGACTGGGACGGCTGTCCTGCGGGAGACCAGGGCAACATGGACAAGCTGGTTGAGCACATTCACAATTCGCACATTGAGAACCGTCAGAAGAAGTACACGTGCGAATGGCGAAGTTGCAACCGAAAGGGCTTGCCTCATGCCAGCGGCTATGCCTTGAAGGCTCACATGCGAAGCCACACCAGAGAGAAGCCCTTTTACTGCTATCTGCCTGGTATGTGTGTCTTTTGGCGAGCGACATCCTTTCTCTTTGTTTCCCTTTTCCCTCAACCTACATATTCGGCGTATGGTTTGATCCGCTATACTAACAGGTTCCCCAACAGAATGCGACCGCTCCTTTACGAGGTCCGATGCTCTAGCTAAACACATGCGTACCGTCCACGAAACTGAAGCTCTCCGGCCATCTGACCCAGTCCCCAAATCTATGCAATCAGGACCAACAGGCCGGACCGGAAAGCTCAAAATCATCATCAAGACCCCCCAATCGCAATCCGCCGGACAAGACGACGGTGACGACGCTAACGGCGACGTCCCTCCGTCAGAGTGCTTCACAGCGCTCACTTCGGAACTCTTCACCGAAGAAGAGCTCGAGCTCCCCCTCGCCAAACTGTGGCGAAAGTGCCACTGGGAGGCGACATGGGCCGAGGAGGTTGGCGAGGCGCTCAAGAATGAGTGTAAGCAGTGGGAGGACCTCTACTACAAGGAGTGGCTCGAGAAGGAGGTTTTGCTGTCGCAGGTCATCCAGAGCGAAGTGGACTGGCATGAGCGGCGTCAGGCTATCATCTCTGGCGCTGCTGATGTGCAGCTCCCCAGCAGTACGGAGGAAAGAGAGGAAGACGCTGGCAATGACAATGGCGTTCGCAACGAAGCCATCTCCGCGACTGCTGAGAAGGCATAGGAAGGTGCGGGAAAGAGCCTTGCAGCAGAGAGTTTTACGGCGGCAGTATGTGCTTTGCTTAAGTTTTAAATATAGAATGAAGGAATCTTGGTGAATAGGTGGCATCTAACGGGGCTGGAAGGGATCGAAGCAAAAAGATGGGCGTGCATGTAGAATGCAACGGGAGTTTTGGGAGTTTATCAGAGGACACGCAAAGCGGGCTGAGAAGCAACCGTGGTCATGGTCTTCACATCTCTTTTTTTTTTTTTCTTTTTTTTTTTCCTTTTCAACTATCATGTTTTGTTTCTTTTCTCGTTGCTTTTGTGTTACACCTCTTGTTCTCTAGATCAGCATGGAAGTCCAACTTTTCAATGCAGGAACGCAGAAGGGGTGTGCTCTCGGATTCTTCTTGGTTCGTACGGTGTAAGATAGTACAATGAAATATACCTACTTATGGATGATTTACCCCAGCTTAAAGCTTCGTACCTAGATTGCTACTAGGTAGGTACTGTTAAACCTGATGACATCTACGCTTGTTCGAGAGCCATTGCTATCCATGTATTGCATCCTTAATCTTCTCGCCTCTACTCCAAAACATGTATCTCTACAGCGAAAGAAACAACTTGCCGAATTAAAACAATAAATACGCATCATTTACAAGCTTCAACCCCCCAATTACCAGCTTCTTAATAATCCTCATCGGAAAAAAGCAACCCAAGGCGGGACCATTCCCATTTCCCCCCCAAAATCCAACCCGCCGATTTCGCATCCCCACTAAATCTTTCAAGTCCGGCTGCATTCATACTCGTATCTCTCGCTCTTTAGTACAAAACGGATTTGAAATCCTCGCCTTTTTATTTGCGCGCGCCGAGACTTTTTTTAAATGCTCAGCTCTGCTTTATGCTTGAGATAGAAAAAGGAACCCTTTAGAAAGGAGATATCCTAGCTTTCTTCTTCATCTGGAGTTTCATTCTCACAATTATTGTAGCTGCTGCTGCTTGCTTTTTTGCCCGTTGTACTTCGACACGTGCTTATCAAGAACCCAAAGTGCGCCACGGAAATCGCAAAACTCGCCACTTTCAACAAAACAACCGACTAGTGCTACATACAATATCCCCAGAGGAACACAGAACACAGAAACTCTCACCAAGGCAACAACAAATAATCTACTGTTATCCAATCTATCTCGAGATACAAAAGCGACGGCATTGCCGTAAACCCGCACCATGAGTGCTATCCTCTCCGCCGACGATCTCAACGACTTCATCTCCCCCGGAGTCGCCTGCATTAAGCCTATCGAGACCCTCCCGGCCGCACCTCAGCAGTCTGCCAACGAAAACGAAGTCATTCTTGATGGCCAGCAGCCCTCTGCGTCCGCCGCCACACCCGCTCAGATCTCTCTCACAGACTGCCTCGCCTGCTCCGGCTGCGTCACATCCGCAGAGGCCATCCTCGTCAGCCTGCAGAGCCACACCGAAGTCATTTCAACACTCGATGCGGCCCCGGCGCTGCGCGTAGTAGGACCCGATGCGAGTGGGAATTTCACCGTCGAGGGCCTGGAGAATGAAGACGCAAAGCTGTTCGTTGCCAGCGTAAGCTCCCAGACGAGAGCAAATTTGGCCGCCGCGTGCGGGCGAGACGTATCCGAGAGCCAGGCCGGGTATATGCTGGAGAACCTGCTACGGGGTCCAGACGGGCTTGCAAAAGGAGGAAAATGGAATACTTCGTTCGAGTGGGTGGTGGATATCAATGTGGCACGAGATGCGACTCTTGCGCTCAGTGCGGCCGAGGTCCTATCTTCTCCCACCCCAGGCGTCTCAAGGCCGTCACAGCCAATCCTTGCTTCGTCATGTCCCGGCTGGGTATGCTATGCAGAAAAGACTCATCCATATGTTTTACCACATTTATCCAAAGTCAAGTCACCACAGGCCCTCATGGGCACCATCCTGAAAACCTCGTTGAGTCGAAAGCTGGGCATCCCACCCAGCAGGATATGGCATGTGGCCATCATGCCTTGCTTCGATAAGAAGCTCGAGGCTAGTCGGGAGGAGCTAACTGACGAAGTATGGGCGCGCTCTGGTTTGCCTGGAAAGGGAATTCGAGACGTCGACTGCGTCATCACGAGCAAAGAGGTTCTGATGCTAGCAGAGTCGAGGGGACTCGACTTCTTTACCTTTTCCAAGTCTGCATCATCTCTCCCACCGTCAATACCCTTCCCGGATGAAAAAATCCAGGCATTCTTGTTTCCCAGCAAGGGCTCAAGAAACCCTTCGCGCGTAGCTGGTTCGTCCGGCGGGCTGTTACACCACATTCTCCAAACCAGAGCTGCTCAAACGCCAGGGTCAGAGATTCAAATCGTCCGAGGCCGTAACGTTGATGTAATCGAATACTTTGTCACGGTAAACGGCGAGCCTATTTTCAAGGCCGCTCGGTACTATGGCTTCAGAAATATCCAAAACCTCGTCAGGCGTCTGAAGCCGGCCCGTCCGTCCCGCATGCCGGGCGGAAAGCCCTTTGGGAGTGCTCGCCGCCCGGCAGGGAAGGCTGCCTCTCTTGATTATGGCTATGTTGAAGTCATGGCATGCCCCGGAGGCTGCACTAATGGTGGCGGTCAGATCAAAGTCGACGATGCCGTGATCCTTGAGCGTAAAAACATCTCAGGCAAGCCAGGTCCGCAAGAGCAAAAGGATTGGTTGGCAGAAATCGATGAGGCATATTTCTCGGGCGAAGATTCGCTGGTCGAACAAAACGGTTGCAGCCCCGAGAAGGTTGTTGGAGGCATCTCCCACTCGTACATAGATGATACCCTGGCGTACTGGTCCGGCATGACAGGTATAGGGTTAGATAGACTGGCTTTCACGAGCTATCGTGAGGTTATTAGTGATGTTGGAAAGGATACAGCCACCGAGAGAGCCGCCCAGTTGGCTGGAAAAGCCGGCGGTGGGTGGTAGGTAGCTTTATATAGAAATAATGAAGCAATGATTCAAGTATCTCTGCTGCCACGCCGTGCAAAGCCAAAGCCGCCTCTACCACTTCCATCCGGTCCCCTAGGTGCTCGGATTGCTTGATGCTCGTCTCGGCCCGTCTGTCCTCGCATGGGAGAATCGCTGCCGCTACCTTCACGGCCTCCTCGTCGGATCGAATCCGGCTTCGGGGAAGAGCTGGGGTCGAATAGCTCCCTCCTGGGACCGGGTTGGTTGGCAGGGCGCCGAGGCTCAAACTGCTGTCCACTACTATCGCTGTTGATAACGTTGCTGTTATTGTTGTTGTTGCTATTGCTGCCGCCGCCATTGCTGCCGTAGTTGTAGCTGCCGCTGTAGTTCCCGCCGCGTCCCCTGCCACGACCACGGTACGACCCTCGCCCTTCGGTCCTAGGAGGTGTGACGGTGCCTGTGCCCGGCGACGATCCGCGCGATGAAGAGGCGGACTCGCCAAAGATCTTGGCTCGGGCTTCGTCATAGCGCCGCTGCTTCTCCTCGCGGTCGCGCTTCTGCTTTGCGCGGATTTCCTCGGGCGTCATCTGCACCTGCTGTGGCCGAGCGTCGTCGTCGTCGAGGGACATCTGAGCCAGGCCCGTGACGGGGTCCTTCTTGGCGATGACGGGCTTCCGGCTGAGGACCTTGACCTGGGGCTTGAAGGAAGTGGTGAGAGGGACGCCGCCGCCGCTGGCTTCAATATAGTGGAACGTCTCTGTAGAATCGCTGTTTCGCACAACAAGCAAAGCAAAATCGAAGTCAGCAAAAGATTACGGCATCTCGTCGGGGGGAAGTGGTGAAGCATTTCCATACGCTGATTCCCATAGTTTGCGGTTCGCCTCGGCGTGCTGCTGCATCCGCTCTTGTCTGGTCAAGTTGGGCTGCGCAACGGCCTGCGGCTCCTTGGTGTCCTTGCGGTCGATCCGGTCAGCCAGAGCTTCCCAGTCGTCGTCGTCCCAGACATTGGGAACACCGCCCGCTCTGCTCATTTTTGTAGAATAAACAAACGAAGAAACGATTGGATGTCTGAAGCTGATAGGAGTGGAAGCGTTGAAGATCGGCTTCGAGGCTGAGGAGCCAATATAATATCCTATGCTGGCCGTCTCTCCGTCCAAGCAAGGCTCGCGCTGCACAGCAAATTTCCGGTCCTTCACAGGCTCTCTATCGTTTGCTTTTGCTTCTAGGCAGCCTTGACGCCCTTTTCCAGCTGCGTGAATCTGTGCATCAGAGCCCGTGGCTGCATGGAACCGCTCGTCGGGATTTCGAGAGGAAGCAGGTAGTTGCCTTGCCAAAGTTGGGATTTGTTGTGTGCTTGTAATTTTGACGCGCGGTACCGGCAAGTACCGAGGCTGTGGCCCTGCGCGAAGGCAAATTCTGCGGCATCGGTGCTCCGTCCAAAGTATCTCCAGGTATCTATTTTCGGACTTTTCCTCAGCGTTGGGTCCTTTTCCGGCTGCGGGGAGCCATTTTTGGTGGGGCGAGGCTTCTTGTGGTGCTGTGCAGTTGATTAACCAGCGGCAGGTTCGTCCAGGTGGCATGAAGCTTAATCAAGCACCTGTTGCCCACGTTCAGGCGACGATACAGAAGTTTTGAAGCTTCCATCTCCTACATACAAGGTATGAACACAGATCTTCTACACAAACCCAAATCATGGTCAAACCTTTTAATGCGGCCGCGCTGCAGGCTGAACTCGACGCCATGGCCGAGGCCTCGAGTCCCGCGGCACCCACAGCCTCAAACGCTTCCAAGAGGCTCAGGGAAGACAGCGAGGCTATCAAGAGCCGACTTTTGGATCAGCACTTCCACATCAGTAAGCTGTCTTGTCTCCAGAATTCACGTGCCTCTACGATCCTCTGCGTGTTACTGACCGAGGGAATCCGTTGCGTCAAGCCCGCTATGCAGATCCGTTGGTTCCACGAAAGACGTTAGACTCCCAATTCTGGCCAAGGGATGTGACGCCAGAGATGGAGCAAAAGTGGCTGGCCATGATTAAGGAGCACCGTTCTGCCTAGACTGCGGGATATTAGACATGAAACATGGGAGGCATGAGTGGGAATTGACGAGGCTTTCATTTCACGATCTTGACGATGTAACGAAAATACACAATGAGCTGTGCTATACCTAATCATACAGTTTTTCTTTTGCAGCTAAGACTAGTGATGTCAGGGACGTTATCTAAAATCTGTGTGCTTTATTCTCATTTCGCTCGTAAGAGTTCAAAAGGGTTGCTCTCGAGAACAATAGAGCAACCTCAAATGTAGGTACTAGGTAGTGAAGCGTTCCTGTCACTGGCTTGGAATTGTACATTGCATCGGGCAACGTCCGGTTCATTCTAGAAACTACCGTCCAGCTCTTTCAAGAAATCAACGCCCAAGCAAGCTTTCGGCATGCCCGCGCCAGGCAATTGTTATGTCTATTGTGCCCCCAGCCAAGTGTCACTCCCACACTCTCTGAGATGAAAGGAGGGCTCAACGGTTTATCCCAAGGATTGTCACACTGTCACGCTAAATCCGACATCAAGTAACATCGTGCAGTGTTATCGTCAAGGGCAATGGAGAGCCGCTCATCTATAGCCTACGATGGCTTCCTACAGGATGATATCGGTGACAGATATGCCGCCGATGGGTTGCCACCTCTCAAAGCAGGCCCGCGGCGCCATGAACTGGTCGTATCCTCGATTCTGTTTCTGGCGAGAGCAGGCTGAGGAGCACCTAGAAGGGCACTAGAAAATTCTGCAATATCCAAGGGCTAAAAGGAAGCCGGCGATAACACTATTCCACGTGTAGGAATACACACGCGTTGGAGTCGAAGAATCAAACTCAAGTGCCACTCTCCAGCCACAGCGAGTTTCGGCTGCTGGTGAGGCAGCGATGCAGAGGCACAGTGCGAAGTCGGCCAGCTAACAGGCAGCACCGCTAGTTACAGCGACGGAGCACGAATACGGCCGTCTCGATATCAGCTCTAAGAATGCATCATGTATGGACAGGACGTGATCCCACGTCAGCTGATTTGCAGCCAGACGAGGCTGAGCCCGCAGCCTCTTCCAGTCCCCTTGCCGAACAGCTATCCCTGCCTGTCCCCCTCATTATTGGAGTGCATCGTGCATGCGGGATGGCGTGGCAAATGCACGTCTTTTCCCTCTGCTCCTCAGGTAGATTGGGTCTGGCGCTGTCCAGACCAACCTAGACACTTGGCGGTTGGCCGTGTTGGTCGTTGGTAACTTCTGCCTAGCGAATCGCAAGTGTAGAGAGGCGATGGAGTTATTATCAATCACAATTCCAAACATCGCGACGCCTGCGGTGGCGAGACTGAATCGTGGCTGAGTCGTTGCCTTGCACTGTGCAGACGCCATCATGTCAAGAGGTTTTGCGGTTTGGCCTCAACTGCAGGGCACATGTACCTCGTGTTGCGAGACATCTGTCATTCATCGGTTCTAAGATATCGCAGCACACCCTTTCGCGGCTTCCTGGCAGGCATTTTCCGTGAGTGGTCGATCGGCTCTATTGGCTCCGTGTTGGGGGGGTGGCGGGACAAGTGCAGCCGGACTGTGTGAAACCTCAAAACCCCAAAACTCTCAAGGCCGAAAGGAAATGTGATACTTGTGAGCCACTGGCTCATCTTACGAAGGAACAAGTGGCTAGTGACAATAGTTGACAACAGCGCTGCGAGGCTCCCTTGCTTTGATGGGCTAGGGAATGGAAGCGAGGCTTCAATGCTACCATGTCTGGTCAGTGGCGCCTGATACTATCGCCTACTAAGGAAGCCTGCATGCCCAAGGCTGCTTTGTGCGATGGAGAAGCTCTCCGCTGTTTGTCCAGCTTATAGCGGGTACTGAGTGGCTTGGGAGTTGTTCTCACTGGACCTGGATCGTGGACACCATTACCAGATTGCCGGGACTTATGTTGCAGCTCCTCAGCATGGCATCCGTCTCCTTTGACTCACACCGCCACCAAGAACACACGGAACACACGTATTTGCATGTACTAATGTACAAGTCCAGCACCACTCGTGTCATAGGTAGGCGAGTTGAGCACTGATTAACGGTGTGCCTGGATTGGTGAGAGAGAGACGGTCAATGTCTGTAGCCCCGCCTCACAGTATGTGTACGAGTATTTCGATGCCCTCGTTGTATGAAATAGTACGCAGGGCATCTCCACTCGGCGAAGAAAAGGCCCCCGACTCCAATATGTGATGTTGCAGTTGAGCGGCAAATCAATCACCAGAGGCCCAGCCTGTGGCGTTGCAGTGGTGACAGAAGCTACTCCTCCTGTCTCGGGACACGCGGTAATACACCTCCAAAACTTTGACGGGCGGCGATGCTTGATTCGTTGTCCCGGCCAAGATCTCGGAAGCAGGCCCCTGTCGAGTTTATTAGCCACCGCCTTGCCGAGTCCATTCGCTTCCACGGCGTCCACGTCTGTTTTGGCTACCAGCGTCTTCACCTTTGTAACGCAGCACGACATGTATAGTACGAGTACTTGTTTGTTAGTGCTAGGGTGGAGGAATTAAGACATTGAACAGCACAGAGGCAAGGGGGCGAGCTGAGGTGGTACTTTTGGTCCTCAATATTGAGCCCAAGTACCTGTACCTGTGCCTGTACTCGGCTCTAACACGGGTCTTGCCAGCAGAATCCTGGATGCGAATACGGAGGCTGTTTGAGGCTAGCACGAGAGAATGCGTCGATATTGCTAGTCTCAGTTGTCGAGTTGATTTGCGCGTTTCACTGGACCTCGTCATCATCGCGGGCTGGGCTGATCAAGAGGGCTGGTTGGCTGGCAAGCCGCTGAGGTACAGATACAACGCCAAGCTGCGGGCTGGGCCAGATGCAAGGAGCGCGCCCGAGATGCCGCCATCGCCAGCTCGCCATACTTGTACTTTCATTCAACTAGCAGCCGGCCACATGGGAACTCCGCAGGGTGGATGACGGCCTGGCTGGCGGTGGCTGAGAGTTGCAAATGTTGGGAGGGGGTTTCGGCCTGCAGGCTGAGGGCCATGGAAATGCCGTTGCCGCACTGCGCTAGGGGAGCTGGCAAAGGCTACAGCGCGCTCCACCCCTACAGCAGCCGCCGCAAGCCCTCCGCTAGCACCGGCCCACACACTGTACGGGGCCCTGCGACAGCTCCAGCAGCGCCTACTAACGCCTGCGGCAGCTTCTTTACCTGGGCTCACTTTTGCCCCAAGAATCCGTCCATTAACAAACAACTTTTTCCTGCTCCCTTATACGCTGCTTCCATCATCATCCTCATCACCCAATCTTGTTATTGTTTTCCTCCTGCGCCATCACCGCTCCTGGTGTCGACTCCTTTCCCCGCGACCGACCCTTGGCGAGCGCGACGCCATCCGACTGCAAACGGCGCCTGAACCCCTTCCCCCGCCCATCCCTCTTATCCATTCCGCTCCGTAGCCTTGAGTATATACGATACCGATTGTCCCCCGCGTCCTCACCATGTCTGGCCCTGAAAGCGCCCATGCCGGAGGCGGCTTCGACCTTCTGAGGAGGGCAACTCAAGCAATGATGTCAAAGTACGTTTGTCTTGTCTTTGTGTCTCTCATGGCCTTTCAGCCCTTTATCCCGCGCTGTGGAAGTCTCCCTGTCGTTCCGCATGGCGGCTTGGCCCCGCCATCATAGCTTTCCCACGATAGCCTTGCGAGCTGCCAAGTAGTAGCTCTTCATGGGCCGTCTTTGAGTGGGACAAAACCACATTCATATTACTTATCTGCCCGTTTCACTTGTCTCTTTTGGCTTCTTCCCGTCGAACTAGAAGGAGGAAATCATCTATGACTGCGATCAACTGCCGGTGGAGATCTGGCGCTCAAGTGGCGCTGAGAGTTTGGCACAATGCACACAATGCACCCAATACGCGGCTTCGAAACAATCTCAACAATGTCTCGCTGCTCGACATGCGTGAGTCAACGGCTGCTGGTTACCTGATGCTTCTGGCATCTTCCAGTTTATGCTCCGCCCTGCAACCTCTTTGCGACTCTATGGAAGCCAAGAGACGGCATTTCACGCAACGCTTATCAAGCGTGGCTACCTGTGGTGGGGTGTCTGCGACAGCTTACTACCACTATTATCAACCACTCTTCCTTACGGGCAACCCGAAAGGGTTTGCACATGTCAATCGAAGGAAGGAAAAAAAAAAAAACTTCTCTTACACTGGAACCAAGCTTGTCCTGGGAATCACGGCTATTTTGCGGAACCATGCTGTCATACCCTGGCTCATCAACAACTCAATCCTATCAAGCCCCAGCCAGGATATGGCTAGGAAAGCTACCCGTCTTTGGGCGCCTCACTTGGTCAAGTCAACTTACTGACTCATGCTCGACCCCTCCGATTTACATTCAATGCCGGAGTCTTATTCTACGAATCTGTTTCATTTCTACGGCAGATTGGTGGAAATGAAGACACCTTTCTCAAACTATCCGGACTATTGGCCGCTTGGCGCCTCAAACGCATCTTGAAATTTTTTTTTCCCTTGCCGTCTCTGCACAACCCCGCCACGGCATGCATGCTTTTAGGCCTTCTATTTCCAGCTTTGACCAAGTTTTTGATATCCCCACTCGTCTAAATGGCCGTACCGGAGCAAATTTCATCTCGTCATTCCCCTTTCTTCGCGCTTGTTGCGCCCGGTGTTTGTACAGCCGGATCCGCTCTCGGAACTCCCATCTCTGACTATCCAGCCCTTGAACTGTCCGGGTTGCCTGGCCGGCCGCCTCCGTGTTTTCCTCGTCCGTTATAATCAATCTTTCCCCCTAACGAGTTAGTGCACATCACGACTTCAATTCCCATCCACCCTTTCCTTGGCGCCTTGGGCCGCCGCCGTGAACTAGTGTTCCCACTTCAATCACCATTTCCCCGCGCCATTGTTGATTTTTTGCCTAACCAAATCTTTATTTTTTTTTTCCTCATTGCTTTTTTTCTTTCCTTCTTTCAGTTGACCATGCAGGGTACTGACAAATCTGCAAGAACCGCCGCGGACGAGGATGGTGCGGATCACATCGGCTTTGAAACCCCTCGATCCGGCATAGCCACTCCTCACCCCGACCCTCAAGATAAACGCCTGCCCGGAATCATGAGCTACTTTGCCCAGGTTCGTGAAGACCTTCCTGCAAACCAGGAGAGCTTTTCTACAATGTCAATACCAGAGAGAGGCGTGCCCTCGGACCCGAGGCAAGACCAGCAGTTGCTGGACTGCTTATTCACAAAACTACAGTCATCCGAGCATGCTGAAAGCTCTCAGCCTTGCAAACAGTCACTACCCACAGAAGCTCGCTGCTCCCGACAGTCCAACTCCTTGACTATTCGCACGCGCGCTAGCCAGGAACAACTGACGGGATCAACAAACTCTTGTCCACCCTCCGTCACTTCACACTCTTCTTCCTCGTCTACGAGGTCTGCAGCACCAGAAAATACCTTTTCAGACGAGGAGATTAGGAGCGCCAGTTCGTCAGGCGCTTCTAGTCGCTCAGAACCTGTAAAGTCTATGGGTTGTTTGCAAGACGATCAGCTTCTTTCCCAATTGTCAACCCTTCATTTATCAGATACCATTGTCGCACCAATTCCTCATTCTGGGTCACATACACAAGTTCACAGGTCTTCTTCTCCAACTTTACACTCGCAAAATGTGGCCGGGCTTGGCACAACTCAAGCTAAATGGTTTTCACTTCAAGGACTGAAAGAGCTAACTCGTGGTATCATGTTCAAGAGCGGCCCGCCCACCCCTACCAGAGCCCTCTCTACAGCCAACCCAGCCCCAGACGGCAGGGACACTCCCAACGGATCCAGCAATGATGGCGCCGAGACAAGTGGCACGCAGACCCCGAAGAACTCTGGCACCGCGGCTACGTCTGCCAAGGGCAGGTTGACTATCAAAATCGTAGAGGCGCGAGGGATACGCAAGAGCCGTGACCCGTATGTGGTGGCCGTGTTCCAGCGAAGTGAGCTCATCTCTGGTGGGCCTCATGCCATCGAAGAGGAAGAGCATGTCATAGGAACACCGTCTGGTCTCGGCGCAATCCCAATGAAGCGCCAAGTAAGCGATTCCGGCAGGCCTATGGCGATCCCCATGCGCAGCCGTCAGAGCAGCAACACCAGCATTAGCGACTACAACACATTCCGCAACCGAACTTCCCGGACCCTTTACTCAAGTCCTAAGTGGGACGCAGAAGCTGTCTTGTGAGTTTGACTTTTTTTCTTCTCTTCTTTCCAACGTTCGCCGTGGAGATGATCCTGACCGCTGTTGTAGCGATGTTGTCGATTCGGATATGCTGGTAGACATCTCAGTATATGACCACGCCGCAAATGGAGAAGAGTTTCTGGGCCATGTCAACCTTGAGGCCAAAAAGGACAAGGACAGCCCCGTCAAAGGCTGGTTTGCGCTGCAAGGACACGCCAATACAACTGTCGACAACATTCCGACAGGTGAAATCTTTGTCGAGGTCACTTACCAGAGGACGGAAAGGAAGCATTTCGGCCCCACTGACTTTGAGGTGCTCAAGCTCATCGGCAAGGGCACTTTTGGCCAAGTCTACCAAGTTCGAAAGAAGGATACCCAGCGAATCTATGCCATGAAAGTCTTGCAGAAGAAGGTGATTGTACAAAAGAAGGAAGTGGCACACACCGTCGGGGAGCGAAATATTCTCGTTCGCACAGCTACATCTGATTCACCGTTCATCGTCGGACTCAAATTCTCGTTCCAAACGCCATCGGAACTGTACTTGGTGACTGATTACATGTCCGGTGGAGAGTTGTTCTGGCATCTCCAGAAGGAAGGCCGATTCGACGAGAGGCGAGCCAAATTCTACATCGCCGAGCTTATCTTGGCAATCCAGCATCTCCACAACAACGACATTGTCTATCGAGATCTTAAGCCCGAAAACATTCTGCTAGACGCGAATGGTCACATTGCGCTCTGCGACTTCGGCCTATCTAAGGCAAACCTCACAAAGAACGACACCACCAACACCTTTTGTGGAACTACGGAATACCTCGCACCTGAGGTTCTTCTCGATGAATCGGGATACACGAAAATGGTCGACTTCTGGTCGCTTGGCGTTTTGGTGTTTGAGATGTGCTGCGGATGGAGCCCCTTTTACGCCGAGGACACTCAGCAGATGTACAAGAACATTGCTTTTGGCAAGGTTCGGTTCCCGCGCGACACACTTTCTCAAGAGGGCCGCAACTTTGTCAAGGGGTTGCTTAATAGAAATCCCAAACACAGACTAGGAGCAACGGACGATGCTGAAGAGCTTAAACGCCATCCCTTCTTCAACGACATTGACTGGAACCTCTTGGCCAAGAAGCTCATCTCGCCACCCTTTAAGCCAAAGTTGAAGTCGGCAACCGATGTGTCGTATTTCGATCCAGAATTCACGACCGCCTTGGACCAGAACGGCTCTCTCAATGAGCGGGCCGCTGCACTGGCGAGAGGATACGCTGCCTCTACACCACTCTCACCCTCGGTGCAGGCCAACTTCCATGGATTCACCTACGTTGATGAAAGCGCACTAGATGATCATATGCGCGATTTCTCGAGAAATGACGACGAAGATATGGATGACGCTCACCCCAATGGTGACGACGACTGGGATAACCTGGATGATATCGATCCCCGACAAGCCAACAGGATGAGTGGCATTGTCAGACCTGGACACGACGAACAAATGGTTGGAGGCGCGCATTTTGACCCGTAAATGGCATTTGGTTGGTTAAGGCACACGGAAGTGAAAGGGCTGCATGGCGTTTGTTTATTTTCCCCTGTTTAGTTTTCCTTCGTGTCATGACAATGCAGGTCAACTTTGTACCTGGAAAAAAAAATTGATATCCCGAAAACAACCACAACGATGTTGATACGAACGGTTAATCATGGCATGAACTGCATCATAGGGGTTGGTTGGGTTTTGCATTTTTGTGCGTTGTTCCATGGCTATCTGTGCAGGAAAGGATCCTGGAGTTCAGGTTGAGCCGAAGATGAAGATGTATGATGATGATCATGACGAATGGAATTGACTCAAAATGCCAGACTAGTCGCACACGGTGAACAAGTCTGATGCAGATTCCAGAACATAAGAAAGAAAAAAAAAATCCCGGCATCAAAGAGAAGAAAGAGAAGACTCACACAAGATGTAACAAAAAAGGGAACCTCGGACAGAAGAGAAGGGGGCATAACAAAAGCAAAATAAGCATATTCTTTTTCTTTTTTTTCTCTTTAGGCTAGTAGGATCATGCCGCCTTGCTTTCGTCATGTCTTGTTCGCGCGCGCTGTTTCGGTGAACTCTGTGTCTCGGCGCGTCTGTAGATTCATGATGAAGGGCAGGAGGATAATAACGAAAGAAGGGAACTTTTAGTAATCTTGGAAAGGGAGATATATACTTAATTAATACTATATGCCGGAATGATGAAGTCACGACGTACTGCAGTGTGAAGTCTTGTGTAGCTATCGTCGTCGTCCAGGATGAATCTTGATGCTACATATTACTAGTCAGTTGTGATGAGAAGCTTGTAGACAAATATGATTCAGAAGCAAGCTACGTCACTAATCTGGGAGACGCGTACACGTGCAAGTTTGCATATCTTGATTGATATTGGCATTCAGAACAATGTCCTACATTGAATCGAGGGCTGTTTGAGGAAAAATGTACAATGGGATATGTAAAAAGGTATCCCTTTTGACAAGACCGGCATCCTTGTTTCTGGCCGCAATCAGTCTGGCCTGAAAATTATGGATTGTCCGGTATGCCACTGCCCCCCCTCCCGGCTCTTTCTCTCGCGTCTCTTCATCCTCCACTCTTTTCGTATATCAAACTCCCGCTGAGCGTCAAAAGTGAGCTTCTGCACTAACTGACGGTTTATCCCCTTCTTTCTCTTTCTTCCCCTCCTCTATTGCACCCAGTTGACAGGATTTTCTCTCCTTGTTTTAATTCAAGAGCGCAGGTTTCGGCTCTTTAGTGGTGGGGCTCCTCCTCCTCCTCGGCCTCGAGCCAGTCAGGCAGCTGAGCAACACCGGTGGCAGACTGGGCGGAAGCATCCTGGCCCTCGATCTCAACGGCCATGGACTCGTAAGCCTTGAGGTTGTCGGCAAGGTTGGCCTCCTCGGGAGAGGCAGGGGTCTTGGGCATGGAGAAGACCTGGACCTGGCCCTCAGCATCGGACTCCTTGACGGCGGGGGTCTTGTAGGCCTTGAGCTCCTTGAGGTAGAGCTCCTGAACAAAGTCGGCTAAAAGGAGCAAGTATGTTAGTTACATGTCCGATTGAGTTTGCCTTGGCAATGTATATCAAGCTAGTTTAGCTAAGCTGGAGTAGAGATGTAGCGGGAAATAGCGCAACGCTTGTTGCTTGAGTTGCCATGCTATATCGGCGCAGAAGAAGTATCGGGTCGGTGATGTTGAATGGTTGTGGTGAATATGATTCCTTGTAACAAGGTGGCCAGATGAATAATATAGGTAGCAATCGGAGGTATCGGCTATAGCTTTTTGAGGGTATAAAAAGTGACAAGCAGAATGTTGAGCTTCCTCAAAATTCCCAACCAAAGGTAAAAGGTACAAAGAATAGGCCGTCTTCAAGCTGGCAAAGGACCGACAGCAGATGATGGATTGATGGGACACAAGGGAAAATATAAGGCGCATATCCATACCTCGTCGTGAGACGGTTGGGGCAATGAAGCCCCTCACCTGGACGGCATTTGCTCTGGCGGCGCGAGCAGCAACAGCGCGCTATATCGATGGAAACAAGAACGAGTTAGCAATCGGACTTGAGTGTGCAAGGCTTAAGGCTTATGCCGGGCCAGCGCATCGCGTGGCATGGCATAGCAACGCATGCGGGGAGGGGCGAATGACGATGGCGGCGACGTGGACAAAGCACAGCAGGGAGAGGGTTTTTCGCATCGGCTGGCGGATTGATTGGGGGCATCAGGGCAGAAACTCACAGAGGCCCGGGACAGTTGGCTGAGCATCTTGAAATGGCTTGGGCGTTGCTCAATTGGCGGAGAGCAAAAGGGCGGACCCGGACGAGGTTTTGGGGGGAGGGAATGGAGACAGGCTGAGGGTTTTGTGAAAATCGTGATGCCGAACCTTGGGAGACTTTGCCGGCTAAAGCCTGGCCAGCCCGTCACGCGGAGCGCCGGGCTTTTTTTCTTCCTCTTTTGGTTGCTTGTGCCTGGGCTCCGGCTACTTTTTTTTTTTTTTTTTCTTCCTTGGTGCCTCAGGTTTACCGATGGGCGAGCCGCTATTGTTGGTCGCTGGATCCCACTATTACGGAGCACCTTATCCCACTAACGCCCGCTGTTTTTATCGAGCTGTTCCAGTGCTCGAGGGCGCCAGAGAGGTGCTGGAATTTAGCGAGGAGCTTGCGGAGGTGGGAGAGCTGCACGTGACTCGGGAGAAGTCGCGCAACGAGCCGGAACGACGTCAGGCCACGCAGAAAGCTCGATCCACAGTGCAAGAGCATGTTATTCTGCTGTTCTCTCTCTGCAGTCATTCCATGTAATACCGACACACACACTTTGCGCGTCTTTAGTCGCTGCTCGTTTTCTTTAGCGGGTGGGTGAATCAATTGCTACTAGCACTCCGTACAGTAGGCGGCATCATGCAGGGGAGCCGCTTACATGTACGCACATCTCAATGGCCAGCAAGAGCTCCATCAAGCATCTTGATTACGCTCCCTTGGACAAAATGTGGGGCGTGATGTATTCATCAGATATTTAATGACAGTTTCAGATGAGATGGCGCTCCAAAGCAACGCAGTTCAGTCCAATTGAATAGGTATCCAATTATGGAGGTTAAACCCAGAGAAGGGCAATCCAGCATCCCATGTCTCCAGTTTGAAGCTGCTTAGGTAGTTAATAGCAGATACTAGGGGAATATATCGGTAGTAGCAGAAAGTAGCAATATTAGCGACAGTAGCAGATACTTAAGAAACCGTGTGTGTCTACTTAAGTAATGGTAATAGGAGAACTGGAGATCCTTCCTCTGCGCCTTATTATGACACTCGAACTCCTCGTAGCAGCTGAGATGCTGGATGGCCAGCTTGGGGTGCATAATAACCCTTTCCTAAATATAACCAAGGTAAGACGGTCAATCAAGCTGTAACAGCTGGTACCTAGTCTCCAAGTATATATGTAGATGGCCTTATGATTATTGCAGTACGAGGACTGGCTGCTTTCAAGAAATTAACTTCAAATATAGACTAATTATATCATAAAAGCGTAGGCTCCCCGTGCAAACATGATGGCTTACACATCTCTATATCCTCCATAAGAAACCATTCATTTCAGTATCCATTTCCTTCAAAAGCGACCGAATTACCCAACTTTCCTAAATCAAAAACATCATCTCAAAACGCCAACAGATATGCCGTATATATTCGCATGTCTGTGCTTGTGTACGCATATGTGGGTATACCAATGGCATCAAATGCCCATTTCAAAACGCTTTTCATCCCAAACAGTATCGTATAATCACGTCAATCTCCCCAGTTAACCTCTCTTACGACGAAGGTTGCGCCACCGACGAGTAGTCTTGCTTTGATTCCTTCTCGATTCTCGTCGATCGGGTCCATCCAATAGCAATAGAGCCCAGGTAAATCAGCGTGGTGACGCCGGCCACGACTGAGTAAGCAATAATGAAGCGCGTTGGAGCGTTGCCGAGCTGTAAACCGAGACCGCCGTTGACAATACCGACAATCATAAGCGAACGTCCGTACCAGCAGTGAAGGTAGCCAAAGATGCCACGCTTTTGCGTCTTGAGATAGTTGACGTGGTGGATAAAGCCAAAGATGGGCTGTAGGCTGATGAGAGCAACGAGAATGACTCCCAAGCGAGAGTGGGCCTGGTCAAAGAACTAAAAGGACGAGGAGTGTCAGCATGGAAAGTTGAATGAGATAAGTAATGAAATAAGAAAAGAGAGGACATACAATGTTCGAGTTTTTGGCGACAGTAACACCAAGTCCAAGTCCAGCCCACATGCCTAGGAAAGCAATGGTCTGCCAAGATGCGTGGATGTACCACTTTCCAATCAGAGGCATCAAGCTGGAGCCGAGCGGGTACATGATAACGAAGATGACCGACATGAGGACACCATGGGCACAGGCCAAAGTCTGGTCCGTCGAGCCGCTGGAGACACCAGAAATAGCACCGCTGCCGCCATCGTCGTCGCCAGAGCTGCTAGAGCCTCCAGAGCTGCCGCCAGAGCTGCCGCCACTGCTACCCCCATTGCTGCTGCTGTCGCTGGACCCGTCAAAGGGGTTTGAGTCGGAGCTGATACTAGCTTGACCCATGTTGACCTGAAACTGTGCCATGCTATCGTGCTGAGTGATAATAGCCGCCGGGTTCGTAGAATCCAAAGCATCTCCCGACTTCCATGCAGAAATCCAGTTCGATTGTCCAGTGAGGTCAAGATTGGTACAGTTGCCGCACTTCACATTGGCGATCATGTTGCCGCCAACCACACCAGAGCCAGCCAAGAGCTCAACGTCGCTTCTCGCCTTGTAAGTGGGCATGACGTGGTTAGCGCCCGGCCGCGTGCTGAGTGTCACGTTTCCGTTGCCGTCTTGGTACATGATGAACATCTGCGAGTGATCCATCTGGCTGCCGATACCGAGTCCGATCCATTGCCATGAGGTGGGAGCCTTGAGCTGGAAGAAGATGTCGCCAGATCCTGCTTTAGCCGAGGCCTCGGGGACTCCCCATTCGAAACAGACGCCTGTGTTGGGACAGAATGATGCTGTGGCAGCAGAAGCAGCGCCGGCGTCTTAGACAGCTCTTGTTAGTTACAAGTCAAGGTCAGAGGCACGGAGTGATGGATATGGCCTACTGAGAGCGGCAGCTGCAACAGCCAAAGCCGTGCTTTGTGAGAATTTCATGATGGCAGGTATGTGTATATGAGTCTCTGCACTTTGTATGGCGCCGCGTGTACAATATGAAACAATATAGATAAGATCGAGAGGGGTGTGGAGGGGATCGCTCAAGCTTATAACGCCTGCCTCGAGTTGTGTGACAGGAAGCGTCGATGCGGGATGCCACTATTAGTTGCTTGTCGACAAGCGTCTTTTGGCCATTTGCAGAGAGCGCGAGCATTGAATACCTATTTAAATGTTCGAGACCTTCGTTAGGAGAGCACTGGGGATGTCTCGGGCTCGCCCGGCTCCCCCAAAGGGGTGAAGGGGTGTGTCAAGAGGCATTCATGCATCTTCCCCCCTGCAAGTCTATTTCTATTTTTTACCCTCTCCAGGGCCTCTAGCCGCTTTGCAAGCCCACCACGGCTCCAGCCTTACACCAGATGGGCATTGACTTCGTCACTAGATCACCTACTCCGTAGATGGGTCCAGTAATTAGACTGACTTGAATCTGTCCGGCTTGGAATCAAGACAAGCCGGGCCCGGAGTGTTGATGATTTCGCTGATGTTGTTGGTGACGAGAACCATCTCATAGAACGCGCATATCTTAGCCAGAGCCGTTGTTGAAGGATTGTAAACGCCATTCAAGCATGTTCATGCTCGTCATACTCGTAGACTAGTTTCAAGTGGTAGCAGTTGAGGGGGAGCATGGCCTAGATCGCAGGTGTACAGCATCAAATGAGGCTGCCTCTAGCGGGGCACACCCCAACGCTGCAGTCCCAAGCCAGCGGGTTTATCACCATGTCCAAGCAGAAGTAGGATTAAGTCGGACGCCAGAACAATCATCCTGTTAGGGCCTTGGCTCCGTCCCTGTTGGCACCCTGTTGGCACCAGTGGGCATCCCCCTCAATGTAATTCCAGGATGCTGGTTGGAAGAGCCGGGAAGCCAGGGGTGCTGATGGTTTCTGCTAAATCGTCGTGCGTGTTTCGTGCACAAGGCCTCCCGTCTTAGCTGCTAGTTGCTAGTTGCTCGAAACAGCTCCCGATTCCCTCCAATCTCAAGCCACCACGGCAGACGCTGTTGTTGGGGGCCACGGCGACGACGCCAGTGATGTAAATCTTCATCATGGCATCAACCTCGCCGTGTTCTTCTTCGCTTCGCTCGGCTCTCCTATCTGCCCTTCTCTCCATCATGCTTGCGGCGGAGCAACCGATTATCCATCTACCAGCAAGTCATGTACAGAGCAGACCGACGGTAGAAGCGGCACATGCTGACAAACTTGGCGATGACCAGGAAAGTGCCTGTGCGATCTCCTGTTGAGCGTCACAAGCGAGGCGCAGGGCAGCTCCTAGACGCGCAGCTAGCGGCGTGGCGTATCCTTTTCGTCTGTCTTTCGTTCATTTTCCCCAATCGGTGCTCCAGTCGATGGAACATGGTTTAGTGAGGATGGTATCTCAAATACCAGAGACATTGAGTGCTGACTTGCGAGGGTGGTTTTGGCCCGCCGGAGGATCTAACTCTCCGAGCCGGAGCAACATCTAAACTCCAGATTCGTCTACAGTATGCTTCAACGGTTCCTGGCCTGATTGTGTCTGTCTGTATTACCTATATCTCGTTTCCAGCGAGTTAAATGTCATTCATTGCGATCAGCATGTCGATATATCGCATTGGGTTGTTTAAGCTCTCCAGCCACTGCGTTGAGCCGTATATGTGATCGCGCCTCTTTTCGTGTAAGGGCCAGCTAAAGACGGGCACCGCGAAACCTTCTTTTTTGCTGCAGCACGGCACTGCCTCGTTCTGAGCGGCGCCATCCCGTGCTGGCACACACTGCCGAATATGGCAAGCTGAGAGTGGTGGCTTTCTCGTAATGTGAAGTAGTGAGCAGACTATGTAAACCTTTGTGAAAACCTAAAGGCTGTTATGAACTTTTTTTCGGCAAGTCGAAGAATGAGAGGTTCCAAGTCTGACAGAGTTAGTCATCCAAGGTAAAGAGTTCGCATGCCATGAGCAACTGGACGAATGACACCTTCCGCAATTGAAGCCTTCAGCTTCTCCCCACAAAGCATCTCATTCAATTATGTGTTCCTTGTCCTACTCCATAATACGAGCACCCCAATTTACATGCCCAGGTACCTACATGTGTCTTACATGACATTTATGATGGAGATGTGATATTCTCTTAAATACCAGGTAATAGCAAAAGTGTTAAGCAATTCCTAGTAGCAGATGCTCAAAGAACCAGATACCTCGGCATCTAGACAAAAAGTGCTTTCTCAGGGACTTGCAGTAATACTGATGCCTACCTAATACAGTAATCGCATCAAATTTCCATACTTTTGAGCATCCAAATGCCCAATCCATTAATATCTCCCCCGCTCAGAACTAGCATTGCTACCTCATCTCACCGTTTCCAATGCTTACTGTACCTCAGTCATCTCACAAAGACCACTAACACGCCCCGTAATTCGTCTTCCTCGTGCCCTGAAGCAACGCCGCGCCCCCAGATTGGGTTGTCAATTTATCCGAATCCATCTGTTCCACGTTGTGAATAGGACCCCAGTGACGACACATCACTCTGCTATCTCCGCTCCCGTGTCCGTGAGCTTGTACATGTATCCATCCATGCATACGGAGTACATCGTACTACAATTGCCGCCAACCTCTTATCACCGAACATGATACCCAGGCCTGGGAGGGGGCGTGTATTATCATCTCCTATCCTACCTGCTTCAGTAGTGCTTGCACTAGCTACCCAGCCTATTCTCTATCCTACCTACTATGTATGCCGAGGAATGATTTCAATGTTTATAGTCTCAGCCACGACACCTTGCATGAACGAACAAGCCCGGTATTAACAGCAATGCCCCGAAGTGGTAATGCATGTCGATATGTCGATACTGTCAATTCAGGACAGGCACAACGCCTACAAGTAAGCCTTCATCCAAACGACCGATAAGTTCTATTCACAGATAGTTTTCTTTCCAAGTCATCCCATATTCGGCCTTGCAGCCGTTTTTCTTCTCCTTAACATGAGGGATCTCTCCTGTTGGCGTCCAATAGCATCCTTTCTATTACAAGTCATGAATCAACATCCATGGTAGGAAAAAATAGTGCTTACGTAGAACCGTTGAGAGCTTGACATCGTTCCAAAGCACTGACGACTTGTCCAAGTCCGGCGCCTATACTTGACATCCGCATCTGCAAAGGCCGGTAAGCCCCGAATCAAGCTTCACTGCCGAATAGTATTCCCGGCACGGGTTTGGGCACCACCCTTGTGTGCCACACTACCGAGATCAACCCTTTATCAGTAATATGAAGAGATCCACCTAGGAATAAGCCCATGAAGCTCAAACCGATGACGCGTCATCGTCAAAGTACCAATACAAGTCTATCGTGATGCATATTTCTGGAGAGATACGACAGCAGGATGAAGCTAGTAGCAGTGCGCCGAGAAGGTCAAAGATACCGAGTATTCCATTCATCTATCTGAGCTGTAACTATGAGAACAAACTGATCTCTAAAATCTCCCCTGGACGGGTGTATCTAGACAATGCTGTCTATCCTACTCTCTAACGAGCCCCGCCAATAAACGCCGGTTCAAATGCCGATGCTGCTACTTCTACTACTAATGGTTCTGCAGCATTGTTTCTAGTCTATTTTAACGACTCATCAAATAACCCCCGCTCTCCAGGAGGCTTGACGAAGCCACAAAGCTGAATCCGCCAAACATATCATCCTTGGATGGACTAGCTGGCCAGAATTCCCTTGACGAGACTGTAGGGCTCAACGAAAGCTCCGTGAATTCAGGTGCAAAATTCTCTGCCAGTTCAGGGTCTGTGATCATGGGTTGGATGGGTGGCTCCATCTCTCGTGCGGCCAGCTTCTTCCAGTCAATCTTGCGGAAGAATCTATGATTCTTCATCGTCTGCATATCCTTGGGCATCACAGCACCTAGTCGTTTGTTAGGATCTTTCCTCAGGAGCCGGGTGAGAAGATCTTTGGCATCCAGGCTGAGATAGTAGGGCAGCACGAGCTTTTGTTTGACAATATTGTCTTGGATCTTGGCATGGTTCCCTCCCCGGAAAGGTGGGTTTCCTGTCATCAGGTCGTAGGCGAGAGCTCCAAACGACCACCAGTCCACAGCTTTGCCATATTTCTTCCCCAGAATAACCTCGGGTGCCATGTATTCAACCGTGCCTAGAATGGAGTTGCAGCTGTCTTCCGACTGGTCGATTGCCACCTTTGACAGTCCAAAATCTGTCAATAAAAGATGGCCCTCTGCATCGAGAAGGCAATTTTCAGGTTTGAGGTCACGGTACACCACACCCAAAGTATCATGAAGGTGGGAAATGGCCAGAAGCATTTCGGCCATGTAAAAGGCAGCCACCGACTCGGAAAACATCTTCTCCGTGTTAAGATGAGTAAACAGTTCTCCCCCCTGGCCGTATTCTAGAATCAGATACAGCTTTTCTTGGTCCTGAAAAGCGTAAAAGAGCTTGACAACAAAGGGATGCCTGTTCACCGATTCCAAAATCTGCCGCTCGGTCTTGGTCTGCTCAACCAGTTTCTTGTGGACAACCAGAGACGCTTTCTTGAACTGCTTCTGAGCATAAAGCCTTCCCGTTGCGCGTTGCTTCACCAGTATAACCGTGCCATAAGTTCCTTTGCCAAGGCATCGAAGCGGCTCAAAATCTTCCGACGTCATCTTGCGTCTCGGGTTTAACCCGCCCTCCAGAGTTCCCATAAACGATCTCTCACGCACGCTCTCGCTCACGAAGTCGTTTTCGAGATTGACCTCATAGCTAGTCGACCCGCCATCAGAAAGCTCACTACCAGTTTCACTTCGGTTTCCATCTCGGCTCTGGGAGCGGCTCATCTGCCCAAGGCTAGTGTGAGAGTTCAGGCGGCTGCCATTTCGAGACATGGATGACGAGCGCGATGCAGCATCAAGGCTCAGAGGGTCCATCTGCAGCCGTAGTTTGGCGATTCCCGAGATTCTTGGCGAAGCGGTGCCGCGCAGAACCGGGCTACAATTAGCGCTCACAACATCGTCGATGCGCGGACGGCCACGCTGGGCTGACAGGCGTGGTGTATCAATGCCATTGTCGGAATCCTCGTCGCCAGAAGCCACTGGCGTGATCTGGAAACCACGTACTGTGGATAGCGCCACCGGGGGAGAGCTCGATGCTTGCTTGATCATGATGATGAGAAATGCGGCTCACGGTATCTAAAATAGAGTCTGACAAAATGCGACGGCTAGGAGTCTGTCAACTCCTGTCGCCAGTCTCGTCGTTTTCAAGGTGTGCCACGGCGGCGCTCCGGATCTACACGATGCGCGGATTCGGTTTGACGCTGGGATTCAAGAAGGCTCGAAACACGCATCTGGTACCTGAAGAAGGATGTGGGCAGATCAGCTGTTTCTTGTATATGCATTTGTGAGTCTCCTTTTCCAAAGGGGAGTATGAATGAACTAGAGGTATCGTGTTTGTTTCACCAAAAGGTGTAAAGAGGAAGAAAAGAAAGGGAAGGGAAGAGAAAGAAAACAAGGAAGCAGCGGAAGAGGAAGCGGCCGGCCAAGCCACAAGCTGAATATTTTTAGTAATTGGATCAAAGCAAAAGTGCATGTGCATTTTTACGGTTTTGCTGCAGCAAGCCGCCTCACTCTCCATTACTCGTGCCACTCGCTATAGCCCTTGTAAGCCCTTGAAACCTTCCTTGCTAGGGAGCCGGCCGCGGGGTACAGCGCGCTTTGCTCCAGACTTTACTGGACAATTTACAGCACATGTCAGCGTAGAGCAGGGAGCTCACAGCCCGCTAAACCTCGTTAGGGCAAGGTTAGGCTGCACCCCAAAATCGAAAAAGGGCCAGAAAAATATTGATCAAAAAAAAAAAAAAATTCATCAAAACAAAGAGAGTTGAGTGAGGCCTTTGATTGACTGCCTTACGCCAAGAAAGTAACCGCTGTGGATATTTCATTGTGCAGTCGTCCATCACATGAGGCGCCTAAAGAGCTGTACGATGTCACGAGCTGACATTTTTCCAGTCGACTTGCCGGCATAATCACAGGGGAACATGCAATCTCAGCATTCCTGCGTCATGGTGTTTTTCCAGGGCTGCAATTGGCCCAGCGACTTGCACATGCCATGCATGCTTGGCTGGCAGCCCCGGAATGCCTGGCAATTAGCGGCAGCTCCGTCGGTGCGTTTAGGCGTGTTGCCCTATCGTCGTCAAATTTGGTGCGGTGCCTGGATCTACAACAGGCACGCTTCCCTGCTTCTTCTATTGGGTAACACTGGTTAAATCGTCCAAGTACGGTGCGCAGTATGTCAGGTACTACTCGTGCTTCGACTCTGTTCCGTGGAGACAAACTCATCCACTGGAAATGTCGTGCAGCAAAACAGTGACCGGCAATGCCTATATCTGCCTTATCCAGACCTCACATTATCCCTGATGCGACTTGCTTTGTTTGTGGCCCCATATGCAATACAACGTGGACAGCCCGACTTGCTGCATCCGGCGATTCGTGGCAAAAAAAGTGCTTCCATGAGTGCATAGTTGATGGCATTTTATAAGCACGGCTAACGGCGGAATTATGATGCTAATGCATGTACGACGTGGAGTTCGTAATAGCCAACGATTATAGCTCTTTGAGCCGTTCTGGGGTGATTCTCCTGTGTGCTTGGTAAGGTTTATTGTAATTTATACGGATTACCATGGATCCTTATCTCGATTGTTGATTAATAACAATACTAGATCTGATTACTTCATTCCAACAGAAGAATCATTGCCAAGAAATTGGAGAATATCCATATTTTACATCAGATCTCGGCCAGCAACGTAAAATACCCATAACTTCCAGCCAAGACACGTGCTTGCCATGTTGTAGAAGCTCTGGAAGACACCAATATCTCTCTGTGCCACCATTTTCTTTTTTCGAGCTCTGCAAACTGTTGGCTACAATATGGAAACAACATTGCTACTAATAGCACCGACTCTCCTAAATTGTAGGCAGCCATGCTCTTCTCTTCTTGGATCTTCAGTACCTAGTTCAAGATTACAGCCAACGTCGACACTATGTCGACTTACATAATCCAGGCCCACCAATAAACAGTGCTCTCAATTTTCTAGAGCTCCGAAAGCTTAGGCAGCCTCATCCAGATTCAGTGCACATGCTGAACCACGATCTAGCCATTCAAACAACACCAAGAGTCGCGCTGCTTCCGGAATCGGGGATTAAGCGTCTTTGATTATATTCATTGGACTTTTTCTTCTCTCTTCTCTTCCTCGAGGGTTACATTTCAACCTGAATTATTACTTCTCAAGACTCACGAGATCATCCCGCCACCAAACAAACCACCTACTCTCCAGTCACGAATTTTCATATCCAGCGACAAAATGATACACCCGTCGCGACAGGCATACGTGGAGGAAGCGGAGCAAAGCACGGGCATTGCTCTCGAAGACGTCCCGGAAGACCATGACTACGAAATGACCATGGGCGATGGCGCCCCGCCAGAGAAAGCATCCGCAATCCTGAACCAGTTCAATAGAAAACGTCTCGCTGCCACAATTGCTGTCCCCACTGACGATGGGCGAGTTCGCGCGAAGCTTCGAGAAATGGGTGAACCCATCACCCTATTCGGCGAAGGACCAGCTGATCGTCGAGACCGACTACGAGAGCTATTGACGATTCAGGCGGAAATGGCTGGACTCGAGAGCGGCGATATAACCATGGAAGATGCAGCTGAAGACGCGGAAGAGGAGGAACAAGAGGAGGAGTTTTATTCAAGAGGAGGGCCCGAACTGCTACAGGCACGTATCAACATAGCCGAATTTTCATTGCCACGAGCAAAACGAAGGACGGCGTTCCAAAAAGCCGAATCTACAATACCCTTGCGGACACATGTCAAGTTTCGGAAGCACATCAAGGATAGATTACAGACATTTGAACTGCAAGGAAGTCAGACCGTCGGCGAGAGGCATATAAGCATGACTAGATTCTCACCGAATGGGGAGCTGATTGCTGTTGGTAACTGGGGCGGTCAGGTGAAGCTGGTCGAAACACAAAATCTGACGGAGAAGATGAACTTCCGCGGACATACCAACAAAATCAGCGGCCTCTCTTGGTTTCCGGGGGCTACCTTGCCTGAGAGCGGAGTCTCCCCAGACTCGGTCAATCTTGCCTCTGGTGGTGCCGAGGGGTTGGTCCATGTTTGGTCATTAAACCAAGATACCCCTCTATCAACTTTCAAGGGACACTCGCAGCGAGTTTGCCGGGTGGAATTCCACCCATCTGGCCGTTACATAGCGTCCGCTTCAGAGGATACCTCATGGCGACTTTGGGACGTCGAGACAAGTGCAGAGCTTCTGTTGCAAGAGGGTCATTCTCGTGGTGTCTATGCTGTCAGCTTCAACACAGATGGCTCCCTGCTCGCTAGCGCTGGCCTGGATAGCATTGGCAGAATATGGGATCTACGATCGGGACGGACCGTGATGATTCTGGATGGACATCTGGATGGACACATCAAACCGATACACGCTCTGGACTGGAGTTCTGATGGTCACCGAATTCTGTCCGGCTCTGCTGATGGATGGATCAAGTGCTGGGATGTCCGCAAAGTGCAGAGAACTGGGGGAGTTGGCGCCCATAACAGCGCTGTCTCCGACATGCGATGGTACAAAGGCTTAGATGACCCTCTTCTTGGAACTCCACCGGGTCAAGACGAGAAGGGTGCACAGCTGCCTAAGAAGGCCGGCACCTTTTTCATCTCGAGTGGTTTTGATCGGAATATCAAGATTTTCTCGGCAGACGATTGGACCCTGGTGCAAACGCTGAGCGGACACACTGCTCCGGTTGCCAGTGTGGACTACAGCAACGATGGGCGATGGATTGTGAGTGGAGGACACGACCGCACAGTGAAGCTATGGGGAAGAAATGATGGCGAGGCGATTTAGTCGAGATGTTGTACCTAATGTTGCGTGGGAATAACTGGCAAATCGGAATTGATACCCAGGTTGGCAAGACAACCCGTAATTTCCTTTTCCTACAGGATGGATACGAATCATCAAACCATCAAAGACGTGCAAAACTCAAAGCAAACTCAAAGCACACTCAAAGCAAACTCACTTGCTACTCAACCTTGCTCTCGCTCTTTGGGTTGTGGTGGATTCGCTGCTTAGTCATGTGACTGTCTGCGGCTGTAGATTAGATAGGGAGGACGGGTCATAGCCTAACCACGACTTCGTAATGTTCGTCGCGCCACCCATCTCCAAACTCCGTCATGATGTCCAGCCGGCTGCGTCAACAAAGTGAAAAGCAGACATAATTACCCCTACACTGAGGCTCTCCATGAAATTTCGCAGTCGCTTCTTACAGTCAGTCTCCAACTTGACATAATCGCACTCAGCAATGGCGAGTATCGACCGCTATCGCCCACCACGAGAGGGCTACCAACCTCCGAGTCTCCAAGGATCTGCACGCCACGAGAGGCCATCACGATCGCCTCCTCGCCGTCGCGAAGTCCCTCCAGCTGCACCTACGCCTCCACAGCATAGCGCACGTACATCTCCTCCGCGGCCGCAAGCCGTATCTAGCCAGCAGACGCCGTCGCGCTCTGAGGAGGAAACGCCATTGGCGCTGCCGAATCAGTGGTTTTTCACTACAGACGAGGTCCAAAGCACGCCCTCGATAATTGATGGAATATCTCCATCGGAAGAGAGGCTTCGCAGGGCCAAGGGAATCAACTTCATTTATCAAGCTGGCGTGATGCTTGATCTACCACAGATTACACTATGGGTAGCAGGTGTTTTCTTTCACAGATTCTATATGCGTTTTAGCATGGTTCAAGAGAAAGGGGGCATCCACCACTATGTAGGATTTTTTCTTTTTTTTTAATTTTCTCCTTTGCCCTCTTCTACCCTGATTGCCTCACCTTTGCGACGGACCCTTCTACCAACTCTGGATTTCAAGCTATCTGGTTTCATGGCTGATCTTTTAATCATAGAATATCGCCGCGACTTCTTTGTTTCTGGCAAACAAGACCGAAGAAAACTGCAGGAAGACCAAGGAAATCATCATTGCCGTTGCTCGAGTGGCCCAGAAAAACACAAAATTGATTATTGATGAGCAGAGTAAAGAATACTGGCGATGGAGGGACAGCATCCTGACATACGAAGAAGTCATGCTGGAACAACTCGCATTCGACTTAATGATTGATAACCCCTACCGTCATCTTTTCGAACTTCTAGGACAGCTAGAAGTTATCCACAACAAGCACCTGCGGCAGGCAGCTTGGGCATTCTGCAACGACGCGTGCCTCACAGCCCTCCCGCTCTTGATTGAAGCGAGAGATGTTGCCATCAGCTCCATCTATTTTGCTTGCGCCCACACAAATCAACAGATTGACGATGTTAATGGCGAAGGTTGGTGGAAGTTCCTGAAAGGGAGCGAAGATTGCTGTACAAAGGCTATTGAGGCGATGCGTCAGTTTTACACGGAGAATCCGCTTAGGAAGCAGAACCCATCACTACCATCGCCGGCCTTCCATCTCGAAAATACACGGAGACGGAATGAAGCATTGAACGATACCCAATCATCCAACGCTGGAACGCCGATGGAACTCGACCGAGAGAGTCATAGTCCAGGCCCCAAGGTGAACGGAGGGACAGATCGACACTCTGAAGCAAGGGACAGAGAACACGAAGGCTCTCTAAAAGCACCAGGGGATGGTGAATACGCACCGCGATCCCCCTCCAAGAGAAAGGACGCAGAGGCCGACCTGTCTGCGGAGAGTGAAAGGGCCGAAAAAAGGGCCAGACTCTCAGAAGACGAGGGTGAGCTGGTGGAAGACTAGGCTCCGGGACGGACGTATTCAATCATTCAACCCTGCTACGAGGGGGTTTTGGCGTTGGGAATGTTTTTATTAATCATGTTTTTTTCTGCAATGGCATGATGGAACGGCCGCGGCAAAGATGTGACGCTTGTCTTTTAGCTTCCGGTAATGCTGCGAGCTTGGGGATGGCGTTGGGGACTTTTTTCTTTTCAAAGCTACTCACATCGACCCGGCCTGTTGGATAGAGACTGCCGCATAGGCACAATGGTTTAAATGCGACTTGTTTGAGCTAGGAGAGACGGATGTGATTTTTTTTTTTTTTTAATGTTTTCTTTTTCTTATTCTACTCCGCGGCGGCTGGACAGAGCTTGATATCCCAAACACGTGCAAACTGATTAAAGACCACCTCACCTTGGCCTGACAAAGTGCGATATGACTCTCGTGCAAATTATGACATTCAAGTGACTTTTCTGCCTTCGCCGGCTGCTGCCTGCTGCTTTTCATCTGAACATCAAACGGACTCGTCCAATTAGCACCGCTGATTCTGCCGCTCTCAGAGCTGACCGCCCCCAAGTGCACAGCTGCCTAGAACTATAAAGTGCTTCAACGCCCGCCGCCATCTTCCCAACTTTCTTCTTCTTTTCTTCTTCAGCTCTCTTTGCCGTATGGCTTAGATCAAGTGTAGTATCTGTTCTTTTCAGTTTAATCTCTGAAACGTCTCCAAGTGAGACCGATCGTGGTTAATCTTATTTTTGGGCCTGGGGAGAGTTTCTGCTGTGCTTGCACGTGGATTCTCTGCCTACTGTGTCCCCGGTATCACACTGCTTCCGGGTGATGCGACTCTTTGGTGGCTTTTCATTGCTTTTGTTGGCTTGTCCAACGAGGTGAAGAAGGGCTGTAGTTTTGTGATTTGGTCGTGTGATATTCCAAGCTTCATTCACGCTTTGAAAGTCCTACGTTAGACTTGGATGTCTAATTTTCATTGTGCCACGTCGTAAATTAAAGAGACATATTGCTGTCTAGCTTTTCCATTTTTTAATCTTAACATTACTATTATTTTCCCCTTCAAACTAATATATGAAGCTGCGCGATCAAAGCTGTCGAGCTTCTGTGACGCTGGTCTCCAAGTTTCCCAAAAACATCCCAGAAACAGCTTAGCGCCGCATAGAGCTATGGTCTGGCGCTCGCATCAAAAAACATCACCATAAACCTGCATCCAACCAATTCTTCCCTAAAGCACCGCCAGCCAAAGCCTCCAATCCCTCCATACGGCCACTCCACCTCCAACTTGCTCATTCGGGAGCTTCGATCCAGAGCTCTTCTTACACAATGGCTACTTTGGGAGGCTACCTAAACAGTGAGCATTGCGCCCCTCGTCCAACCCCGCAGACAACCCACGTTGATTTTGACTGACACTTTGGCGTGCTGCAGAAAAGGTGCTGATTGTGACGGCGGACTCGCGAATCCTTGTTGGGGAGCTGGCAGCCTGTGATGCGTCGACAAATCTAGTATGTCTCTGTGCTCTTTCGCCTCGGGAGCCTTGCCTGGGAGCTTCTTAACTAACCGTCACGCGCTGCAGGTTCTCAAAGGTGCCGTGGAGAGAATCATTCGAACGCCCGACGACCCAGAGCCATCCGCGGAGGTGCCTCTAGGCCTATACCTTGTCCGAGGCGACAATGTGTGCTCGGTCGGTTTAGTCGACGAAACGCTGGATGACAGTATCGACTGGACGCAAGTGAAGGGCACGGTAATAGGAGGCATCAAGCACATTTAAACATCCGCTGCTGAGAGCGCCGTTGTCCGATATACCAGAGGCTGCCATTTCGGAAGAGAGGAGGCGAACCAATTTAGATTTGTTTTGTTTTGTGTTTGAGTATGGGTCGGTCATTGGGCGCTTGGAGCGCCTGGAGTTATGATACACGCATGAAGCCAGCCTTTCTGCAAAGGGTACGAATTTATATGGACCATCTATTTTAATGCTATTTTTTTTCTTCCTGGGCTACATTTGCTGACATGGCTCTCTATGCAAAGTACCAACAAAAACTGTTCTATCCAAACACACGCTGCATCCAGATCTCCTTGAAGATACTCTCTCCAGGAGTCTTAATCACCCGCCTAATTCTGTTTCCCTTGCGAACGCTCAACCAGCCCATGGTATCACCCGGGACCTCGTCCAGAGTAACCAGGTGGGGATCGGCTTCGGGATCCGCTGAGAGATCCACGGCAGCCTCACCGGGCTTGGATCTAACGCGCTTGTCGAGTATGTACGATCCTGCAGTCCACTGTCCCACCGTCTCAACTCGGAGATCCTCGGGCTTCGCGGGCACCCCCCATCGCGGGTCGTCGTGAGTCAGCATGTACCAAACGGTGAAGGGATCGTGCAGCGCCAATTCTGGCTCCCTGCCATCTCCCTCCATGGAGTCAATCTTGTTAAAGGCTCCGTTGATGAAGTGGGCAGCCCATCGAGCGAGGGGGCTGCCGGCGTCAACAAGAGGCTTGACTGCCTCCTGGAAGTAGTTTTTGTTGATGTAGTGGAGATTTGTGATGTCCAGGGGGCACAGCGTGACAGTCAGCTGGCGAGAGAGCTTCGCCGGATACGGCTTGATGTGTGTGACATGGCTGGGGATAGGCGGCAGTGTTGACGCAGGGTTGGGCGATGTAAGGGCATAGACAAGAGCGGCAGCAAGAGGATCGGCATACGTGTTGAATTCTGCAGTTGGGGTGACGTTGCCGGGAACCTCGACAGCTCCACCCATAACAACGAGCTCCTTAACCCTGAGGAATGTCTCTGGATCCTCAGTAGCCGCCAGCGCAACGTTTGTGAGGGGTCCGACAGCGAGGATACTGATGGTGTCTGGAGGGTTCTCTCTGAGAAGACGCAGCATCTCCCTATGAGCGGGCTCCTTGGAAGCTGTGAAGCGAGGGTAAGAAGGACCGTGGTCAGTGTCGTCCTCCTTGTCAAACAGGGCCTTCCAAGTATCGGCGGGCTTCAGATCATCATGGATATCATGAACATTGTGTAATCCATCAGCACCGTCTACATGTTCATCTCGGTCAGCAGGGTGAGAATTTACACCTAGGAAACAAGTACGTACGGAAGTAGTCGGCAGCCAAGACAGGGTCCGCCAAGGAGTGTTCAGCTCCCGCAGCCACGATGGTCTTGTGGGCTTTCAATGTTTCATAACCTTCAGGACGACCCTGAGACTTCCTCCACTCAAACTCCTTCTCCAGTACATGGTACATGGCAGCCACGTTACGGAGGCAGCTAGCATTGGGATTAGCTAGGATCAATAAACGAATGTTTGTGTGTCTTGAGGAAGACATACCATTCCAACGGAACATTGCCGTATGTGACAGAAATCATAGCCAACTCAAGCTCTTCGGGAGAGGCACTGAGGGCCAGGAGAAGGGCCATGACATCGTCGACACCTGGGACAGTGTAAGCGTGTGCCACATAATAGGGATGAGTAAGAGAGAAATACCAGGATCGGTGTCCAAAATAATCTTGCATTTCGGAGCCATCTTTTCTAACTTTGACGATAAATGTTTAGCGGATATTCACGACAAGGTGACTCAGTTCCAGGAAAGACATACAGAGTCTTGCACACACAATTGTTGAAGCAAGTAAATATATCTTGAAGCAAATGAGCAGCAGCAGGCTTTTATAAAGAAGAAAGCACAGCAACGAGAGGAACACTCGATGGCCTTTTTGAGATCGGGGCGGGCCTATTTAACAACGAAATTCTCTCAAAGAGATCCAAAAAGCCTGAGGTTCTCTCTTTTTGAACAACCCAGAACTTCGGTCGGCCAAAGATGGCCAAAAAACAACGGGTTGGCGGGGTTAGCCTCCTGCTGAGATAATCCTTGCGGCACACGGAGTTTTCCCCGTTTTGGCGGCTCCCAGCGGCCGGCGACGGCCGAAGAACGGCAGAAAATAATGACTCTCGCGTGCCGAACGCTGGGCTTCGATCTGCGTCTTGTGGGCGGCAGGTGCAGATTCGTATTTTTCGTATCTCGTTTTGAGGTGTCAGGTTTGACACTCTTGGACTGCTGTTGGTTGTTTTTTGGGGAACTGGGGAACTGGGGAAACTGGACTGCCGTATGTGGTTTATCCTGGTTTCCTTCTTCGGCTGCGATTTGATGGAAGTTTTGAAGGTGCTTCTTTGACATGATGAGATGAGACAATCACAATTGGATAAAAGGCGACTAGCTCAGCTTATTTAGGCGGTTTAGGCGACTTTGCGGTTCAACAAAATTATCAAATAAGTATCAAAGTGGCGCACATAATTCTGGGTTTGCACCCACTTGCTCTGGGTAGCTACCTATATTCTGGCTGCTATAGGGTAGGCCTTGAACGCAACATGGAATGTCGTCGATAGCGAACAAACACCTGCTCCAAGCGCAGCGCAGCAGCACGGAAACGTGGCGTCTGTGGAATCCAGCTGCAGGGTCTCGTCTAGCGTAAGGCTGGTTGGATCAAAGACAACGAAAGCCATTGTCTGTGCAACAGTCCAACATGTGCTGCAAATTCGTCCAGTCTGCGGTACCTTGCATTGAGACTGTCGACTACCTGCAGGTGCTACAAATGGTGATCAATCCGCTTGAGAATAACCAGAGGGTGCCATTGGACGTGAATTACCGCCAGCAGCGCGTTCTACGGACATCTAGGGGTTCCAGATAGACAACCAACTCTGGCTGCGTCTTAAAGCGCGGTTGACACTCTCAGGCGGTTGCATTTCCACAGTTGCCAGTCAAGGGCGTGAATGATTGATGGCGAGCTGCTGTTGCATACCTACCCCTGTAACAACATAAAGCACAAAGTGCTCAGAGCAACAAAAAAAGAAAGAAAGAAAAAAGAAAAAAAAAAAAAAAAAGGAACGAAACTTTGGCGTTGCACTATTGCTTCGCCCTGGCGCCATCACAAACGCGAGGGAGCCAACCCGCCAGCCAGCCAGCCCAGCCCAGCCCAGCCCAGCCCAAAAAAAAATCCCAGGCACCGCATCACCAAAAACTCCCCCCTCAAACACCTCCCAATCCCAACCCAAAACAGTGGCGCCAGCGAGGGCACTCAACCTCTTCCAGGGGACGCCAATCTCGGAGCTCCAAAGCGGCATCTTAGGCGAATGGCGATCTGGGTGAAGCAGTCAAGGCTCGCATAATCGAAGGCTAAGAGAAACTGCCTGCCCCATTGTTTCTGCCGCCTCGGCCACTCAGGAGCCGCGCCCGGACCCCCCTGCTGGCTTTTTCTCCCTTCCCGCCGAACGACTCCCTGCAACTCTCCCCATTGGCGTTGCGAAAACGACACACCCCCTGCTCTGCGTTGAAGCCACCTGGTGCTTTTCTTGCGTGTCCTCAACGGTCAGTACAGCTTGTTCTGTTTTTTCTTTCTTCCATGCTTGCTGGCTGCCATCATCCATCAATCCCGTGCTGCGGCAGTTGGGCTTAGCCTCTACCCTCTATTTCTACCCTCTCTCTTGCCCACCCCAATCTCACAGCGGCCAGTTTTTAACGTTTCTGCCAGCTTGCGGAATCGCGCCGGTTCGCCGCTGCAGACAGCCTTGCTGCATCGCCCGTGGGTGCAATTGTTGCAGCATCCAGCCAACGGCGGCACTTTCTGCAGTTATCCGACAATCGATCGAGCGCCTGATCATTGCGTTGCTCTAGTCTCCTTTTGAGCACCAGAATACGCTGCTGAGAGAGACAGAGAACTCCGCTGGTCTCCATCTCGAGATTCCGTTATCATCTCGTCCGATCCATTGACAGCTATCCACGACACAAAAGCTAGCCCAAAGTCATCATGGCTGATACGAATATGATTTACACAGTCGGCGCCTATGCCGCCTTGATTGGCGTTGGCTATGCCTTCTACTACGTCTCAACGCAAAAGGACAAGAAGAAGAGCACCGTCGCCATCACCAAGCCCGCCAAGGTCTCACAGCCAGAGACTCGGAAAGAGGATCGGAAAAAGAAGCAGCGCATGGAGAGCTATGTGACAGACCAGGACGTCAACAAGACATCCAAGGCCGATTCCCAGAAGGCAAAGGCCCCCGAGGCGCCTCAGTGGACGGGCAACCAACAGGATGCTGAGAAGCAGGAAATGATTGACAACCGGGAATTTGCCAAGCAACTTGCCAAGGCCAAGGAGGGCGCAAAGTTCAACTCCAAGAACGAGGGCCCCAAGCAGCGAGAGAAGACCGTCAAGCAGTCCAAGGCCAACAAGGCCAAAGCTGCCCCTGCCCCCGAGGTCGTCCCGTCTGCCCCATCCTCCAACGGCGCTGATGCCGATGACGACGAGTCTCCCGTTGTCCTCTCCCCTGCGACTAGCCCGGTGGACGTCAGCGGTGTCAGCGACATGCTCGAGCCGGCCCCCGCCGGCCCTTCCGTTCTTCGTCTGACTGATACCGAGTCCAAGAAGGATAAGAAGCAGAAGGCTGCCAAGAATCCTGAGCCGGTTGAGACCAAGAAGCAGAGACAGAATAGGAAGAAGGCTGAGGCCGCCAAAGCTGCCCGTGAGGAGACGGAGAAGGAACGCAAGGTCCTTGAGGAGAAGCAGCGACGAACTGCTCGCATTGCCGAAGGCCGCGCCGCCAAGGATGGCTCCGAGTTCATGGCTGCCGTCAATGGAAACAATGCCTGGAATGGAACCAACGGCACTAAGGACGCCGCTGCAAAGAAGGAGGACGCTTCCGTCTATGCGCCCCTCGACACCTTTGAGAAGCCTGCTCAGAAGAAGGCTGCTGACAAGACCACTCCTGCTCCTGCCCCCAAGAAGGAGGCTGTCCAGAACCTGGAGAGCTCGTGGATCTCCGCTCTGCCATCCGAAGAGGAGCAGATGGAGATGCTCAAGGAAGAGTCCGATGAGTGGAACACGGTGAAGAGCAAGTCTTCCAAGAAGTCCAAGAAGGCACCCTCTGCCGACTCTGGCGAGGAGACCCCTCAAGCTCGCCCGGCCGCTCAGCCCAAGCAACCCGCCGATACCAACGCCAACAAGTCAACCAGGCCTGTGGCTGCTAAGAACTTTGGAGGATCGTTCTCTGCATTGACCATTAAGGGCGACGATGTTGAGGAAGATGCCGAAGAGGAGTGGGATGTCTAAGCACAAGAAGCACAACGACAAGAACAACCGTGCATGCGTTGCGTGCTTTGCACAGTCGCCGGGAGCAGCCTGATTGCTTGTTTCCCGCCTCTGTATACTATTACCCGCCGACCTGCTATAGCTATCGGTATTTCCTCTTTGTTAGTTTCTATGATTGTCATTTTTATGTTGGATCAGGAGGCATTCTCCAAAGAGTCTACCGTGGGAGGTAGAGGGAAAAAAAAAAGGGGGGGGGGGGGGGGGTTAAGACCTGTTGATGTATGTGTTTGGCAAGACACTTGATCACTTGGCCAGCGGCTCAGGGCATGCATATTTAGCTAGCCCAACACAGCGTACAAGTGCCGCGAGGTCGGCAGAACCTCTTTATTTTTTATCCGCCAATTTTTTTTGTTATGGTATTAGCTGTTGATGAGCAAGACTGGGAAAAAAAAGGTCTCGCAACGGACGCAAAAACGGAGGATACAGATGCTACAAGCGAAGTTTCGGGAGGACGAAGGACGAGATACAAGAGTGCTCGTGTGTGTAAATACTTCGTTGGTATCAGCTCGCAGAATGGGGCAAATCTACGCTTGCTATGATTGATGATGTTTGCCGTGATGTTTGAAGTGTGACGGATGTGTGTGTGATAGTGAAGGAGTCACGTTCATTTGCAATATCTGGGCGTGGGCTGTACACACTTGTATTCTGATTTATAGTCATGGCCAGCAGTAGTGTGATGATTGTGAACGTACGTTCACGGCCTCGTATTATACACTCATCTTATTGATTGAATGGTCTTGCTACGATTTCATGGAGTTTTGCATGTATGAGTACGATGAACGGAGGCTAGGCGGTGCCTACATGTTCTAGTGTGCCTCTAGGACCTCCTACTAAGCCCAGCTAATAAATGATTGAGTCCCCAACCTGCCGATTTGGAGGTTGGAGCACGATATCCCTAGCCAGTTTAGTATTGCTGGTGCCTGGATGCGACACCCCTTCCATTCCCCAGACAAGCCCGGCGCTACAATGGCATTCCGACAGCGTCAATTGTTCGCTCCCTGCGGTTGAATGTCTCTGTTCCATGGACCCCTCGTTGTCTTCTTTTCTGTGGCTATGGAGCATTACGTGGCTACGACGACAAACGCTCGTAACGGGCCACTCACACACGCACAAAAGCAGCCAGCATCTCCGCCTCGCTCTTGGTGGCGTGGCCCGAGGTGGTGAGCCGGAAGCCGGGTGCCGTCCAAGGGACCCTGCAATAGGATCCAGTGTCTGGAGAATGGAGTCGCTGTAACCTAGGACAGGATGGGGATTTTTTAGTGGCCACGCGGGGCTATTCCCCGACTCTCTCCATCGAGATGGCTTCTGGGTTGGGGGAGACAGAGAGGCGATTTTGCATGGGCGGGATTCGTGACGAGGGCGAAAAATCTTGTTCCATCCGGGGGGATCGAGATGGAGCCTTGTTGTGCTGGGCATCCTGGGGTTGTCGTGCCCATTGTCTGTCTGGTCTCGATTCGCCGTCCTCTTCTTGCCGCTATTGTGGGATGCACGGACGGACGGTCATGGTTCCGAGACGGCCTTTTTTTTTCTTGCTTGCCACTTGGCGAAACGGGCGTGCCGGCTCCTGGTGGCACCTTTTGCTGGACAGCTTTTCTTTTGTAGTGAGGCGCACTGCGGATTACGGCGTATTATTAGCATTCGAACTGTCCTCCCGCCGGCCCCGAGGGTAGCAAGCAAGTCAGGATCCAGCAGGCATAATCCATTCATCTTTCTCCTCCTGACTCTCACTGCGTCGTACAGTACACGGAACGCCGGGATGAGTGATATAATTGACTTCTTTTCTTTCTCGTCTGGCAGTCAGCAGGTGGGGGAAACGACGCACAGCCAACAAACTTGACGACTCGTGAGGGGAAAATAGACTGTCGAGACGGAGTCTTCGAGGTCCAAGGTTTCGGTCGAATGCTAGCTAGCTTGGGCTCCAGGTCCTGTCCGTGCGTGGGTGTTGCAAGGCAAAAACAGCTGGTGGATGACGACGTGGCATCTCGGTATCAGATGCGGCCACCGCTTCTCGCGGGTTTAACATTTGAGTCAATTCAAGTATAATCCATTCGTCAAAACCATGGAAAGAAGTAAAAAAGACGCAACGCATGATCAATTTTTTGTTTCATGCGAGGAAAAACTCACTTGAGTCTGTGATGTCAAGTTCAAGAGGCGCTGGCGGCGGATAGCAAATAGGACGTCGAGGATGGTCAACATGTTGCCATTGGCGCACGGCAGGCTGCACACATGAAGCGGACGGAGTTGGATAGCGCAACTTAGTTTGAAGAGATGAAGATGCTTGCTACCAAGAAGGTTAGTAGCGCTGGCCTAGTTCGTCCAGCGGCTGCCCAGTGGCTGGTGCAACAGGGCCGGACGTCGAAATTCAATTTGTATCCCGGACCCTGGCCTGTCGAGGCGAAGAGGAACAAGGGTGGGCGGGCACAATTTGGCTGGCCACGCTCGTACAGTTCCTCGTACTACGTGTGCTAATGAAACGAACGATAGACAAGCCATGCTCCCCCCGTTCCGCGTTCTCGCTTCATGGCCCTGGATCCATGTGACGGGCGTGGATCCCAATGTTGAGCCGCCCAGATCCTCTGGCTGTGATGATGATGCGCTTGAAAATCCCTGTCTGTGAAGAAGAGTTGAAACGCAGAAACAGGCCGGTGGTTGTTTCATGGGCAAGGCCAAAGCAGCGGCCGTACTGTGCATAGTACATAGTCGTCGCGCGCGCGAAGTGAGGCAAGAAGAATACGGGGAAAGGCCAGCAGAACGGCGCCAGTGGTTGAGATGGATCCCAGGCGGTGACGGGGCCCGAGCACTAAGATATTGGGGGCAGGTACCCGTGCGTGAAGTAAAATGAGAGAATATCTCACGACTCCGTATCTGGTACTAGTTGTAATTGCGAGTGTGCGAGTGTAGAGATACGCAGGTCTGAGTAAGGCGCCCGTTTGAGCTGAGGCCGCCCAGCTTTGCTGAGCTTTTCTTTCTTTTCTTTCTTTTTTCCTTGGCGAGATTTCGATTCGAGGTGATGTGAATACATGTAGGTATAGGTACAGGTACAGGTACTTTGAAGGGAATAATGTACGAGCACAGTAGGTGTCGTAGTATCAGTGAATGGGATTGGGTTCTGTTAGGCGGCGTTTTAGGTTCCGCCGCGCCTCCAAACTGCAGAAACTCTCGGGTGCATGCGCCGAGCCGGCCCAAGTTGCCTGAGTCGTCGCAGCGCTGTTTGAGGCCTTTGTCACCTTTGTGGCGACCGCTACAGGTATGGGCGGGGTTTGGCTAGGCCTGGCAATCCATCATAAGGCCCTTGCTCCCTCTGATCTGCGGTTCGCTACGTTGCTTGGAGCATTGATTGCATTGGATTCATCTTGCTGTCAATATCTGCATCTCCATCCAATATCTCCAGCTGTAGCGCCGCGTCTTCAGCGGACACACACTCAGCGCAGCACAGCACAGCATAGCGCTGCACAGCCCAATCACCACTGAAACCTCCCACCCCCCCGGCGCTCCCAAATTGCAACCACCATCAATCAAATCAAATCAGCACAGCTTTTCTTCGTTTCTTCTTCCTCGCCTGGCGCTTCCCCAGTCGCTCCTCTAATCACCCCCGGTGCTGTTTTATTTTTGGCGGTGCGTCTGCCGCGCTTCTGCACTGAAACTCGTCGCCTAAGCACTTCTCCCTTCTTGGCAATGCGCACTTCGCCTCGCCATCTCTCCAGACTCTCCTTTCCGCGGTTCACTTCTCTCTCCGTCGATTCTTCTTGTCCGTAACCAACGGGATCCTACCTCATTGTCGCTCTATTTCCTTTTCTGTCTTTTCTCTTTACTATTGTCACGACTTTCAATTTCTTGTCTTCCTTGTCTTCTCTTTTGTCACGGCTCCGTTCCTTCCTCCATTTCTTACGCAATCTGCCTCTGGGGGCGTCTTGACACTTGAAACTGTCGCAGCCCCCCCTTACTTTCTTGACGATACTCTCTTCCCCCCACGCCCCAACCGAACCATCAACTATCGAATTCTTGCATTCCAGTTTGCTCGACGACGGGTCTTTTGTTGCGGACAGCCACTTGGCTGTTATTTAATTATTTCCTTCCTTTGTTTTTCTGGGCTCTTGGTGGGTTTCTCTTACGGCCGGTTTACTGCGTCTTCTCTCACGGGTGTCCTTGTTTCGAATCCGCCTCCTTAAACACGCCATTCTGCTTCCATGCTGGACACACCAAACGTCAATTGAGAGGCCATCGTGATACGGGGACGTGCCCTGTAGCCGTCCATAATGTCTTTCCCCGTCGCGCTACAGTCGGCCATCTTCTACCTGCTTGCCTGCACACCATGCGCCGAAATACGGCATCGGGCCAAGGCCAAGGACCAGGCCAAGAAGGAGAGGGTGGAAAAGGCAAAACTAGAGACGCAACAGCCTGGCCTATATCGACACCCGTCACCGTTCAACACCAATCCGTACTGGCAGGAAGAGATCAGCATGGGACCTAGCCTACCGAAGAAGTCGACGAGCAAAAACTCCAGCCAACGGGGCCTGATGAGTGCGGGAGGAGAAATCAGTGCTCTTAGCCTATCAGGGCGTACGAATACCGGCGACAGCCACACCAATTATGAAGACAGCACGCTGGTAGTATCACAAGATGGCATCTTGTCCGACGACTGGAACATGCGACATGGATATCAGCGCGAGGATGAGGAGCTGTGGGGTGCAGACTGGTCTGGCCACAAGCTCAAGGATGCCTTTTCCAAAGCGAGAGATTCTGCGGGGCGGTTGATTGAATCAACATTGGGCATGGATAAAGAAGTAACAGAAGAAGAGCGCCGCGCCTTTTATGCGGCACCACGAAACCCACCTGTCAACGACTTACACCCGCCCGTTGTCAGCAGCAAGCTCCCTCACAAGGAGGCTCACAAGTGGATGCTTCAACCGCCGCCGTCAGCCAAGGTCATGGAGGGCAAGGTGCCCGTCAGCAGAGCCATGAGCTCGAGCAGCAGGACGAGCGGGAGAACTGTTGCGGGAGGAGAGGAGAAATTGGCTCGCCAACTCCAGGAGAAGCTGGTTAGGGAGAAGATTATGAAGGAGATGCCCACTGAAACCGAGCTCATCGACTCATTGTTCGTTACCCGAACTCGGAGTACCCGGTCCGACATGACGCGGACCCGCAGCCTGTCCTTTGACGGCTCTGACGAGGCCTTGGACGGCAGCAACAATTCTTTCGAGAGGCGCAGGCGAAGTAACCGCCTAAGGGCCTTGGCTACCCCTCCCGGATATGAAGAATCTGAGGATGAGTACGAAGATATTTTCGCATCACGAATTACAAAGAGCAACAGCCACTCAAGCCAGACTGGGCACGCGGCACAGCGCCCAAAGCTCGAAACCATCAACAGCAGTGAAGGCAGCAACGGCCGTTCGCGATCCAAGAGGTCAAGACGGCAAAAGTCTACCAGGTCTAAGAAGACTCTGTCTGGAGCAGGGTCGCCTGTTGGTGATGACTCTGATTAAAGACGCACGCACATGAAGCGTTCTTGTATTAAAGCAAAGACAATGTTGCCGCACACGTCGGCGTCATGATTGCTTTCTCTTTTTTGCTTTTGCTTTGTCTGTCACTTTGAACATTTCTTTTTCCTATCGGCTTTTTTTCTCTATCGTCATTTTTTCGTTTCTGTTCAAGCATAGCACAAACACGGGCGCTGGGGGAGGCTTGCTTTGGGTAGCCTTTGGGTTGGTTCTGCCTTTTTTATCCGGTGCATGTTTAAAAGGCATGGCGTATTGGCTTCGATTTTTTGGTGTACTTGTAGCAAAGACAAAAGAGAGCTGGAGGGCAAGAAGTATAGCCTAGAGGTTCAGTGCTAGCTTTGCACAAAACAAAACAAACATTGGATTCTTTTTTCCACACGCACGCCTTTGTTTTCCGTGTCTACTTCCACTGGAAGCTTCTTCTGCTCATGGTCTCGTCACCACTGAGTCTACTGTTCCGTGATGATTTCTGTGAAACTGATATTTTTGCCTAAAAGGGGGGTATATCGTCGGAGATGGGTGTCCATCAACCCAATAAGGATCCCAAAACGCCAACCATGTAGTCCATCGCTGTTCCTTTCTTTTGCCTGCCTTTCCGTGCCATGTTATACATTAATCATAGGTGCAAACCATCCTCCTCAGTGTCAGCGTGGCCATCTTGCCTCTCTTCCCCTTGAGTCGTTGATTGCGTCTCGCCTTGGGCTGCTGATGTGGTCTGCCCTGCCGGTTGGCTATCGAATCGCACTTGGCCGTTGGATATCGTGCTAGTCTGGAACGTGCCGTCTGTCCACGCCGAATGCCTCGTCTCCGCCGGTTGGTCGGCAACTTGGCCGTTCGTCAAAGGTTCACCCGCGTTGGCCTCACCCCCCTCAGCATTTGTGCTTGCCTCGACCTCGTCCTGGCTCTGAAACTCGGTCCAGCTGACGCCGCGCCCCTCAACCTCTACGCGAACAATGGCCAGACGCTCGGCCATGCGATCGATGACGACCTCGTTCTCCTTGATGGCGTCGATGCAGTCCTGGTCGGGGGCCGCGGCGGGCTCGCCCAGCGCGGCGGAGGTGCCGTCTGCGAAGGGCTTGAGCTGGTCGTTTGAGTACTGGAGGTGGGCGATGGAGTTGCGGATTTCGAGGACCTTGAGGTGAAGCATGCCGAGGGAGAGGTCTTTGATTGCGGAGGCGAAGCGCGCGGGGGATATGGGCGTGGTGTCTGCGGACATGATGGAGATGGAATAGTTGCCTTGGAGATGAGATTGAAGTCGAGGGTGATTTGTGAGTTTATTTATTTGAGTAGGGGATTAGAATGTCGCAAGTCGAAGCTGAGAGCTGTCATGGAGAGAGTAAAGTTGAGGTTATCATGGAGGGGCTGCCATATCAGTAGAGACGTCAATTACAGTGGGGGGATTCAAACAGCTACAGGCACTGACACTACTCCGTAATCAGCTTCCAGCTCCTTCTAGACCACATGCACCCCACAATGACAGCACTGCAAGATGATGTGGGCTCTGTTCTTCTTGAGCTGTTGCTCTATCAATCCGCAGTTGCACTTTGGTGTTTATTAACAGAAAATAGGTTCATGTTTTATGGAGTCAATCCAAGTTGTCATTTTAATATATCTGCAAAGGAAAACGAAAAACAAAAAACAAAAGGAAGTTCTAACTAATCAAATCTAATTTACATGTTATAACACAGTTTTGGTAGTGGCACCCCAAAATACAATCTTGACTAAAAGAAAAACTCATCACCGTCTACACCAACACAGCGACACCTTGAGTGTTCTTGCTCGCGCCCAGCCCCTTCAATTGGAAATGCTGAATCTGCTTCTTGCTCCTCGCATCCATGACAGTCACAGCTGGCAGAGTAGTTCCGTTGCCAGGGCTCAAGGCGTAAACGAAGCTGCCAGCAGCTCGGAGATCAATCAAGCCTGGGTCGCCGTTGGCACTGAGATCCGTGACGGACTTGATGCTGGCATCGGTCAAAGACACCTCCACGATGCGGTCAAGGCCAACGTCTGTGACAAATGCAGTGTTTGTGTCGGGAGAAATGGCTACCCAGCATGTAGCTTTCTGGCCCTCGATGGTGGCCTTGTTCTTGACACTTGCGGCACCGGTTTCGGCGTCAACAGACAGAATAGCTGCTCCAAACGCCGCGTCGGTCACGAAAAGATCTGTGGATCCCTGGATAGGGGATGAACCGAACACAACGATGGTGCCATCCACCGAAGTCAACTTGCCTTCCTCGCTGACAGAGGCAGTGTCACGAGCATCACAGGGCTGGTCCACGGGGAAGACGCCCAAGACTCCCGCAGTGTTCGTTGCAGGGTTGCCCTTGACGGTGGCGAACAGAGTCTCTTCATCTCCAGAGAAGAAGACCTGGGAAATGGTGCTGGGAGGTCCAACAGGCGGCGTAGTTTGGTTCAAGCCAACCGGGCGGAGCTGGTCCATCTTGCCAATTCCGCGTGCAGAGAAGGATGCGCAAGAGATGCCGGACTTTGCACCAGTTGATCCGACGCAAACCAGCTGGTTCTTTGCCGATGCCGCAACAGTGTTGGGAAATTCACCGGGGACAGGGATTGGCTTCCCGAGCATGGTGAGCTTCGTTGGATGCTGCGGATCAATTGCAAACATGGTAACCGTATTAGATCCGGCATTGACAGCAAACAAGAACTACACAGAATAAAGAATTAGCCAAAGTTACTTGGTGGTGGCGGCAAATGATTCCGCTTCAATGGGAGTTGACTTACGTTGCCAGCTACAGTCAAAGCCGCCTGAGAAACCAGAGCATCAGGACTAGCAGGCTCCTTCTTGTTGCCATTTACAACCAAGACATTGGAACCCGCACCTCCTGTTGGAGTGCTTGTACCCTGGGAAAGCAACCCGTTGCTGTTGATGGGCAAAGCAATCACACTGTTCTGCGCCCCGTTGCTGATGGTGTAGATTGCCTTGCCAGGCTTGGGTGGCGGAGGGCAAGATGACGGCCGGGCTGACACTTCAGGCACCAAATTTGCCAGTCCGAGTAAAAGCAGGGATGTCCACGTGGAAGAATGCATTGTGAAGTCTGATTTGTCAAGGTGGTCAGAGCGAGTAGTTGATAACTGTGTTGATGGTGGCAATAGTTGAGCAGTTGTCACAGACAATCTGCCAATGAGTTGTTGCTGTTGATTGAATTGTTTTGAAGATGAGCGAAGTGATAGAGAATTGGATGATTAAACGGGCCTCATCGCTTCTACTTATACATGTCTTCTCACGATGCCTCCTACTAATCAAACCCTAATTCCTCGACGGTTGCCGTGTTTCCGATCAATTGTTGAGGTGCAAAGCAATTTCTTGTCTCATTTTACCAGTAGTGCGCTGTTTTCGGAACTCGCAAACGACTATTAACCTTTAGAAACCGAATCTTGCTCAGAAATGAACTCCTCATGAGGAATCTTTTTGCATCTCATAAGAGCTTTCAGAACCGCGATAATCAGAATTTCCTATTTGGGAATAACACGAACGGGGGGACGGGGTAATAAGGATTCGGCGATGAGGCACAGGAGGGGCTTTGGAACCAAGTTAGGAGAACTAGTATTGCCTAATTGGGAAACGGCTAATGTGCAAAGGCACTGAACCTGCGACAAGGAGGATGAAGTATGATACACAAGAGCGTGTATGTGTACATGTATTTGAAACCAAACGGTTGTAAGGGAAGTGACCTGGTGGTGATCCATAGCCCTGGAATTGAAGGAGCATAGATACCTTCTAGATAGCCAATTCAAGCTTAAACCGCACCAATTGCTACTTTAATTTGTTGGAAAAAACAAACAGTCAAACAGAACAAGGCCTTGTCACCTATTGGCCCCTTTCCCGTGTGCACCACAGTTGTTTCACCACACTAATCCAAGCGTGCTGATTAAGGGCAGGCCATGATGGATGCCAACAGTACGGATCATTGCTTAGCCTATTTCGGAAATAGATTCCCCTGATGTCACTGGGAATCTTCACAGCGACAAGGTCCAGACTTTTCCGCATCTCAGCTTCTCACCAGCAAATCAAGTTCGATTACCAACTGCTCCATAATTGGGTTCCTAGCCCTCATACTGTCATGGCCGACAGAATATTCCGCATCTTCAACCCGAGAGGTTGGTCCGACCCGGCAACTCTCATCAGCCCATCTGACTAATACCACATGCGAGTTCCGTGTTGCTGACCCTGGAGCATCAGAACCAAAGGGTGATCCCATTGAGAAAAGACGCGCCCAGCTACGACGTGCCCAACAGTGAGTGCTTGCCCCTGTTTTCCGACGTCGCTAACTGTTCAACGACAGATCGTATCGGGATCGGAAAGACAAGTACACCAAGGCTCTTGAGGCTGAACTAGCACGGTCTCGGAAGAGTGAAGCGGGCTTGACATCCGAGCTTGAGCGGCTTCGTGGGAAACTCCAGATACTGACCAATCTCTTATCTCAAAATGGCATTTCACTTCCTTTAGAGTTTAGTAACGAGGACATATATCATGGTGATACCTCGCACAGTGCTGCATCCCAGCTCACAACGCGTGGACAACCGCGAAAGGCTGATGGACGCCCATCAAATACACAGTCAGCATTTACAGGGACGATGACGACAAACCAAGGCAGTATTCTAAATAGCGAAAATCGTAACCTACGACAGTACGGTTCAAGTTACTTTACTCGAGATAATGAGCCACAAGTTCCACGACCGAGGACCGCGACTGCAACAACTCTAGCTGCACCAAGAGAATCGACTCGCCTTTCTGAACTTGATGCCACTATGGTCGGAATGGAGTTTGTCCTCACGTATGTTTCCAATAACTCACAGGCCGATGAGGAAGATACTAACTAAAAGGGTATGAAGGCTAGAAAGGCCTTGTCTAAATCATATACACGGAAATCCCAAAAAGCCCTTAGAGCCGCACGGCCATGCTTTGACCACTACAGTTCAGCTACAGGCTTCCTTGTCTCTTCCTCCTATCGATCCAAAGAATCCTGTACCGCCGTCATACCACAATGCTCCGGCAGCTGTGCTCGATCGCTTATTGAACCTTGCTCCAAGTGTATCAGCAGACGGCGACGTGACACCGATACAAGCATGGCATTACATTCGTCGCCAACCACATTTTGGAGGCTTCGATATGCAAAGCCTCAACAAGTTGGCAGAGAGGCTACGAGAGGCAGCGAAATGTCACGGGTGAGTTGAGAACATGAAGGCGTCTCCTGAGAGACCATAAGTAGCTAACAACTGTGGTTGCATGTAGATTCGGTGCTGCGGTTCAGACGGGCGTCTTTGAATCAGCTGTACGGGAAATCCTCCACCCCGTGGCAGTGTTAGTAGGCTGACACAGACCTATTAAACGATCTAATATTTTTTTCTGTATTTGAGAAGCATTGTCTGAAAAATCCCATAGATGGGCCATTGGTAACATTGAATATACGGGGAGTGATTCCGCCAAAACGCAGCAACATGACTATGTACATATAACTATCAAAATAAGAGCAGATTTTTTCTTTCTTTTTTAAACTTTGTATTTGGGGCCAAGCGAGAGGAATTTTCAGTACATGAATTACGAGATTATTTTACTTAATCCGCTGTGCAAAGTGCATGATGTGCGTGGATTCGAGGCAAATGTCCTGTGATGCTACATTGCCGTGTGATGACTAAGCAACACACCCATATTTTCCTTCAACGCGTCTCATTGATTCTCAGCCGCGTCTGGTTTCGATACTTCATTCCGGCGGGGCAGCCAAGCTCACTATCATGTATCCTGTCACTGTCACTGACCACATCTCGGGCTTGTGATTGCAGTCATGTAGGGCGATGCTACCTGATTTATATATATTTTTCTATTGAAGGTCCACAGCGATTCTCCTCACTACTTGGCAATGGCCCGATTCTCAGTTCCAACCAAGGCCAGGCTGCCTTCCTCATTGCGCGTTGATTCTTCAAACCCAGCCGTCATAAAGAGCCTGGGCCGACTATCTCGTGAAGCACTCATTTCCTTGGCCATCAGCTGGCTTGATGGAGATACCATAGCCAACGCAGTGCCGTACCTGGAGCGAAGGGATGACGAAGATGAAGTTGATCCAGATGATATTTACCCCCCGTGTGGATCAGTCCAGGAGCTCTATGAGCTTTATGTGGACATGCAGCAGCAAAAGGGGTCGAAACGCGATGTAGCCAACCGCATACTGGAAGGAGATTGGAGACACGGGCTATCACTGTACCAGCTTGCCATGGTCGACTTTTACTATCTGGAGGAGCATCCGATGTCGCAGAAATGGACGGCTTATAAGATACTCCCGCTAAAAACTCCAACCAAAGATGCCGACGATGAAATCCTTCAAGTGGACGACAAGGCGCTGAATGTCCCCCGTTTTCACCCTTCAACGTTTCTCCAGAGCCTTCAGGACCAAGTCCTGCCGGATATTAAGGCTCATTATCATTTTCATCGACCAAAAGATCTTTCAGTTCTGCTGCTACGCATATTCGTCATTGAATCTCCCTACAACAGCAGTCTGGCCCTGTCCAGTGTTACCGGAAGTGGGAGCTCCACCAATTTCACATCATCTCGGACGGTATACCTGGCATTCCCGGATGGCTCCTCTCATATCTATATCACCAAATCTCAAGCCAACGGCCCATCTGCCATGGGTGAATCGAAAAGCCTCCAAAATCTGATTATTCATGGTGTCCCAAAGGCATTATCTAGGCCAAGAGAACGATATACCCTAAAGCCAACAAGCCTTACGAGCAGAAACTTGGAGACTCTCCTAGACAAAAGGGGACCTGGGCGGGGAAATGCGGCAGGAGGTGGTTGGAGCATTTATGCCTCTGAGAAGAACAAAAAATCACCCCTCGATGCCATTCTTCCTAGCCCTCCGCTTTCAAGAGACTCCTCCCTCTCTGACCAGAATCGCAAGAGAGTAATACCGCTGAATTCGGATCAGCGATCTGCTAAACGAGCTAAGCTGGTTGCTCAAGCGCGGTTTGGCGACTCTGGCCTCATAGCTGATGGAAAAGGGATTGAAAGGGTTGACGTTTTGCTCAAAGATCCATTTCCGACACCTGCTGCTGCGGAGAACCAAGGATTGGAAGAAGAGCAGGCGAATGCCCCCAACGAGGCTTCAGTTTCAGCTCGACGCAGGACGATTGACGCAGTGCTTCGTCAAGCTGCCGATGGCGACGATGAAGAATCGAATGAGCCTGGAAATCCTTCACAGTGGCAACCGACAGTGCAAATCACGTTCCAAGGGAATCACGTCTTTGCTGGCATCCGACAGCTTGTTGAAGCCGGCATTGTGGATGGCGAGCGCATGCCCGGTTGGATGACGGGTGAGGATGGCGTTACTATAGGCGTTGTAAAGCATGGACGGATACGGGGCAACAAGGGATCGGGGCTGTGATGAAGTGTCCGGCATTATTGATTTTTTTGGATATACTGTATACTGTTCTTTCTATGCGCTTGATACCCTTACGATGAACCATAACGACTCTAATTTGCCTCGCCGAGGCCAAACACACTCACAGTGTTTCTCCATGATGCCTCGCAAAGTTCTTCTATGCTCACGCCTTTGACGGCAGCGACGATTTTGGCGACCCGCTCAATAGTGCACGGTTCGTTGCGGCCTTTGATCATGGCTCCTTGTTGCCATTGCTCCTTTTTCACTACTTTGAAGCGATTTGGCACATCAGGCTCCTTCTTCTGGTTCTTCTGTTTCTTCGGCCGCTTTGTCTGCTGCTGTGCGGCTGCATCAGCCGGTTGAGGCTCACCATTCGTCACTGGTTGTTCCGGCTCGGGCTTCTTCTCTATCAGATACTGATATCCAGCATGGCTAGGCCGCACTTCGCACCAGGGGCCGTCTGTTTCGAGCATGATTCTGTCGAGGGTAATCTCCTTCACCATGGTAAGATTTTCTTCCGTTTTGAGACTGCAGCCATTGACACCAATATGTAGGCCTAGATCCATCAGCTCCTTCATCTCCTCTATGGTACCCGTGAAGCTGTGTACCACGCCCCCCTTCTCCAGCCTCTCGAGCTTGTCACCGAATGCCCCTTTCAACAGGTCTACAAAGTCGCGGTGGGCGGCTCTAGAGTGGAGAAATAATGGCAGTTGGGGCTGAAGAGAGGCAGCGACCTTGAGCTGAGCTTCAAAGGAGTGCAGCTGAGCGGCCTTGCTGCAAAAGTTCAACCGGTCGTAATCAAGACCAAACTCCCCCATGGCAACTAGATGATGCTTGCTAGAGGACGTTGCGTCGGCAAGTAGAGTCTCGAGTTGGGCAATCACCTTGGCAGACGTTTCCGAATCGGGTTCACCCCGGTGTTCTGCTGATTCCGAGTCCTCGGGTTCACAAGGGGTCGTATGCTCTTCGTGTCTGCCATGGCCTCCTTTGCAAAATATTGCACTGCTACATGGGTGGATGCCGGCGGTACCAAAGCATGTTCCAGCTACATCCAACTCAGCAATTGATCGCCGCTATGGGAGAAGGGCTTACCAACGAAATTCTTTTGCCAGCTCCAAGGCATCACGAGCGCTGGTGAAATCAGATCCCGTCACAATGAGCTTAGTGCAGCCCACTTCCTTGGCTCTGTCGATGACATCTTTGAGATCATCTGGATGTCGCTGAACCCCATGGTGTTTACCCCTGAAGATGGGATCGGCCAGATTGATTCCTATCTTTACCAGCTACGTATCAGCAATCCGGGAAAGTCATCGTGAAGAGGTGTCTATAGGGGGAAATACATCGATATATCTAGGTTTATAGGGCTCTGGTGCCGGCTCAGAGTTGGGCTGCGGGGCACTCATTGTGGAAAACACCGAGAAACGAGAGATGGCAGCAGTGTAACGGCGTGGTAGATGATGACGGACTCTCCCCAGAATCATAGACATATATACAAAACACTCGTGTATAGGAAGCAGTATCAACTCTCGTCCCGCTTCCTACTGCAGAAGTGGTCGAGGCATTGGCAAAATGGCATCTCGAAAGCTGCTTAGTAATTTCCAAAAGAACATTTAAACCACCACCTAAAAGCACGTGACTCCGCGACAGCTCCGAGAAACTCGATGACCAAGACACGCGCCCAGGATTCGCGTATCCACCAAAACAGAAGATGCTTGGCTGTAACTCAGGATGGATGATTAATTATTTGCGATCAGAAGCTTAGCAATTGTTGTGAGGCCCGATCAGGCTTAAGGAGGACAAATGAGGCAGTGATTGTTGGGTCTCTCGGAGCCGTTCTCGCCCTTGACTGGCCACTTCACTGGAATGGTTGCTTGCGCGGGGCATCTTTTTTTTTTTAATGAGTTTCAAAGCGTGCCACCAGTATTTTCCACGCTAACAGCTGGCGTGGCGCGTGCTGGAGACGCGCCTCAGAATAAAACCGTCTCCCGCCATCTGGAGGGCACACATAACTCTTCTCTTCTCAAACCAAGCACAAGCATCACAAGGCCTCGATTCATCTCGAACGCCCTCAAAGCTCTGCCCGACTGCCCGAGTGTCTTGATTGATACTTGCAAGCGTCTGAGAGCCGTGAAGCATCACCTACATCATCTATTCTGCCCCGCCGTCTTCTCTTGTTCCGCCATCCCACGCCGCCACCATGTATGTGAGGAAGCGTGGTATGTATCCCACTTTTTGATTTAGATTAAGCATTTTCAGTCCTTCTAATCCATGGATAGACGGTCGTCAGGAGCGTGTTCAGTTCGACAAGATCACGGCTCGTGTCTCTCGGCTGTGTTACGGCCTGGACACTGACCATGTCGACCCCGTAGCCATTACCCAGAAGGTCATTTCTGGTGTCTATGGAGGTGTCACAACAGTGCAGCTTGACGATCTTGTAAGTCAGCTATATCTTGTAATGCCAATCTGCAGCTGTTAACATGTAAACCAGGCTGCCGAGACTGCCGCCTACATGACTGTTACCCACCCCGACTATGCCATCCTCGCCGCCCGCATCGCCGTCTCCAACCTCCACAAACAAACCAAGAAGCAGTGGTCAGCTGTTGTCAGTGATCTATACCACTATGTAAACCCAAAGAACAGCAGGGCCTCACCCATGATCTCTAAAGACACATATGAGTGCGTCATGCGGCATAAAGAGGAGCTCGACTCTGCCATAGTGTATGATCGAGACTTCAACTACCAATACTTCGGCTTCAAGACTCTGGAGCGGTCATACCTCCTGAAGCTTGATGGCAAGATTGTTGAGCGACCACAGCACATGATTATGCGAGTGGCTGTTGGCATCTGGGGAGACGACATTGAGCGTGTCCTGGAGACATACCACCTCATGTCGAGCAAGTTCTTCACCCATGCCTCCCCCACCCTCTTCAACGCTGGTACCCCGCAGGCCCAGCTGTCTTCATGCTTCTTGGTTGACATGAAGGACGATAGCATTGAGGGTATCTATGACACTCTGAAGACGTGTGCCATGATTTCCAAGATGGCTGGTGGCATCGGCTTGAACGTCCACCGCATCCGTGCCACCGGCTCTTACATTGCAGGCACCAACGGTACTTCCAACGGTATCATTCCCATGCTTCGAGTCTTCAACAACACTGCCAGATACGTCGACCAGGGTGGCAACAAGCGTCCTGGTGCCTTTGCCATCTACCTGGAGCCATGGCACGCTGATGTCTTTGAGTTCCTTGATCTCCGCAAGAACCACGGTAAGGAGGAGGTCCGTGCTCGCGACTTGTTCCTTGCTCTCTGGATTCCCGATCTCTTCATGAAGCGTGTTGAGAAGAACTTGGACTGGACGCTCATGTGCCCCAACGAGTGCCCTGGCCTTGCTGACTGCTATGGCGAGGAGTTCGAGGCTTTGTATGAGAAGTACGAGAAGGAGGGACGTGGTCGCAAGACTATCCGCGCTCAGAAGCTGTGGTATTCCATCCTGGAAGCCCAGACCGAGACTGGCAACCCCTTCATGCTCTACAAGGACCACTGCAACCGCAAGAGCAACCAGAAGAACCTGGGTACCATCCGCAGCTCTAACCTCTGCACTGAGATTATTGAGTACTGTGCCCCTGATGAGGTTGCTGTCTGCAACTTGGCCTCTTTGGCCCTCCCTGCCTATGTCGACTACAACGAAGGGTGCTATGACTTTAAGAAGCTTCACGAAGTCACCAAGGTGGTTGTCCGTAACCTGAACAAGATTATTGATGTGAACCACTACCCTGTCCAGGAGGCCCGTAACAGCAACATGCGTCACAGACCTATCGGTGTTGGTGTCCAGGGTCTTGCTGATGCTTTCCTTGCCCTGCGCATGCCTTTTGAGTCTCCTGAGGCTCGCGAGCTGAACAAGCAGATCTTTGAGACAATCTACCACGCTGCCCTTGAGGCTTCTATGGAGATTGCCAAGGTCGAGGGCCCCTATCAATCATTCAAGGGATCACCTGCATCTGAGGGCATCCTTCAATTCGACATGTGGGATGTCAAGCCCTCCGACCTGTGGGAGTGGGACTCTCTCAAGGAACAGATCAAGGAGCACGGTGTGCGCAACAGCTTGCTCGTCGCCCCTATGCCAACTGCCAGCACTTCCCAGATCCTGGGCAACAATGAGTGCTTCGAGCCCTACACCTCCAACATCTACCAGCGCCGTGTCCTTGCCGGCGAGTTCCAGGTTGTCAACCCTTGGCTTCTCAAGGACCTGGTCGACACTGGCCTCTGGTCCGATGCCATGAAGAACCGTATCATTGCTGAGAACGGCTCCATTCAGAACATCCCCAACATCCCCGAGGATATCAAGGCCTTGTACAAGACCGTCTGGGAGATTTCTCAGCGCCAAATTGTCCAGATGGCGGCCGACCGTGGTGCTTTCATTGACCAGTCCCAGTCCCTGAACATCCACATGAAGGACCCCACAATGGGCAAGATTACCAGCATGCACTTCACTGGCTGGAAGCTTGGTCTCAAGACCGGCATGTACTACCTTCGTACCCAGGCCGCAGCTGCGCCCATCCAGTTCACCGTTGATCAGGAAGCCCTCAAGGTTGCTGATACCGCCGTCAGCAAGGACCGTGTCCTGAAGAAGCGAGCTCCTCCCCCAGGATCTTCCTACATGATGTCCTCCCCCTCCGCCGTCCCCCGCCCTAGCAGTGCGAAGAGGGAAGGAGACTCTGGCAACTCGTTGAGCTCCAACGGTGTTCCTACCCCCACCACCACACCTCCCCCCGCCGTGAGCAGGCCTCTGGCATCTCCTCACAAAGCCCCTCCTATGAAGGCCGACGTTGATGAGGGAGACAGCCCCAAGGTTCTTCCCACTGAGCCCTCCGACAATGTCAAGGAAGAGGAGCTGAGCAAGAAGCCTAACCAAACCGAAGACAAGGACGAGGATAGCGAGGAGCGGGAAAGGGACATTTACTCGGACGCTGTTCTAGCCTGTAAGTTACACTGACTTCATCGGAACAAACAATTCAACGTGATACTAACTACTCTTCTAGGCAGCATTGAAAACCCCGAGGCTTGCGTTATGTGCAGTGGCTAAAGGAGTTTGAAGCAGATGGCTGTGAGAGGTGGTTGGTGAGATGAGCGCGACGGAAGAGTTTAATAAAGCATAAAAATAAACAGGCAACGGAAATGGGGATTCTATAAATGATTTAGGGTTTGTTCATGATGGGCGTCGGGTCAAAGGATCTGATCGTCCTACACTGGTTTAATGCGTTTGGACTATGTATATTTTTGTTACGTTGACTACATGTCGTTTACATGAGTATGAATGTTGCGTGCGTTGAGTTGTGGCTGTTAATAGCATAGATGCACGAATATTAAGATGAAGTAATGATATATTCTCGTGGTCGAAGTGATGATGTCAAGTTGGAGCCTGCTGCTCATACTAGGAGGTTGTAATATATGGTATTTGGCTCGAGTAGACATGGATTATATTGAAAAGATGGCATATTCTATTTTCTAAACAATGTTCCTCTTGAAACATATACACGTACAGTCAGTCAAACTCAAGCTTTGCTGTCTAAACTGATACTGCCACTCAATGATCTTACCCCCAGATGACTTCGTTTGTCGAACCAAAACTCTGGATGAGTTACTGTCAGGAGAACCGACATGATAATCATGGGAATGGAATCCAAGGCGATGAAGATGCCTTCTTTGTCTGATAGCGGGCCGTTGAAACCTCCATTCAACTCAGCCACACGCCAGCATGAGCGTATGAAAAGACAAATGGCGGATGTTGCTGCGCCTGTTGTGAATCATAGGAGAGGTAGTTAGACAACAGTAACCAAAAAAAAGAGGGGGAGGGGGGACCGCTTACAATATATGTAGGTGAGCTTATTATCCTTTGCAAGATGATATTGTATCTTTCTGCACACCAATGCAAGGGTTATGCAGAAGATGGCTGTAAATAGCACTTGGGTGGCGAGGCCTGCAATCATAAGATCGACTCCAATCGGATTGTCGGCGTAGATTGCCGCGAGTGAACCTCCACACCCAATAAAACAAAGACATATAAAATCCCCAAGAATGAACAAGGTGGCAAAGAGCTTAGGACTAATCCGCCTAAACTGGGCTGCCTCATAGTGTCTTTGCAGGGCGCTGATGCCGAGATATAGCGACGAGGAAAGAAAGGTAGGGCCTAGAGTGAGACCGATGATGTACCTATAGCAGCCCTTGTTAGCGAGTGACACAATGAAGTGGAGAGGCGAGAGATAGTTTGGGATAGGCTACATTATGTATCCGTTCTTGTTTGTCCGGCTATGGGAGAGTTGGACTTTGGCAACGTAGCCCAGGAGCTCTAATAGGAGGCCGCCCAGCATGCCGATGGCATAGCCGTAGTAGCGCCAGAATCGAACGGTTAAGACGAGTTGTATGATGAGCAGGATTGTGAATACAGTGACGAATATGGCATTTGGCGCAAGCATCGGCGTAAAAGACAGAGCGCCGATGCCGTTTGGGGGGATATGGCTGGTGCCATTTGTTGTACTAGAATTCATGTTTAATGAATGTTCTGAACAACTCAACTCAACAAGAGAATTGGGAAAAGAAAAGGAAAAGGAAAAGTAAAGGTAAAACGACTGAAAATGGATAATAATGAAAATGAAGAGATAATCCCACTGCACAATTCGATTTTTTGAATGCTGCTCGAAGCACTTAAAAGACGCCCGTCGCCCACGTCCTCCCGCAAAACCGCCGCCAAATCTCCGCCATATCGCCGCTCAATTCCCGCTAGTCGCCGTCAAAGTCTCAATCCTCCAGTCTATTTCAACGGCAGCTTGTGCCCTTTTCCCAATCACTAAATCCCCGTCCCGTCCCTCAGGCGTATACCGCCCTTCTCACACCGAAATCCTTTGCGCGGAGATTTTTATTTTGCCGCAATGCGGCTGAAGCGTGGAGTGGAGCGGGCATCCTGCGACTTCTGTCATCGCCGCAAGATCAAGTGCGATCGGCCTTTACGGGAATCGCAGGGCCACGATTCTTGTTCGCCGTGTTCCTTGCGAGGGATCCAGTGTCTTCTTGATGATTCTGATGATGTTCGGCTTCGTAGGCGGCGAAGAGCAGTTGCTCAAGATGAGGAGCGGCCGGATCAGAGACCATCGTTGTTGGCGACAAGTCCCGCTGATGCAATTGTCGAAAGCTTCCATCATCCAAGCGCCGATGTCTCTATATTCGATAAAGAAATGGCACCAGTGCAGTCGGGGGGCCTACAACAGTTGTTGCCGTCTTATTTTCCGCCAAATATAGATGATGGTATCTCATCATCATTGGATCAGTCGCCGGACTTCTCATTCATTGATACCCCTTTTGAACTCAGTCCAGAGAGCATCTTATTCCTGGACCAAATCTTTATGGGTGGTTATGAAGCACCACTAGATTACCTTTTACCACAAACCATGACGGATGTTGATATCCAAAGTGAGCCGGTTAGAGAAGCTCCAACATTTAGTACTTCTCAAAAACTCTGGCTAGATTGCGGTCTTGACGAGGCGACATTCCATGCATCATTACACGCTTACTTTGATTTTGCTGCGGTTCACCTTCCCGTTCTCATAGAGGATGCTTTTTGGCAAGATTACCGAGCTGGGAGATGTAGCCTTGCCCTCGTTTATGCTATTGCCTGCCGAGGTATATCTTTCTCAAGTCCTTTGAAGAATTGGGACACGCAGCAACTTCTGGCGCTGAAGTTCAGAGAAAAGTTCTTGGAGGCCCAGCAAGTTTCAACCGGCAAGTCGGTCATGCGCCTTGATGATCTTGAAGCACTCGCTATCATGGTCAACTGGAGATACGACGAATCACAAAGTTCGTCTTTACACTCACAGCTGGGAAGACTCTTCCTGACACACGAAGCTCTCGTCCTAGCCACACTTCAATCCCAGATGCAAGATTGCGATGAAGCAGAGCACTCAAGCACGACGGTACCTCTTGCGCGTTCAGAAGAGCGCCGCAAGCTTCTATTTTGGCACGTTTATGGCCTTGACGCTTTCCATAGCTTGGATCAGAAGACCATATCACGAATCCCAGACGGAAAGAATAGCGAAATTTCACCAAAGCTGCCACGGCTTGACGCTGGGAGCTATCTTGACGCCGTTCTCAGCTTAGCCATTGTTGCGAGAGAGATTTTGCAAGCTTTGGTGACAGTCAACACAAAACGCAATGGCGTTAAATGTGGCGACTTGGTGAATATGTACGATAGGCTCAGTCTTTGGCAGAAACACGACTGCCCAGCTCACCTTCGCCGGAAGAGAGATGCTGATGGCAAATTGATACCTTTGACTATCAATGAGTCAAGCAAGACTGGATTTCTCAAGCCATTGCACTGCTCTATCCTTTGGCTCCTAGAAATCAACTGTTATTTGCAGATTGAAGATTGTGTTTCTCAGTACGGTGTGCAAAATGGAGCTCTTTTGGAAGGGGGGATGATGGCTCTCCGCGTTGAGTTCGAGTCCCTTCGTGCGGCTCATGACGGAGTGGAGATAGTTCGATGGATGAAGCAATATTCAGCTACAACCACCCGTGGCGGCATCACCCAGAGCCATTCTCTAACAGATCTTGCACCATCAATCGCACGCGACATTTGTGCTGGTTTATGCTTTTGGACATGTGGGCGCGGCCAAAAAGTGCTCCGCCATGGTCCCCCAAGTCTTACCAATATTCGCCCAAGAAATCGACAACAGGAAGCAAAAAACGAGGGGGACCAAAGGAACCAAGATGCCAGCGATTACAAAGAAGCTTTCAAGGAATTTCGCAGTGCTGTGGCTACAGCAACATCGCACAGGGACACGGAATATGTGCTGGAGCGGCTCGACAGGCAGATTGTCTCGTTTGAGGAAGCTGTGGCACAGTAATTCTTGGATCGAAACTGGATAGTGTCGACGAGATGCTTGAATACCGCTGTTTCACTGTAGCCAGCCTTGGAGAATTTTGGACCAAAGGATTTAATCCTTGGTGTTCAATGAAAGACCAGCAATGCTGCATGTGCATCAGACATGACGTAGACCCAGCTGTCCAACTGAGTCAATGACAACAGAAGCCAGCGGCCAAACGACATGATGAGGTCAGTCGCATGATGGTTCAGGATCCATGAGGCCAAACAAGAACTAAAGGCCCGAGCACGAGGCTTGTGCATGTTGCCGTTAAGCAGTCCTGGTATGATATTACATTCAGTTCCCTTTCCATGGCAACTAGCCACTAGGCAAAACGCGTGGCCTCGAGCCACACACCCAGGTCTTGGACATATCATGGACATTGGCGAATCATCGGGACGTCAGCTAGGGTTACTCCAGCACGCCGATCTTGATTGCCCGGTTCGCAAGTTCGATGATGTTGAAGCGGGGCCTGGTTAGCCTTTTTGGTTCGCTATTGTTGTTAGTGGAGGTTGCTGGCAGTTTTGTATTGGACCAGATGAAATTCAAATGAGACATGGGGACGCTCTTCCGTGCGGTGTGCGAGCAACGCCAATTGCACTTTGTACTTATGGATCTTTGTTGGAGGATCCGGGTAGCTGCTTGAAAGCCATGAAATGCATCGTATTTCCGAAACGTTTGTTAATATTCTGTCTTGGGAAAAGAAACATGAGCTCAAAAAAGATGGAAGATGTAAAGTTGGCGGGAGGCTGCGAGAGAGAGAGGGCATCAAATCCATCCATCCAGCCATCTTCGGCACCGCCACCTTGGCAGCCACATATCGGCTTTAGCGTCTTAGCGCAGTGCGGGAGGCGGCGAGGGAGCTAAAGCGCACCGCTAGAGTGCCTAGCTAGAGATGAAGTTAGTGCCCAACGGTCGAGCTATTAGTGAATCTCCCTTGAAGAGCTGAAAAGCGCAGCGCCTAAGTGATAGCGGCCCCCCATATCTGAGTATGGATCGATGTGTCATCCTCAGCTCTGCCGGGGTCTGTAAGTGGAGGGCCTGCCAAAGAACCATATCCAGCAGCTACTGCTTTGTCTCCATCAAGATGCTCAAGTCACTCCAGCAGCTCTTCCTTTTGCAAACACGAAGCCGTGCTGCCTTTACAGCTCCAGCTAGCAATGCAAGGGACTGGAGTGCTAGGCGACGCAATGCGGATGCTAACAGCACCAGTTCCGACTCAACAAAGCGCGTTGGCCGTTCATCTACTCTGCCGTGACATCCTCCAATCCAGATCCAACCAAGTGTTGTCTCACTCTACAACTTCCCTAGAGTCATGTGTCACCCGAAATGTCGTACTTCCATAGGTACTTCGCACCCACGGAGTATGGGTACACATCACCATATACCTACTACCCAGTAGGTACTCGTAGCGCCTGGTTGCAGCACCACGATCGTGCATCTGTAATTTCAGAAAGAGGGCGTCACACAGACCTCGTCGCTCCACCCACCCCCTGCCATCCAGATCGCAGCTTCTCTTTCAAATGACGTTGATCAACCAGATCTGCCAGCTGGCGTGGGGCCAGAGCGTCAGTTGCCGGCAGGCACAGCCGGCAAGGTACATGGGGAAAGGCAGCAAGAAAGCGTGAAGCGAGGTACCACTGGATGGCGGTTGTTGCTCCTTCCTCACTTCATAAACGCTCTAGACCCTCCTTCTCCTGCCCAGTGCCTGGCAGGTGACCGCAACTCTTCTTCTCTCTCCTTCTCCAGCATTCTCCCTCTTCACCTCTCGTCCCCTTGGAGCTCCCAAACTTCTCCTCGTTCATCCTCACGGTTTTCATCCAGCAAATACAAGCGTCAAGCTCTTCAGGCCGCCTCCCTATCGCCACTCGTTGTTTGTGTCGTCTCTCGTTGCGCTTCTGTATCTCCCAGGTTGGTCCGCCTCGCCTACTTTCTCCCCTCGCTCCAAACATTGTCTGCGTATTCCCCTTCTTCCCGTCTTCCTCGCATATGTCCCCAGCCTTCCCGAGCATCTACAACATTGGATTGCTTAGCTGCTTGTTCTGAGGGAACACCATAATCTCTTTACAGTCCACCTTTCTATCCGCTCATCTCCTCGACTGCGTCGTACAGCCCCCTTGTACAGCCTAGCACAAGCATTGGTCGTGGTTTTCTGGCTGCCACAAGCTCGCACCTTCTCCTCTGCAGTGACTGCTCCCCTCTGCATTGAAAAACTACACTCAGGCCCCCATTGTCTGCAGCTTCCCAACTCCTCGATCTGATTTCGCCTTTCATCTTTACAACCTTCAAACTGCCATCTACTTTCTTCACTCTGCAAACATCAGTTCAGACCTTCTTTGTACTGACAGTGATATCCTATCAAGAGAACTCAAGTCGACTTTTTTGACAACATCACCGCCAAGATGAAGTCCGTCGTTATCGCCCTCTGCACCCTGGTTGCAGCCACTGCCGCCCAAGGCTCTCCCAACCTTGCCGCCTGCGGTGTAAGTTTTTGCTGCTATACTTTCTAGCTATGTTGGCTGTTGCTGACCTTCTCTGTAGCAAACTTGCGCTACCAACATGTTGAGCGCCGACAAGGCTGATGAATTGGGCTGCAAACAAAATGACCTGAGGTGTCTCTGTGCCAACAAGAACTTCCTCTACGGCCTCCGAGATTGCTCCGCCGCTATTTGCCCGGCTGAGGATGCCAGAAAGGTCGTCGAGTATGGCATCAGCATATGTGCGGGTGAGTTTCCCCTTCTCAACTACACCCAGAAGCTTTCTCTCACATATTTACAGGAGCTGGTGTTGCGATCCAGACAAGTTCTGGAGGTGGCAGCGGCGGTGCTAGTCACACTGAAAGTGCATCTGGAAGTGCCACTGGCAGTGCTACTGATGGCGAGTCGACGCTTGTCACTGCTGGATCTAGCCCTACCACTGTGAGTTCTCTTCTTGTCACTAATATATACTTTCTTTACTTACTTTTACCCATAGGCAACTGCTGGAAGCAGCACAGATGGTGAACAAGCCTCCGGCAAAGTATCCACAATCTTCACCACTTTCACCTCTGACGGCCAAACCATCACTACTGGTATTGCCACTACCATCTCTGGAAATGTTGGTGGTGGGGGAAGTGTCAGCGTTTCTACTTTCACCGCGACTGTTACCGAATCCGATGGCAGCGTTCACACAACAACTGGCCAGACTACTTTGACTGGGGGATCAGTCACTCTTACCGGTTCCGAGGCTACTGCCACGGGCACTGGCGCACACCATACTGGCAGTGCCATCCTTACGACCGTAACTTCTGGCAGCTCTACCATCGTCAAGACTCTGACCACGGTCCACAGAAGCAGCGAATCTGACACCGCTTCTATCACTGAATCTTCTACGCAGCCTGAATCCAGCTCCGAGTCTAGCACCGAGGGCACAGAAACTAAGACTGGCAGTTCAAGTGCTTCCAGCACATCCACCAGCACAGCTGCCGGTGTAAGTTTTCACTCTATGACTTACCATCCATGTGCTTTCTTTTGACTAATTTGATTGTAGGTTCCTCAGAAGACTGCTGGTCCCGTCGGCATCATTGCTGCTGCCGGCCTCGCCATCCTCATGCTCTAAAAATTTATCTCGATGGCCCCTTTTTTTGATGTTTCGCGTTGCACATGTTTGATATATAATACCCTGTTGTTGTCTCATAATCCTCGACTTACTAAACATCTTTCGCGCTCGGCGTGGGAATTTGGGCCGAGTCTATCTTTCATGACAAAGGAAATAGGAACAAGGTGAATGGACATGAACCGGGAAAGTTTGATGAGGGTTAATGAGTCAAATGGTTTATCATTTTCTTTTTTAATTGGGCCACGAGAGATGCACAAAGGATTTGGTGATTAATTTGTTGGCCATGTGCCAGTGGAGGGCGGAGCGCAAAAACGAGACTCGGGCTCAAGGCGGATTTACTTCAGTTCACATCTTCCTGTCAGACGAGAGAGTCTCAAGACTGCCGTGTACCTGGCAGTATGGATGAATACCCTCTCTGACGTTGTCTAGAGGCACGGGGTTGATTCTCATGCTGTAGTTTGGCAGAAGAATAATAACTAATTTTGGTGCAACTCACAATCTTCTCCATGCCGCAGAGTTTTGAATGATGCTTCCAGCACCGAAGGTTTTGATGACGGCTCACGGGAATGTTGTAGACTATGCTTGAGTCAATGCTGCTGCTACGCAAAGCTCAATGAATCTTCGACGAGCTACAAAACGGCGAGTTATTCATGCAATGGTTACAAAAAAATTATACTAGGTGCTAGAAGAATACACGTATATTCTAATACTATCGTAAATCTAAACTGATATGCCCCATCAGGTATTTTTGCTGCAGAAAGTTGCAGTCCCAGATTACACCCAAAACGCCAAAATGCGTGCAAGAAAAGCAGTCATGATGCAAAATTTGTAGCCAGGAATGGTGGCCGTCAAGCTCTTGGTGTATATCTTAATAGACGCGGTCGCCAATCTTGCTCCTCCAGTTCTTGGCGCGCTCAAAACCGTTTTCATGGCTCTGGAAGTCGGAAAAGGTCTTCATGACTTCTTCCTCGGAGTTGAGGACAAAGGGGCCGTATTGCACAACGGGCTGGTCGAGAGGGGTGCCAGCGATGACGACTGAAGGAGGGAGATGTTAGTAACATGTATATAAAGCGGATTACAGGATGCAGTAAAAAACGTACAGACTCGTGCCTCCTTTGTGGCGCTTGCTTCAGTTGATAGGTGGATGACATCGCCCTCCTGCTTGAAGAAGACGTTGTCATACTGCTCGACCTTCTTGGCTTCGGCTCCCTCGCCGACGACGACGTTTCCGTCGAGGACGTAGGCGAAGGCATTCCATCCCTGAGGGAGAGCCTGAGTGACCTTTGCGCCGGGGCGCAGGAGGAAGTCGAGCAGCCAGACGGGGGTGTAGGCAAGCTCCTTGACGGAGTCGACGCCGTGGCTCTGTCCGGAGATGACCTTGATGGTGGCGCGGCCCTCGTCGACGGTGACGGAGGGGATCTCGGCAGCGCGGAGGTCGCGGTAGCGGGGCTCGCAGTACTTGAGCTCCTTGGGCAGGTCGACCCAGAGCTGGAGGCCGACGTTGGGCCTGCCGTCGTCGTGCTTGCGGGGCATCTCGGCGTGGATGATGCCGCGGCCGGCGGTCATGAACTGCAGGTCGCCCGAGTAGAGGGTTCCGCTGTTGCCTGCGAAGTCTTCATGGTCGACAACTCCGTCGAGGAGGTATGTGATTGTCTCTTGACCACGGTGAGGGCTGATTTAAAAACGAACCAGTCAGTCTCTGATACCAATGGCGAAAAGTAAGTAATAAGAGGAGAGTGAGGCGAGCACTTACTGGTCAGGGAAACCGGCAGTTGTGGAAAAGTGATCGAGCATGAGGAAAGGGCTGAAGTTGCGCTGCGATCGTGTGCCAATTGACCGTCTAACTCGCGCTCCGGCACCTTCGGCCTGTTCGATGGCACGAACGACCTTTGCGATGGTTCGTTGGGCAGACATTTCGGTGACTGTGAGGTGTTGTTCGGGATAGCCCAGGTTTGGAAAGCTGCTGTCTCTGTTTGCTGCCTTTTCGGCTGCTGCTGTCTCGTTCAATGCTGTTTTGCCGATCAAGTCGCTGTAGTGGCTCGAAAGAGAAGATATCGCAAGAGTCGCAAAATCGGATATGCTTTGGCGGTGCTGGTATAAGACTGTAGAAGACAATCCAATGAGAATTGCAAGGATGATCTGAAAGAGCTTCATGTGAGGAAGAGTCGAAGAATTAATGTCTTTATATAACCATCAAGCGCTAAACCGGGGAACCGGGGGGAAGGCTCTGGTATAAAAAGAAATTTCTGGGCGCCCTGTCTTGCTGCATTATCAAGGGATTATATCATCACCAATATCCTCTCAACACGCAGCTTAGAGCTTCGCGCGCGACAATTCTATGGAGGGGCAAGTTAGCAAAGCCGGGCTCCACAATTAGTCACCTTTACATCAGCACCCTGAGCAAAGCAACTCCGGACCCCACCTCGTTTAAGATGCGTAAATAATTAGCAGCTCTTACTCAGCACCCTCTTTGCTTCTTTGTTTCACTCGAGATTTCTACAGCTACAGGCCTCATCACATGATCATAGATGGCAGCGGACAGTGTCGGACAGTGTTGAGATGTTTTTATTAAGCAAAAGCAAACTCCCGTTGGTATTCTACCCTTTTTACGTCCCATATAATTGCCCATACATCAAAACAAAGAAGAGTCAAGTGTCCCGTATTGAAAAGCCCTCCCGTCCTCGAAGCAGGCCCATCACCTGCTGCTGGTGCAGATTTATTATTCACCTCCCCATCGAATACCCATGATTCGCAGATGTTGGGCAACGTGATAAGGGTTGAAAACCGCGGTTGGTGGAGTCATAATCCGTCGAAACAGGGAGTGAAAGAGAAATGGAATCGAAACAAGATGCGTCGGAGCTTGGCCACCTGCTAAAGAATAGCGAGAATGATGCCAGTCGTAGACGCCCAGTCGCGGCGGACGAAGCAGTCTACTCTTCTCCCCCTTTTCTCTAGGTGCTTTTCATCGCAAAGACGAACTGGCATCACAAAACAAATAAGATCCAGCGACAGAGAAAATTCGACATGATGCCGACAAAGGGTAAGAAGAGAAGAAAAACAAAAGAAGAGAGAGAGCCGGTCAAGTAAGGAAATTATGCGCTGTTTCGCTTGTAATCCACTCTGGAAATCGTCTACTGGTTGATCTTCTCCTTGTTAGATTCGGAGGCGTCAGCCTTCTTGACGGCAACCCAGCTGCTCAGCCAGGCCAGCGTTTCGTTGCTAACGACAAAGACGGTGGAAACGGCAGCCTTGCCCTGAGCCACCACGCCGTTCTGCTCAAGCTTCTTAAGCTCGGAAGCGTAAATCTGGAAAACGTGCTCCCTGCCCTCGAGTCCCTTCTGGTAAGGGAACAGAATCAGGCCACGGGTCTCGTTGTAGAGGTCACCAGTGGGCTTCTTGACGATGGGGAAGCGCTCGTCAATGCGGTCCAGGGTCTTGTCGCCAAAGGAGTCGGCCTTTTGGACGTACGGAGAGACGTAACCATAGGGCTTAGAAAGGTAGGGAACAAAGGGGGCGGCAAAGTTTCGATAGGCAGAGTCGCCCAGCTTCAAAGACCTCTGTGCGTATTCGTTGGAGGCCACAGTGTGAATGCCATCGCTAACCAAGGGGTAGGAGAGCAGGTGCTGCCAATCTGATTAATAACCACACCAAGCGCCATCATGATTTGAACCGCCTTTGTCATTGTGTGATGACGAAGATATTCATTTTTTGATCCATGCATACCTGAAGGAAGGCGGATTGGAGATGGTTGGACACCTCGCCGTTAACCTGAGGAGCAGGCATTGTGATGTCAGAGATTGCGGGTGTAAGTGCTAGCTAGGTGGGAATTGGAGAATGGCTAAAGTGAAGCGGGCAGAGTCGTCGGTCGATATGCGATGATTATAGCTGACTGAGTGACGCGGAGCAGTAGGTAATTGAGGTTTGAGACTGAGGCAATGCTGGATGAGCAGAGAACAGATGAGAGGCGATGAGAGATGATGAGAGGTGAAGAAAGGTGAAGAGAGAAAGTGAGAGAGAGTCAAGCAGGAGGGATGCAGCAAGGCGATAAGGACGGGGCGGATGGCTATTAATGAGCATTCCCCAGGCCCCAAGGGTGCCGGTTTGGCACGCCACCTGGGATGATGTATTGATAACGCGCACAAGCACAGGTCAATCGTGCGGCGCCCTCCCGCGAACGGTACATGCAGCCAAAAAGGCATGTGAAAGCGGCGAAACAGCTGCCAGTGCTCCCTGGAAACGTGTGAGGCTTGCAGCTTGGAGCCGGCCCCTGATTGGCCGCAGCTTGTCCTCAGCCACACCTCGCAAGCAGGGATCTCTCCTGTGCGTCTCACTTGGCCGACATGTGAAAGCAGCTTTTCGCGCTCCCTCCAAGTTTGCCAGCTACTCTTCTGAGCCAACCGCAGCTGCACGACCGGTTTCAAAAAGTTAGTTTTGCTGGGCTCTTGTGATTTTCCTTTTTCCTGCCTGGCTGTGCTTAGCGGCTCATCCGGGTAAACGCTCCCGAGCGTCTAGTTAGGCGAGGCTTCAATTCTCCAATCATTCACTCCAATCGACGCCCTCGGCGATTTCGCAATCTACAAGCGCATGCCTTAGCAAGTCGGTAGCACTCACACTGGTGCTGCATCCGCTGCCAGGCCATTACCAGGAATCTCTTGGTGGTGTTTTTGATACGACTAATCCGCTCAAACGTCCCGGGCTGGCAAGATAAACCCGCAACACCCGGCGGCGGCTTGGGATTCGCAGGATAGAGCGAGGGGAAACGGCACCCAAGAGAGATATATCCGGGATTGTATTACGACATTGGCACCTTGCCTTGTTGCGGTGTGTCGGCGCTATCTCTGACCTGCCAATCCAAGCACATTTGATGCATTAATTGCATTAAACACAAAGCAGTGCTGTCATCATGCGCCTTATCGCTGAGATCGAGCCATCAGTCAGCTAGCGACAAGACGCTCACCCGCACCGGGGAGAGTCCCCCTTTACCCAAGAATGAGAGCACAATGCCTGCGGAGCACGGAACTTGCTTATCTCTCAGCCATGCCCCCCAACTTGTCTGCCAAGCGGCACATCCATACGGAGCATTTCTCGAAGCTAAGCTGCGATACCGACTGACTCGTTGCTGCGGCACCTCGGTCGTATGCGTCACATCTCACTTGGGCCCCCCAGGGCCGTTGAGATGTCACCGGCTAGCGAAAAGACAAAAACCTCTTTGTCCGTCCGCCGTACAAGGGGGCAAAGGAGACGAAAAGCAGCCGGAGATGGGGCGATTCTGAGCCGACCTGTTGTTGACAACGGGGTGTGTAGCGTGAGCGCCAAGGCTGCCTCTCTCTCGGGATGCTGACTCCTCTCGTATCTTTTCGGCATCAGATGAAGAGAAACCAACGCTTGCCATCACGTGTAGGAAATGCTCATGTTGCATGCCTTGGCTACGAGTACGTGCTTTTTTGTAAGTGCTGTTTGCCCGGCCATTCGGCTGCACTGGTGATTGGCCAGGCCATGCCTCGCGAAACTTGAACCCAACAGATCGGCGCCATGTTGTGTAGCAGCGCAGCAGTAGCACTTGCATATCACTGCGCGGATTCTCTTCCGCGCTCCTTGGTTCTTTTTATTACTATTATTTTTCTTCATCCGCAGCTTCAAACCGTCGGTCGGCTTTCCAACGGCATTTTTCAAGACCTTTTTTAAGTTTTCCAGGTCGGAAGTTTGATCGATCCACGCCGGATACTAGTATCGCACCCATGTCGGTTTATTGTGGAAAACTGGAGTGCACCAGCCACAATCACATGCCAAACAGCAAGAGTGTACCTTTTTTCTTTTTTTCTTTTTTTTTTTCTTTGCTCGTGTTGACCTCATCGTTCTGCAGCATTAGATATGTAACTTATCGCGCCTGACATGGGCCCGCTTGCATTTTTCTATATTTATCAAATCTTGCATATGAATTTCTGCATATGATCATCGCACAGACACAATATCTTAGCTACAGTTGCTACGTTGCAGATGTTGCCTGATGAGCATATTCGCTCTATCAGAAGAACTTACATGTAATATTTTGCCAAGAGGACAGACTTCTCTTCGTAAACATATCCATATCAACCTACTTTATCAGGAAAGCACACTTTATTAGCTCTGAGTGACGTTGAAATGCGCATTTATCGTGCCACTAATTGCAAAAACATGGTGACTCTCTGATATGAGTTATGCGAGAACAATTATACGCCTAACTTGATGATCATCTGAGCATCCATTATTTGCATAAGACCCAGTATCCTCTTGGTCATTTCCATGAAGACCCTCTTAGCAGCTCTAGCCCCTGATACGGGGAGTACTCATGACCACGATAGATACACGATCATACGTTTCGCATCTCCGACGCAAAGGTCCGATTAGCGTGCATTATTTTTCGGATTCCGTATTTGCTGTTTGAACAAACAGCAGCAAATCAAAATCCCATATGATTGAATGGGGAAATCTTGTATCCCTATTGGCCCGCGTATAAATCCATGCTCGAATAGTGATAAATAAACAAAAATAAAAGAAGAGTCCAGCTTCACACTATGCTATCTAGACATGTCTGAGACAAATTTTCAACCTGTAACTCGCTCCCTTTCGGAGAATCACAACATCATATCAGTCAACAGGACAGATAATGACAGACTCAGACAGCCAGTCACAAGTTACATGGGAGGCCGTCGGTCCGAGTCTAACAAGATGGATCTCAACACTAACACCCTGCCAAATCCCTTACGCAAGATTTGACCCCCCCTCCCTCGTTGTCTCGGCTGTCATCCAGAATAATTGCCCGCGTTTTGCGTCAGATATCCACCAGAGGCTCTAAACTAGGATGCAGGACGGACGCTCGAGAAGCCCGTGGCTAGCCAATTACGCCATGCGTTCTGAGCAGAGCGCAATCTCTTTCCGCAGGAGTCTTTGTTGCAGGATTTCCCGAGGGCAGTGTCACCACCAAGACCCTCTCGGTAAACATGTGATTTGACAGGAAATCTCTCAAACACGCATATATCCATCAAACTTGGCATATCTCTATTGTACCACTAATGTGATTCCTTCCGAGGAGGGTGTGGATTCTCAATGTAGTGATCGCATCGAAAGAGTTGTCACCTGCTACGGATACTCTGTCTTTTGCAGGGGAATGGGTATTTGCCATACTGCTAGTCTTTTCTTCGATATGCCATCCACTTTGGTGTTTGAAGCTCCGATTACGAAAACCCAAGGAGCGTCTCATGATAACCTGTAGAGAAAGATATGATACAGCAGAGATAATAAGTGGTCAGCTGGCACTACGGTTTGGCTACCCAGCATCCCAATTATACGGTAGCATAAAAGATTGATATGTACCTGTATTTAGCATATTGAAGTTTAGTGACAGCAGCGGGAACTACAACGCTATATGCCAGTTGTTCTATCATCGCTTGTTTATCACATATAAAATATACAGCTACGATACTGTGTGCCTACGTATTCGTATATACATTTGCTAGTGTATCTGATGGTTCGATAAATGCTTCGTTTCCAGTCCATACTCAGAACAAGGTGTAAGCACGCTGCATACTTGGGATGTTTGACTTCCTGAAGATAACGGGTGTGGTTTGTACACAGGCAGTAGGAAGAGCACATCAGTTGATGTGCTCGGCAGTATTGACTTCGATGTAGGTCGATATCAAGAAAGACTGTATAAGTACATAGCTTTCCCCCATCCTTTTCCATTGGTCGGAACAGCCAGCATTCGCGGTATTCTAAGTCCCATCCGTTCCATTGGCGAACATTGAACGAAGGCTACATATACCTAGTACTAGTGCGTGGTATAACCCGTTGTTGGAGCCTGATGATGACCATTAGAGCCTAAATCTGTCTTCTAGACAACGTGATACTTTCTTCTAGACAACGAAATATTTTTCTTCACAGCATTTTTAGCGCCCCCCCCCCCCCCCCTTCCCCCCAAAGTCAGCTTTGAGCCTTAACTTACCTATCAGCGCGTAGTATTACTGTGGTGTGATGACAAGGACCTTTTCACAGCATTGTTAACTCTCCCAAGCCAGCCTTTGAAGCCTTGATGTAGGCGACTGTAGTTTCACAGCATTTCTAGCTCCGCTGTCACCTTGCGAATACGGGACAAATGTTACAATGTATTTGATGTATATGGCGGTACGTAGCAAAAACTGGGAGGCTGTGTCGTGGCAAAATTTCACAGCATTTTTAGCCCTCCCCAGGCCATCGCCAGCTCTATGCAGATGCATCAAGGTACGCAATTATTTGCTGGTAGTCCTTTGGCCATCAGTTCTTTGCAATCTCATAACACCTCATCTACTGCAGAGAAGATTTAATGTCTTAACCATAGCTATGTATCTATTTGTTCTTCTGGCAGTCTTGTAATGTATCGCGTTGAAGCTGGCACGAATCACGAATCACCAGTGTTTACGTAGGGTAGGTTCCTAGAGCGACTCCGAAAAGCTCCCATAAAGTACAAGAATGCACGTACACGGGCACTTACAAGTAGAGGTAGGTTAAGGCAGTACAAAATCAAAAGGCAGTACGGCGTTGGTCTTATCACCTGCTATCTCATAGGTATCGTATCAGTGCCTAATTGCCCTCTGAAAGCTGAGGAAAAGGTATAGATGCCGTAATCATAGGGCGACAACTCAAGGATGATCTACTGGCACCACGTGGAACCAACGAACTAAGTGATTCCATGCTCGTGTTGTCAAATCTACCAAATACAGAATACCACTAGGTAATTTTCGACCTTACACTCGCCTTTATTTTTAAGCGCAGATATGCCATACGGGGGCATTACAGTAGATGCATCAGTTACACGGGACAGCAAACGCGATGGTTTCACAGCCCGGTCTAGCACTTGATCGGCAGCACAGGCCAGCATTGGAGCCACTTCAACTTCAGCTGAGTTGACATCGGGAGGTTGGCTGGTCCTTGTCCCTTTTCAAACGGCTTGTTTTTCTTCTTTTCTTCTTCCTTTCCTTGCTTTTGTTGCCCGTTATCTTACGGGATCAAAAGCAAAACCAGCGTCGTCCCTTGCATTGTTGGAGGCATTTCTTGCATACACCCGCAGTAGCATCTCTCGCCATGCGAAACACAACTGGAATGCGGAGCCCGCGTATTGTCTGCAGCCCAGGATGATGTTTTTATTTTTACATCTGTTGAGTGACTCAGGTTGCATGCAATATGTAGCAGGTGACGCCTCTCGGCTCTCCCTGCGTCCCTGCGTCTCCATCTGTCATCTGTCACATTTTGACAGTTGACAGCATGTGCCTGTGAACTGGTGCTTGGCAGCTACTGTACAGTAAAGATTGTACTTGTACAAGTATTCAGAAAGCTGAGCAAACGGCACGCTAGAACTGCCGCAATCCCATGCACAGACCTGAGCGGAACAGAATAGCACGCCGCGGATATCGGTGCGATGCGTCCAGGCCTCGAGGGCAGACCGCCAGCTGAGCTCGGCGTTGAGGGCCATTGCTGATATCGTACGAGAAGACGGGCGTCAATATTTGGAACAAGAATACGTAGAAAGCGCCTGGCGTTTGCGACGAGAAGGTCTTTTGTTAGTACCTGTAGTAATACAACCTCGTACTAGTAAGTATTTGACGCGGACGTCAGCCATGCATCCGAAGGCTACCCGAGACCCTACAGGTACATCGGGCTCTGCAGGGTGACTTGTGCTACGGCTGGCGAGGGCAAGACTATTGGCCGTGGCCAATTGTGGCTGTCAAAGGTGCGACATGATGTTGGCAGTCCTTGAACAGGCCGAGCAAGGGATATGCTTGATGGACGAGGATGGTCTGGATTCGACATCGGCCTCCAGCAAGGAGAGCACCGATTGAGCGAACAGAAGCTCCAAGATTGTGTGCTGTTAATATACTCGGTAGGTGCCACTAAAGTATAATTCAACTGAAAGCTTGCTTGCACCCATTTCGAGAGCCATGGGCCCGGATACGGAATGGAAGCGTTGCTGGCATTCTTCTTCTGGCAATCTTCCCGCCCCCCACAAGTCACGGTATCAATGATGGGTGCGATATGCATGGCGCCATACCTGTCTGTATGCAGGCACACGGGGGGAGGAAATGCATACTATATTGATCCATGCTCTTCCCGTGTGTCTGCCTGTATTAGGTGCATGCAATCATGCAGGCGAGCACTTACAAGGACGGAGCACCTGTAGGGAGCGCGCAACGTGCTAATCTGTGCCCTGTGATGTCGCCTATGTACTCCATACTCTCGCCCTCATGGAGTTTCAAAGCTCAGAATCATCAGTTGGGAGCAAGCAGGCCCCCCTGCCGTCGAACTGGTGACGAAATGCAGGCGGCTGGGGTCGAGGAGATGAAGGGCTGCGTCGATTGGTAGCGACGACGATGAGCAATCTGCCCTGTTTGCTGTACGAGTACTTATCTTATTACCGTGTACTCGCACAAGCAAGTGACAGGTATGGAGCAGGTACTCGGTAGAATTGCCAGTACTGGGGGAGCTCCGCACGCCATACTCGCATGGACATTGCATCTACCGAGTACTCGTACAGTACTTGGTAGGCAGAAGATGAAATTATTGATCCTCTCTGTACGAGTGCTCGTCACACGGCTGGTAGCTGCTTAGGATCCGGGCAATCCGCACGGAGTACCTGCGGCGGAGTACACCGAGATGCGCAATCGGCTGGCTCTTCTCCCTTGCATTCTCCCTTCCTCCCAGCCTCGTCAAAGCCATCGGGTGAGACTCTTTGTTCAGTGTCCTCTGTAGGTTTCAATTGGTCTCTAGGTTGCTTACGTTGCTAATCCTTTGTACCTCTACGGACCATAGGGATGCTCTAGACAGACAGCTCTGCGATGGATTGATTCATTCACCATGTCGGCCGCAGCGCCGCAGCCAAGCCGCGATCCCCTTTCCTTAGCACTACGAGAGACGAATTTCTCTCGCTGGGGTCTAGATGCTGGCTTCCGGGCGCCGTGATTGGCCCTTGGGCAGCTCAATTTACATTGGAGCCAGGACCCCTGATCCATGCAGACACCCCTGTCGGCCTCGTGCAGACAGCACTGGTAGCCGCACTCGATGCCACAGTACTGGTAGATTGCACGCAGCAGGAGATGCTCCCTGCGCCCTAGGCGTCTCAGGAGCACAAGAATTGATCAGACATGCATGGCCGCCGAAGCTGAATCGACATGCGAGGCCGATGCTGTACTGTGCTGTGACATACAGCAATGGCGCCCCTTCTGTGCCACTCCAGCTCGGCCAACTAATATCGCGCCGCGCACGCTATTGCCGACTACTCTTGGGCTGTGCTCCGTCCTCCGTGCTAGTCCGTAGCACCATCATGCCCATCATATCTTGTCTCGTCTGTCCAATTATCCAATATCCATGCCCATTGGGGAAGTGGTTTTGGCTAATACCAAGTCGAGAGGGAAAAATCACAGCGGGTGGAGAAGGCCCCAGGCCCCCCCTGCTGGTGTAGCCGTGCCCCTGACAGCGCTGCAGCGGCTCCAGTTGCAGCAGCCGCAGGTACCTGCTCCGCTAACTGCCACCACTACGGCGTGCTAGCTGCAGCGTGAATGGCCCCCCCGTTCGTCCAAGACCAGAGGTCCCCTTTTCTATTTCCCGTGTCTCGCTTTGTCTCACGTCGCCTGATCTTGACTCTTCTCTTTCTCTTGCTGTTTCTCTCCCGTTCTGTACGGGATTCTTTTTTTCTTCGTACGGACCACTTGAGGTCGTCCGATAACATCCTTTTCTTTCTTCTGCGTACTTTCTTCTCCAGGCATCAAGCGCCTGTTGAACCGTCATTCCCTTCATCCAAATCTCCGTGAGATCCAGAAGCTCTTCGGATGGCCCGCTGAGATCCTCCAGCTCAACTTCTTCTCTTCGCCTTCGACTGAGAGCAAGAGTGTTTATGGGAGCCCGATTCTGAGAACGATATCGAAGCCGTCACCATGCCTCCTTCTCTCAACACCCACCCTTCGTTTACGCGCCCCCGAACTGGCGACCGTGATGGCCGGCCCAGCACCCGCGACCAGGCCGGCGCCGAATCTGCCATGATGATACCGAGCCGTACCTCATCGCTCCATTCCCGCATCACCCAGCCAATTCCCTCCACCTTGACCCAGAAGCCCCAGCAGCGAACCCCAAAGACGCTCACTCATGCCTACATGGTCTGCGGTGTCGGCCGAGAGCCCTCTCAATGGGTCAAGGCTCCCACTCCCGCCCAGGGCAAAATCACCCACATGAAGGGCGCTGTTGGACAGTTCTGGCTTCCCGAGATCCTAGGCAGCAGCCCCCGTCTTGAGCAGGACAACGAGATTGCGCGGGCTCTGCACGCCTCTATGAGGGTATGTTTGATACTGCCATATTCATATGGTACACATTGTGTCGTTGCATGCGCCGCTAACACTGGTCTAAACAGGCTTGCTTCCCTCACGATGTTGAAATCTGTACTGGCCGGAACCAACCCCACTGCACTCACCACTCTTTCGTCCTCCAGCAGGACTCTTCTCATACGCTCTATGGCATTTGCCTGCGCGTCTGGTCGCGGGCCGATGAGAAGAGGGCCGAGACCATCCGTGACTTGAGGAAGAGGACCGAAAACGACTACTATGACAACCCGGAGGAGACGTACTGGATTCCCTACTGCCTGTCTTTCCTGTCCCGCTACCCTCTGTACAACCTTCTAGGCGATTACCTGCGTGGCATGTGGATTCACTGGAACAAGGCTACTAACCTGTTCCACGCTGAGGAAGTTTCTCGTATCCTGAGCTTCCCGGCCCCGAGGCTGAACGATCTTGTTCGCATCGACATGAAGGACTATGCCCTCTGCTACCAGTTCCCCTCATCCCCTACCGGATTCCAGAACTTTGCCATGTGGCCCCTTTTCAACTGCTTGTCCATCCCTAACATTGTTGGCGTCATTGAAGCTGCCATCTCTCCCACTCGCCGTATCATCTTTGTCAGTCATTATCCGGCTATGCTCACAATCGCCTCGGAGACTGTGAGATACTGCGTGCGAGTATTTGAATGGAGCGGCCTGTATGTTCCCGTGGTTCACGCCCGCCATGCCAAGGAGCTCGTCCAAGAGCCTGGTCCTTACATCTTGGGTGTGACCGCTGAGTGCCGGTCCCTTTTCACGGCTCCCACTGATGCCTTGGTTATCGACTTGGATCGCAACTTTGTCCTCACATCCAGCCCTCCTACTGCTCTGACTCCTGGTCAGCGCAACAAATTTGTCTCCCGTTTGACCCAAGCCCTCAATGGCGATGTCACTCCCTCCGGCGTTCCCCAGCACCTTCGCTCTGCCTATGGCGGTGGCAAGCTTGTGCCCGCCGGTCAGATCATTGTCATGCGCGGTGAGGTTGAGTCCATCCAGGATCCCGAGTGGTGGAACCAGGATGCCATCATGGCTGTCATGGACCATGTGTGCGAGAAGATGGGTCGCAACTCAGGCATCAAGGCTGTCTTTGGTGGCTCCGTCAAGAAGCCTCTCATGACCAAGGTGTCAATGAGACACCTTAACGAGATTGTCCGCGAGAGGAACCAGTACTCTCGAGACGCTCTTGAGGCATGGCAGGATTTCATCAACTTGAAGGGTCGCATGGACACCGAGCTTGGCAAGGTCACCAAGCGGAATAACTACCTCGTGGAGGAGCTGGAAAGCTGGAAGCAGCAGTTCCTCAAGTTCCAGGCCTTTGCCGAGCAGCTCACCAAGGAGACCCAGGACCTCAAGGTTAAGATTGAGGGCCACAAGCGAGAGAACCGTCGCCTTGCTGCTCTCATTGAGCAGCAGAAGGACGACAACGGCCGCCTCACCACTCGCCTCTCTGGCACTGAGAAGCAGCGCGATGATGCCCTCGAGGCCCTTGTTTTGCAGCAGGAGATCGCAGAAGAACTCGAGCGTGAGCGCAAGAGGAACAAGAAGGAGCTTGCTCAGCTCCACCACACCAATGCCACCATCATGCGCCAGCGTGACGAGGCTCGCCGCGTCGTTCTGCACCTGCGCAGCTTGATTGGTGGCCAGAGCCACCACATGGAGCATCTCATCCAGTCTCTCACCAAGCCGGATGAGCTCATCCGCGAGGTCGAGGCTGGCTATGAATCCGACGAAGTCGAGGGTGGCTCTGATGCCCATGCTCTGCGACCATCTCGCAGCAGCAACCGGCTCTCCGCCTCCAGCTTCGCCGACATGGCCGATCGCCACCTGAAGGATAAGACCGACGCCATCGCCCACATCGTTCGCAACATTGCGGACCAATGCCAAGCTGCCGTTGACGGCCTGCAGCTTGCCCAGGATGCCGAATCTCGAGCCAGCACACGTGCTAGCCGCCGCCACAGCAGCCTATCGACTGCTCATAGTGATGATGGTGAGGACGCCCGCTCTACCGCCACCTCGGACGCTGGCGAGGGGAGTTCTCGCTTACAACCAACTGCCGGGAGGCCTAGCTCTATACCACCAACGCCGGATCTCATCCCCAACCGCAGTAGCACTGCACTATCGTTTGCGTCAACCGCCACAACGCCAGAGCGCGCCAGTCAACAGTACTCTATTCGAGACGAGATACCAACCAAGATTGTCGAGGACGATGAAGAGGACTTCGATGACGGCCGAAGTGATCAGGTCGGAGTCTCCAGCGACCACGGACTCGTCTCGAAGCAGTCGCAGTCTCTTCTCCACCGATCTTCTGGAGCAAGAATCAGCGCTTTCGGCAGTCTCCGATGAAGGTGAGACTGAGGTTGAGCAGGGGGCCCCTGATGTGGAGTGCAAGCCTGAAGCTGAGGAGGTGGCCTCTGATGAGAGCAATCCTGAAACCGATCTGGGGATCTCTGAAGAAGAGAACAAGCCTGAAATTGAACAGGGAGTCTCTGAAGAAGAGAACAAGCCTGAAATTGAACAGGGAGTCTCTGAGGAAGAGAGCACACCGGAAGCCGAGCAGGTAGTCTCTGAGGAAGAGGACAGCCCTGAAGCCGAACACATCAGTGATGCCCTGCCAATCTAGCCGCAACCTTTGTATTATTGCGGATGCCTGTGCGGCATCCCTACCTTTTCTTTGTCTTGATTCCTTCGATACGGCGATCCAAACTATATATCCTTGTATCTTGAGCGTTTCCGGCCTTCGTGGGCAGATATGCTCAGCTTCTTGTTTTGTGGCGGCTTTGGATAAAAACAACCTTGCTTTGGATCACGGCGTTCTTTTCTTTTCCGTTCATTTGCGTTCCCTTTTCTACCATTATCCTTATCTTTTACTATATTCTAGATGAAGGGAACAGCTCGTGATGGCAGGCTGACTGATGACTTGCGTGGCGCCATCGAGGCTTAGGATCTCTTCTTATTCATGACTAACATTATTCTTTCTCTTTCCCTGCTTGGGGATCTTATGACACTTGATAGTTCAAGATTTTACAATTGAGTCTCTCGCTCATTGACCTGCTGTGTTTTCTTTACTTTGTGAAATGGTGGCTTCAGTTTCCTGTGCTAGACTGTTTGGAAGTTCTGTAGATGCTTTGTAATTGCATGTTTAAAAGTTTGTCGTTTTGTGAAATGTATTTATAGGTCTTAATATGAGTGATCCTTTGTTTCTCAATAGCGTATATGCCGGCCAGAAACTTGGCGCACTGTGATCCAAATGAAGTTGAAGATACCTGTATTTACAAGTTGGGGCGACTAGCAGAGCGTGATGTTAGACCCACATACGTATCTCACTAAGATAAGAAAAAATCCGATAAGAGCTGCGCATCATCGACTCCCTGGAAATTTCAAGAAAAAAGAAGTTCGCGACATCTCCTTTTGCAGGATTCACACCATGGCAGACGCTGTACTCACCTCCCTCTGCGGCATCTGCCATATCTGCGCTCCGAAATACAAATGCCCCCGCTGCAATATCGCGACTTGTTCACTGAAGTGCATCACGACGCACAAGGCTTGGTCGCAATGCAGCGGCGAACGTGACCAAACCGCCTATGTCACCAAATCGAAGTTGGCTACCGCTGCTGGCGTTGACCATGACTACAATTTCCTGCATGGCATCGAGATGGCGTCCGAACGCGCGGAGCGGGTCTTGGTCGAAGACAAAGGCATAATACAAAAGGACGAATTACGGCCGCTGACGATGGAGGAGGTGAGGTGGAAGGTGGGCAGAGATGGGAGGAAGAGAAAGGTTTTGGTGACGAGGGTCTTGAAACAAACCAAAGAGAGATTGGTAGACAAGCTGCTTGCGAACAAACTTAAGAAGTTGAACACAGTAGTTGTGTCCGCACCCCAAGGCATGACGAGGCAGAAGGAAAACCAGACCACGATAAGCCGAAAGTCTGGTCGGGTCAATTGGCAAGTGGAGTGGTTCATATTCGAGAAGAGCCTTACCGATACGAACAAAACGGACAAGTCAAGACTTCTTTCAAAGCTTTCGGACGATGTGCCGCTATACGTGGGATACAATGCGCTACTGGAAAGCCAATCGAAGTCAGAAGGCAAAGTGCAAAAGCGATCCTTCAGGGGAGTTGCGCAGAATCCCTCCACTGCGCATTGGCACTTGGCGAGTGATTCTCTCCAGGACCCTCAGACAGGCGGCTGGATTTCGATTCGAACGGCATCAATTGACGCGTGGCCTCGAGAACAAGACGAGTTGCAGCGACGACAGTTTCAATTCTTCCTTGAGAGCGCCCAGAAGCGATCGAGCCAGCTGGTCACCCTTACACCACTTCCCTCTGAGGACTGTCTTCGAAATATCCTTTCTAATACCAAAGTTCTCGAATTTCCGGCGATATATGTCTTGCGCGAGGGGGAAGCTCTTCCGGCTGGGTTTGTTCTGGGTCCAAAAGATACCGTCCCGTCCCTTGAAGAGCAACAACGGGGCGCAAAACGCAAAGGTGTTCCACAACAAGGAAAGGGTATGAACCGACCTGCGAAACGGAGAAGACCAGGTGACGCGGAGGACATCGAAGAGGGCGAACTTGGAGGCGATGGAGGCGCGGATGAAGCTGGCGACGTGATTGCCGAGCAAAGCTTGAGCGAGGACGAAGATGATACCAGTGATGACGAGTCTACCAGCAGCTCGGGATCTGACAGTGACTAGGTAATGTGAGACAAGGAATGGGAATGTTCGAGGGCGTCTTTTGGCATAACGATTTGATTAGCTAGCACCGGGTTGCTGGCCCTTTCCTTTCATCTGATCTAGACATTGGCTTTTATTCAGGATAAATTTACAGGCTATTTTCATAAACTAGCCAAATTACATAACAGTTTAATTATTTTTTGATGAAAGCTGGAAGCAATGCGTAGTCTCGTTGTCATTTGTGCCAGTTGCTAATCGGCCTCGAATGCTGGAGATTCTCCCCGCGGCGGGTTCAAAATACAGGGGGCTTGGTAGCTGTGCTTTAGTGCCTCCCAGCAGTAGCAGCGTGGGGTGCTGTCGATAGCCCACCCACCCTCTCCTTGGTGCCCTGTACAAGCCTCGGTGCCTTAAGCTCCATCCAATAAAGGTACCCAGTACCTCCTGTTTCCCACCCAAAGCAAGTACGAGTACGCAACTCTTCAGACGGCATCGTCACAACTTTGGCTTCGTTGCATTCTTCGGCCAACGCATCTCCACGCCTTCAACACGCGCCATCACGCGGGGGCTGGGCCTACAGGGGGACAATTGCGATTGGTTTTCTACACTCCTCCCTGGACCTCGCTTGTGCGTCTTTCTTTCGCCTCATAGTAGCCTGCGCATTATGATTTAACACACCTCGAGCCCCCTTCTTCCCTTTCTTCCCTTCTCTCCCCTATCGCCACCCCAAACCTACCAGCCATGGACGACGCTCCGGTCCCCAAACTATCGGATCTGCTGCGGCACCCGGACGATTTAGACAAGATACCCTCACTGAAGCTCGAGCTCTCGCGCAAGAAGAGCGCAGTCGATGGCCAGCTACGCAATGGGCTCCGGGAGCAGCTCGAGACGACGCAGTCCGGCATGAATGGCCTCAGCGACGGCCAGAAGGCGGTGCAGCAGATCAAGGAGGAGATGATGAAGATCGACAAGCTGTGCTCCGAGTCGCAGACCATGATCAAGGACTTTGCAAGCATCAACCTGGTATCGCAGGCGCACCGCAACTTTGGCGCCGTCGAAGCCATGAGACGCAACCTCGAGACGTTTAACGAACGCCTGGCCGTGGTCGAGAGGATGCTGGCCGAGGATGACGAGGATAAAGAGAACATGCCGAACTTGCTGCCGTGCCATTACGAGCTGACGCAGCTTCGAAACATACGAGACGACGCCATGGAGCAAATCCAGAGGGCAGAGGACCCGAGCTTGGAGTCGACGCTGGAGGACTACTTTACAAGGCTGGACGATACAATCGACTGGTTTGACGAGCACGTCGGTATTCTGGCCATGAACCTCATCAACCTCGTCGTCAGCGACAACAACGGCCTGGTGGTCCGCTTTGCCGTTGTCATGGAGGCGGAAGAGAAGAGCGACCAGCGTGTAATGGCTCTGCAAGAAGCACTCAAGGATCACGAGGAAATGGCAGCCCGATTTCAGGGCATCACAGATGGCGCTCGGAAAGTCCGCGGTTACAAAGACAAGTTCATGCAAGCTATCAAAGTCAGTGCCGAGCAACAGTTCCAGCAAGCCCGTGAGGACTTTCTCGACGATGCCGATAGCTTAGAGGCGACCATGAAGTGGTTCTTCAACGACCTGAATGCCGTCAAAATTGGCATGACGCCGCTCATGCCCAAAAAGTGGCGTATCGCAAAGACATACGCAGACATCTATCACGTTCTGATGCACGACTTCTTGATCGGTATGGTGGACGACCCGGAAGCCAGCTCTGCACACACACTCTCCATCGTCAGCTTCCCCGAGAAGTATTACAAGAAGATGTCCAAGATAGGCTTCAAGCAGGAAGACCTGGTACCACACGTCATTGATAATCGCGAGGCAGAGCTTGTTCGCGACTTTCGACAGCTCATTATCAAATTCCTCGACGAATGGATTGACCGCATTTTTGAACAAGAGAAACGCGACTTTGCCGATCGCAATGTCGAGGGCTCCAACTTGGACCAGGACGAGTATGGCTATTTCCGGACCAAGAACCTCGTTGCGTTGTGGAGGATGTTGCGTGAGCAGGTCGAGGCGGCAATCAACTCGCAGCGTGCAGACGTGGTTGAAGGTGTTGTCGACGCCATGTTCTTACGGCTACGCACCCGCCAGCAGTCGTGGCAGCGCATGCTTGACGACGAGGCTGAGCGCTACGAGAGCGGCCGCATCCCCGATTTGGAGGGCTTCCAGGCGCTGCAGGATTGGCTTGTAGCCACGGCCAACGACCAGATTGGCGTCATCGACGACAACGAGGAAGAAAGCCGCCTCGGCTACCTGTCCAGCTTCCGCCAGCAGTTTGAGAGGAACGTCAGCCCACAGTATCTCGAGCGCACCGAACAGGAGCTCAACGCCCTCCGCGACGGCTACGTCGACTTTAGCACCTGGTGCATCCACAAGTTCGCCCACCTCGTCTTCACCGTCGACTTTGGGAGCGTCATGCCCGACTTCTTCACGCCCAAGTGGTACAGCAACACCGCCATGAAGCAGATGGTCGTCACCTTTGAGGAGTACGTCGGCGAGTACCGCCAAGCCCTGCACCACTCCCTCATCGACATCTTCATCGAGATCTTCGCCGACGAGCTCCTCGTACGGTACCTCTCGTCGGTGCGCAACAAGGGCGCAAAGTTCCGTCGCACCGATCCCTTCCGCGACAAGCTCTTCAACGACATCGCCACCGCCTTCGAGTACTTCTCGAACCTGGCCAGCCCCGAGGTCGCCATGTCGATCAAGGACACGTGGCGCGTTACCGAGCCCTTCTTGGGCTTGTTGTCGGTGGATAAGGATTCTGTGGCGGACGCGTTTGCCAACTTTAAGACTGCGTACTGGGATTTGCAGATTAGTTGGGTCGAGGCCGTGCTGCGGTCTAGGGATGATTTTGAAAGAAGCATGCTGAATGCTGTCAAGGCGAGGGCGGCACAAATGGACATTGTGAGAGGCCCAGAGACAGTCATGGCCAAGATTAAGTAAAACAAAACAAAAAAAAACTAAACAAACTCTCTATACGGTGTATGTATATATGCAGCTGGGCAGGGAAGCGGAAAGAGAGGCCTTTGGGTTCACAGGGAACAGTACGACGTGCGGCTGGCTTGAAGGAGGACATTTTTGAGAAACCTGGTGAAATGAATGGCTGATGCATGGAGAAGTATTATCTTACGTGGAGGAGGAAGGGTTTTATCACGACTTAAATGTTTACATGTGTGCTATATTAGCGTTTCTATGGGTGTCGGTGGACATGTTATACAAGTGAGAGAGTGAGAGAGAGAGAGAGCATTCTTATCAGAGTCGAGTTGAGTCGAAATATATCTCACACATCAAAGTCAATCCGGGCATAATGAATGAAAAGATGATAGCAGTAAGAAAAGAGAACAAGAGTAAAGAAAAAAAAAATTGACCCGAGCACCACGACATATCCCCTTAAGAAAGGATGAATGCATGTGTCGTATCCCTGTAATTGCTGAACGACAATCTCCCTCCCATATCCTTCAATACAGCTCAAGAAGAAAATAGAACAAATGGAAAACGAAAAGGAAAAGGAAAAGGAAAATTGTAATAGAACAGGACTAGCGATCGATTTATGTTGGTGTTTCCTCCCCTCCAACCCCTTCCCAAGATCCGAGACGTACTAGTAGAGCGCGACTGCGACGGCCTTGTACAAAAAAAAAAAACCTGGCCCCTTATTGAAGAAAATAAAAAACAATGTCAAAGAAATTCAAAGTCCCCGCCCCAGCCCCCTTACGATAAATGAACGAACGGTGTTTGCTATGCGGTAATATGCTTTTCTCCTACACCACGATGGAAAGCCAAAGCCCGATATTAAGGACGGGTTATCTCCCCCGCTCTCGATTCACCTTTAAGACTGGCTGGCAAGAAAGTTGGCGGCCTAAGAAAAGACAAGTCAGTTATTGAGAACTTTTTCCCACTCATCCATCTCCTTCAGAAAAGAAAAACTTACTCTTTCCAGGTTGTAGTCATACTTTTCGAGTGCAGCAAGAGCGTCAGGACGCGAGTAACCCATGCTGGTCAGGTTCTTAAGGATTGGGTCATCATGCTCTCCCGCTTCCGTGAGAGCACGTCCGGGAGCCGGGGGGCGGGACTCGGCCGTCTCTTCTTTCGCAGGGCCAGTGTTGTTGCTTTGTACAGGCTGTGCTGGGGTGACGGTGGGCGAATCCAGTGTAGAAAAGATGGCGTCCCAGTCGTGAGACTGCTGTCCGCTGCTAGACTGGCCAGGGGCGCTGGTGGCTGAGTTGGATGAGATGAAGTCAAAGCTGCTCTCGTTGCCAAATGCTGTAGACTCGCTCTTGGCCTGGCTAGCCGGGGGGCTGCTATCAAACATGGGGTTATAGTCGTCCAGCCCAGACCGAGAAATGTTGGCAAAGTCGTCATCCGCGGAGCCTTCCTTGGCATCTTCTAGGCCTTCGAAATCATCGTCGAGGTCATCGAAGGCGCCCTTGGTAGCTGGAGGTGGGTTGTGATGGCTAGGTGCTGGTATTGTGCTGGAACCAAAGATATCATCAGTGTTGGAGGTCGGAGAGGTGATCGCATGGTTGTTGGTTATCGTGGCGGGAGAGGAAGGTAATTCCGCGCTGTGGAATTAGCGTTAGTGAATGATGGCAGGCAAACGTAACGGCTAATCATCATCGAAATTCAAAGACAAAGGCATATTAATCATTTCCGCGCATTTACCTTTTGGTTTCGGGTTCATGGGTAGCTGTTGTATCCTGAGATGGCGACAAAGGGGCGTTCAAGTCGGAGGCTTCGGCAGCTGGTCTGTGGGACTCCGGAGTTGGCTCCAAAGCAACCTGCTTCTCCTTGGCCTTGTTCTCTGGCGACGCAGGGGCGAAATCGTCGTCAAAGCCTCCCCTCTCACTGTCAGACTCAGACACGTCCCGCTCAAGCTCCGAAATGGGCGGGAACTCTGTGTCGAAGGCGTTGTCGAAGGCGTTATGGGGCTTTACAGCAGCAGCTCCCTTGTCTGCGCCGCTGCTGGGGGT